TGAGACAATATCAAGATCATCAATCAGATAGGAATCCTGAGTGATGAAATCTGGAAGGCACAGTTTACAAGAAAAGGGTGATTTCCTCTCCTGATGCAGCCAAGGAGCTTTGAGAGCAAGCATGCCATAACTCACTGACTTACCCAATAGAGCTCCAACTTCAGTAATGAATTGCATCAGCATCGATCCCAGCTGTCATGGCAGCCTCCATGCTTCTGACACCAGATGACCTTGTCTGACCAAGGTCATAGCAGTTGCCATGAAGGAAACCAAGTGTATTCTTCACTGAAATTCGACCTAAAGTATTTTGTTGCTGTGTACAAAAACGAATATGATTTGATACAAATTTGTCGACCTTTCGTTGAAAAGTTGGGGAAAGAAAATTGGAATGACCTTCTCCAGATCAAAAAGTTCCTATTTGTTGAAGGAAATATAATGAAGTTGATGTTGTCTTTTGTGGAAAATGATTGAGCTCAAGGGACAACTGGATACGATGGAATTAAGTTTGATGTTCGCTCAAGTGTACAGTTTGTGGTTGGAAATTGATTTGGAGAGTAGTGTTATATACTTTTGCAGAAATACTGATTTGATTAAAGGTTATGCATTTTGTTTGACTTTGAATGAGGTTTGAAACTTGTGAAGGAATTGATGAATAGAGATATATTTTGGGAACAAAAATTGGTTTGAAGTGAGCATTGCCCTTGATCAAGGCATCTTTCTATGAATGGATATTTGGTATTGAAGTCTGTGATTTAAAAAGCCTTGTTTTGTTGAAGCCATGTCTATGAAGCCCATTGCTGCGGTGTTCTGCTCCAATCAACTAAGGGTGGACATCATGCCACGTTGTTGGCATTTAGATGATCATAACTCTCATAATCTTAACATAGGTTAATGATGGTCTTAGTGCTGAGATCACTTTGTGGAACCACACCCAGAACACTGCCACTAAGCCCAAGGAGTGAGTGAGTGAGTGAGTGAGTGAGTGAGTTGTGTTGTGTTGTGTTGTGTTGTGTTGTGTTGTGTTGTGTTGTGTTGTGTTGTGTTGTGTTGTGTTGTGTTGTGTTGTGTTTGAACAGTGTTTCATTAATATTATGACATGTCACCTTAATGTGGGAAGAAAGCCAATTAGCATTAGTCATAGATGTGTTGCACATTGTTAAAACCCACAATCATGGATAAGGTGCTGACAGTCAATAGACTCTTTTGGCCCTAACCTGGGATTTGAAATGTAACCATCAGAGCCTGCATTGTAAAGGGAGACAACTCTCTACAGCAAATAGCTGTCGACTTGGGTGCAAACGTGCCTAAAGCCAAATGCTAGTGCTTAGAATCAACAGTGGATTGCTGGGCCATCCATGACCTTCATATTTGCAGCCAGAGGATGTCGAGATGTCAGAACACTCCAATTTGCTCTCATTCTTGTTTTCTCGGTGCTGGAGCTGGCGTGCATTCTGTAAAGGATATTCCTGAAAACTAGACAGATATTGAAGCTGTTTCAGATTCCTAATCTTTCATTGTTTGTGTCCTCTAAAGACTTTAAGAGTTAGCAATAAAAAATGAGGTTAAACATAACACTTGAAACTGTTTTGTAACTTGGAACCTTGCATACTTGGAATGCTTTGAGTGTCTTGAAACTTGGACAACATGTGTTTACCCATCAGCTTTTTCCACTTAGCTTGTATGAAAACTTCTGAATTATATCTGATCAATCTGCTGCCTGGGTTTCAGCCAGGCATGTAAAATATTTACCACTTTGTTGGCAATATTTGTAGTTGGGAAAAATAGAAAAGAATTTCAATCACTGATAAAAGTTGATAAGGCATGAATCTTTCACTATTGCTCTGGCAGACAGTAAATATTTATCTACGATAGTGGGAATATGATAGACATGCTGGTGTTCTTAAAGGGATGAGTATATTCAATAATAGTCTTTCTGGCAAACAAACATGTAGATTATAAAGAGAATAGGAGATTTACACAGGAGATTAAAAATTTACACACATTTTAAAAAAGTTTTTTTTCACAGGGAATTAAAAAAATATACAATTTTCACACATGAGATTTTCACAGGGATTATAAATTTACGCAAATTTTGCTCATGCGATTTACATGGGGCAACCGAAAGACAGGCCAACACCATGGCAGCCTCTTTCTCCTCTTTCTCCATCAAAATCCTATTTGTATAATTTAAAGGGAAAGGTGTCATTTCAATGTTAGAATTGGTCTCAAGCTGCCGATATGCGTTTTGTTCCAGTGTCTTCATGCGTTAAGTTGTCAGACATGTTACTTAGTTGCATGTCATCATACCCCAACAGTGTGAATTGTTGTTCATTATATCAATCACTGCTTTTCCTGATCAAGACTTGATTAAGCCTCTTGGGATGGGGGTTTGAATAGGTCCCCAGCAGCCTATGAGGATCGTAAGAGGCGGCCAAACTGATCGGGTGGTCAGGCTCGGGGACATGGGTGTCATGATGACGTACCCAGACGGCATGAATTGTTGTTTCATAGTAGGGCTGGGATGGGTAACTCGGGTACCCGGGTCGGGTGGGTACTGAGTAGGACCCGGGTACCCATTGGACTACCCGGACCCGTGGTTAGTCCCGTGATTATATTGTTAAATGGCAAAAATTATCTGGAACTCGATGGTTACACTATAAGCGACAAATGTTCACATTTATTTCCGACTATGCACACATTCCTTCTGACTTAATATATGTTTGCATAAAGATAAAACGTCAGTCAACTTCAGTGTATGCATGACCAGACCATTTTATACCTGTATCTAAATATATTTTGACAGAAGTACGGTCAAACGTTTCCCAATCGGACATTTTGTACCTACCTCTTGAGACCCACAGCGGGTACCCGGGTAGGGTCGGGTAATAGGGGGATGGGTACCCGGGTAGTAAATTTGGACTCGTCTCACCCCTATTTCATAGTATCAATCACTGGTTTGTCTGGTCCAGTCTTTTGTTTACAGGCCACTGTCATACAGCTCAAATTATACGAGTGCAATTGGCTTGAAGGAACGTAAACAATTCAGTGTCCACAAACCCTTACATTGCTGCAGTACTGTTTAAAGATTCACATGCTGCTTGATCTTCCTGAAAGAGTTTTGTTTGCAATTTTTAACCAAAGGCAATAGCAGAGACATCATGTTCAGCAAGTAATCTGGCCAATTTAAACACTAAATCCTCAGAGTGTTTTCTTGACATCTTTGATGAGTGCTGCTCCCTTGAGATATTCATCTGCGAATACGTCTGCCATCATGATGGAAACATATTTGGTTTATTCTGTTTTAACAAAAAATGAGCCTATGTCAGAACAACTTACAAGTTTGTTGCCAGTTTCTACTGGCAGTGGTCAGGTTTGAGATTGCTTTTTGTGTAATACTGACAAGTGAAGTAGGAACATTACATTTTTAAATTATGTTGTCTTTTCTAAATTTGAATTTTTTAGATTCTTGAACCTTACTTACAAGTTTGCTCATCCTTGTGTATTCTATTCGTCTGTTGTGGGAGAAATTGAATGATACATTCATGGAGGATGTTTCAAGTCCTCTCCTTTGAGGGTTTCATTCTTAAAAGGAATATTTGAAAAGAGGAGCAAGATAGTTCAAGGGAATCATGAATCCATTCATTACTTGATGGGAGACGACTCTAGTGGAAGGTTTCAGTGACCTGCTACTTATTGGCTTTGATATCTGAGCCTGATCACCACAAAATGTGTTAATAATGTTTTGATTTAACATGTTTGTGCAACGGTTTCGTTCCCGAACCAATAATTGTTCTATCAAAGAAGGATGACATTGATGCACTCAGCCACTGCTGTTTGTTACGGCCGTAGCGCACACCGCTGTATTGGAAACAATTTATTGCCAGACGTTCTTTTAATGTGTCTATGGAATGGTCCGCAGGGATGAACTCTGGCATTTGGAGAGCATTGCACTGGCCACAGAATGTCAGCTTGACTGTCCAGACCTTCTATCTGCCAAGCTTGATTTTCCAAGGGAGACAACTTCGACCTTGCAATAAGATCTGGCTGCAAATTGTTACAGATTTAACATGGATCAAAGCAGACTGTTGATATGTACAAAGTACGGAGAGAAGATTTGATAACATGGATGTCAATAAGATTTCCTTGGAATGTGATTTATATTTCTTTTGATGATTTGTGGTGCTATTTTTCCACTCGACGCAGGGGCATGCTAAAAGTGTATTATATTTATTAGACAATGTTGTAGTAGGGATGAAAAGTTCAAAATAACCAGAAGCATCAAGTGATGAAGTCCTGAGTTCACTCTGGAAGCTCAGTAGTATACACCATGTTACCATTTTCCACCTGACTGGCAGCTTTTAGGCAAATGCACAGATTTACTGGGGTTATTATCCCCCGGCACGAAGTGGAAGGGGGATACAGGAATGGGTGCTGTCCGTCCGTCCGTCCGTCCGTCCGTCCGTCCGTCACATTTTGTTTCCGGAGATCTTGAAAAACTTACCATATTCCTTCACCAAACATGGCACATAGACAGGTCTAGTGGTGAACTGGTGCCTTTTGATAGTTTGGGATTTAAAAAAATAATTATTTTTTGTAATGGCGTCCAGAGGACTCCCAGCCTTTAAGTGTATCGGTCCCCACCTTCAAAATGGGGATCCCAGAGAAGTGTAAACTATTGAATATAACAATGTTAATACAAATATAACAGCTTTATTCTTTTGCTTGTTTTTATTTTATATAATATGTAATATAAGATGTAAGTTTTACTCATGTTTAGTGAAACTACACTGGAAGCTCTACTGCCCCCGAATGTTTGAAACATCCCCGCTTCATCAGGTGATGATGATTGGGCACGAAGTATCCCTGAAATGTTGTTACAAATAATCAAGTTAGTTGTTATCGATAAAAGTTTCATGCAATGTTCTTCCAACTTCTAAATGCCGATCAAGGACTCTCTATTCTTGTTTGTTTGTGTATTTATGGCTCTGTGTTGGTTGCAGGCCCTGAGTCCACTGACCATTCCGCGAGTGAGGATGAAGATGAGGAGAACACACCAACAGACCAGCAGGTAAGACCCTCACACACGTCACACACACATCACACAGGCATGCACCTCACAGCTAGTACGTCTGCTCCCTCTGTTCCAGGGTTCAGAGGGTTCGTATGTGTAAAAATTTGGATGAAAAGTGACCATTTAAGTTTTAGTCTCATTCTCCCAGTTGTTTGAACTGCAAAGATTATTCTACTGAAACTGTCCTTCATTGAATAAGACAAAATTAGGACATTAATTTTTTATTTATTAATATGTTCATGCGTATCTACCAAAATAAATCACTTCAATCTTCCATCTTTTTAAATTAACACCAACCGATCCTTCCATTCCCAAGTTTCATGATCTATTTTCTTTAATGTCCAAAGTTTCTTTAACCCTAATTCTCTCATTGCATTGAAAGCCCACATGTTATGAAGCCAATGAAACTGATTATGAAGGTTTTTCTATACTGTTACAACACTAACGGGTGAATTCAATATGGTCTTGGAAAGGCCGTTGTCAAGGAAGTTGAGCAGATGGTAGCAGCAGACGTACTAGTTGGCACACTCCTTGTTGTCGTGCATTGTTGGATAGTTGAATATTGTCAAGCATATAATGCCCACTTTATGTCTCCCATGGTGCACTTTTCTTTGCTTTTTTACTTTTACCCACTGTTGGTCTCTTCTTTGCTTCATGGTGTAACTGCTCTGCAACAGGTGTTACCTTGACCTGCAAACATGACCTTCACATCACAGTCCATGACCTTCACCTCAGAGACTGTGACCTTCATCTCACAGTATTAAGAGTACTGACTCGTCAGTGAGACTGGCTAATCTGCTCCACTGGACATTGGTCATGGTTGCAGGTTAAGGACAATTGTGTGGTTTTTGTTATCACAGAAATAAACATGAGAATGATGTCAGTGTACAACTTAGGGCAATTGCAACAACAGAAATATTGTTGTTCCAATGACAAACAAAAGTTCTGATAATTTTGCATTACTTAAACATTTTGACTTTTCCAAACATGACGTAAGTTCATGTGGTCGAGACTAGACTTGTCATAGCTTGAAGTTATTTTGTAACTGTGTGCAATCATATTTGTAAATAAAGCTGAGAGGAAATCTATTTAAGCACACCTCTCTCAATTTATGGTGCATTACAGTCAAATTATCAACCTTTCTCCAACATACCAGGCATTTTTATCCAAAAAACGTTGCAGAGTTCATGACAAGAATTATCAAAATACAGCATCGGCATCCAGTCAAGTCAGAGTTCAAATTAGGACTAATTCCCAGCGAGTCACTTTCTGACTGCGTTCATTCTGTCATGTAATCCATGAGTCATGTTTCAAAACTTGATGTGTCCATTCCAAAGTCAAGGCAATTTATTGGCAGTGAGGACCATAAATTTTGCTAATGTTCATGGACTAACAATTGCATTAATTTTGAATTTGCTTGCATCCTCATGGCTGCAGCCTGAGTTGTCCTTCACATCCATCAGTGTTAATTTCACTGGGACACCAAGCATATTGAAGAGCCTGCTTCTTGAAAATATTCTGCTGTCAGAAGGTTATTAGAAAGATGAAATTGATTCAGATCTTGGAATTGATTTTTTTTGGTTCATTGAAAGGAAAAGATTGATTTTGAAACCAAAATGGGCCTGGGTTTCAAGGGGAGGGAGGCCAATTTCAAGGGGAGGAGGGGTAGTAAGGCGGTACTCAGTCTGATTTGATTTAAGGAATTGGTTTTTATTTAATACTGAGTACAACTCTTCAGCTTCATCCTTGCAGCATCAAGTGCAGAGTTGGGAACACAGATGTTGCAGACTGGGCAGGGCCGGGGAAGGATTATTTAGATCATATAACTATTTTTGTGTCAGGCAGTTTTCAGACTTTCTTCCGAATTAACTCTTATTTAGACACATGTTCAATGTGTTTAGATGTTTATGCTGGTGAATCTGCTTGGTGTTTTAAGGATGAAGATTTCTGATGATAGTTGCAAGTGTTCTATGATTATCTGATCACATGTTGTAGCATATATGTGTAATACTTCAGAACAGGCCCAGTTTCATGGCAAAACCATCTAGCTACAACAGTTCATGAATCATATTTACAATTCTGTAAAGATTCATGTAACCACATGTATCCCTTTACTGGTTCTTGCAGGAACATTTTGTAGTATTATCCCAGGTGACGTAAAGTTTAGATGAACTTGGTGCCCAGTTGGTAACTTACTGACCTAATAGATGGAAAAGTTATCATCATGGCCCCAAAATCTGTATTTCAAAATGGCCTCCAAACAGCCATCTTTGATTTTCCATGAGATCCTTTATTGCTGTGTGCTCCTTTCTTTCCTTGGGTGAAGAAATATTCCATATACACAGTCCTAAAAAGTTTTCAATATTAAATACTGAAGTTAATGATACACAAATATGCCTTGAACAATTTGTTGAAAAATAACTAAAAACTAAGAATCCTGCCACCTCATTCAGAAACATTTGGATGAAAAATAATGAACTTTCTGTGGCCGGGGGGCCTTTATTATAATTCTGACTGACTGTTCAACCAATTTCTTGCTACAAGGCTCAACAGACATGTAATGAAAAAGAAATTAGACAGATTGGATTAAGTAAATATTATTAACTAAACACTCATTCCAATATAAGACCTAACCCTAAACACGTGGAAGTGGTGAGCAGGTTGTCCACTTATAAAAACGTGCCATTTTGTAATTGTCTGTCCTGGGAAAAAAATGACTGTTTATAAATATAGTAATAGATTAATGAGTTTACAGCCAGAAGGAAGCAACCTGCTTGAGACTTCACTGCTGGGTATTATCAGATAGGAACTTTGCCAGGAGTAGATCTCGGTTTGTTTTTTTACACAAAATATTTACGAAGGTATGGGTAAGTGCTACTTTAACTAATGTCCAATATGTAAGTGCTGTTTTGATGTCGCAGTTGCATATTTTTTTCACAGTCAGGTTTAACTTATTTAGTTGAACGTGTAAGGTTTTTCTAGCCATTCAACAGGTATTAATATTGGAGGAGTTGCGTGACTTTTTTTAGGGTGTTGAGTGGTTTTGGCAGATGTTTTGAGGTTTTTGTAACCTTGTGATGGCTACAGTGTAGTGTTATGGTATTGTAGGAGTTTGTTAGGTGTGGAAGAATTGGAAGTGTAGTTTATTATCTTAATGATCAGGGAGTGTGGACTGAGGAGGCACTTGTTGTGTTGGGATGCTTGATAGAATCTGAACCGTGAATGTGAAGAAAATCCATCGTGTTGTCCCATTCTGATTGATGAGATTCACATGAAGCATGAGTGTTTCTTGTTTAATGCCACACTCAGCGATATTCCAGCTGTACGATTGTGTAGCTGTATGATTGTAAATAATCAAGTCTGGACCAGACAATCCAGTGATTGACATCATGAGCATCAATCTACGCAACTGGGATACGTAGACATGCATCAACCTAGTCAGCGAGTCTGACCACCTGATCCCGTTAGTCGCCTCTTACGACAGACAGGTGGATGGGCGACTGCGTTCGACAGCTTGACTCCTGAGAGTTTTGGGGCTACAGTCTTGCCCCGTACTGAAACACATATAGCACATGTGGTGTCTCTTTAGGCGAGTGGCTTTGTTCAAAATGTGACTCAGTTCACCCAGCAGTAAATGGGTACCTGGAGGGACAATATGGTTATGTGAGCTGAGAATGAAAATCGTTGCATCGATCCATCGATCAGGGTAATAATGAATTGTGTTTAGAGTGTGGATTTGGCACATCATAAATAAGCACATTATGATTATTTATGAAAATCTAATAAATACGTTTGATAGCCTTATTATAATGATTATGTTTACTTCAACAACTGGCATTAGAACATGTGCTACAAGCATCCTTGAAGATAGGGTCCCTGGGTTGGAAGCTAGTGGCTACATTTCATGTCACTGACAAGAATTGATTGCTCTGTCACCAACAGGATCCTACTGCAAGGATGGGGGATATATACGTCATGTGTTGTACATGGCTAAGGATTAGAGTGGAAAGCAGGGCCTGTTTGACACGTGTAGGAGGCATCCACACCATGTTTATTTCTGTGATTCTGATATGAAGCGATATATTATATGATGGTGAGTCTTATGTCAGCTGTTGTCAAGAATTAATTTGTGATAATTGAAAACAAATAGTTAAAGAACACCCACAATTGGAGTGAGTGAGTGAGTATGGTTTTACCCCGCTTCTAGCAATATTCCAGCAACATCACGGCGGGGGACACCAGAAATGGGCTTCACACATTGTACCCATGTCGGGAATCGAACCCGGGTCTTCGGCGTCCCGCAATTGGAAGGCTGCGTGTTGCACCCACCAACCATGACAGATTAACTATCAGTTGAAAAAATCAGTGTTCTTTAATTTCTTTTGAGTAGTATATATTTGTATCTGGTTAGCACAGTAAAGAAAATATTTGGATAAAAAGTTTCCCTTGTTGACAGCTGGCATAGATTTACTTTCTTGTCAGCGCACCTTTTTTTTGTTATTGGTGAAAAATGATGAATCATGGCGTGTGTGTCCTTCACAGCTGACAGTAATTACTTACTGTGTGTTGATGATGTTTCTCCCAAGTGCCCAGAAAATATCAACATTTAAGACCTTTACCTTGCCAGTGTATATCTCAGAATTGTAATAGTAGTGACGTAAATGATATACATTTCACACAAGCTAAAGGTTTTAGTGTAGAAGTGTTTTGCCAGGTAACGGCACCGCTTTTGATTTCTTCAAGAGCAAATATGTCTAGCTTTTTGTCGTTGCTTGAAATGAGCTTGTGGAGGGTTTTGTTTGATTTTTTGTTCTGCTTTTTTGTCAAGGTGAAATTTTTATGGACTCTTAACGTCTTATATTTCTGCATTAAAAAACCAGTTTGACTCAGGAGCATCCTTGATTATGCAGGGGATTATATATCCAAATATTGGGACCCTTTCGCCTGAATAGCTTTGTTGTGAGACCAATTCTATCGTAGACATCTGATCTAATTACTTTCCTGAGAGTGAGATATTCTGTTCTAAGCTAGTATGAGTCAGTGAGTATGGTGTTTGCCACTTTTTGCAATATTCCAGCAATATCATGGCAGGAGACCCCAGAAATGGGCTTCACACATTTACCCATGTGGGGATTGAACCTGGACTTTCGGCATAACGAGAGAACGCTGTAACCACTAGGCTACCCCACCACCCCGCTCAGCTAGTCAGCTTAAGATAAGAGAGATGAAGATGCGGCATCACTTCCGAAATGAAGCAATGGCAGCAACACGTTCCGGGGTATTTATCATAGTAGATCGGAGGCAGAGTACCAGGGATTAACGAGGATGCTCTTGATGATGACATAGGCCTAGTCCTCATCAAAATGTTCTGTCAAAATTACTGTTGTGTAATAGAAATACAGTGGAATCTTCTTTACGTGATCTTCGGACCTTCACAGGTACTGTATTCGACGTAATAAGTGCCCAGGGTGCTCTCAAAATTAGAAATAGGGGGCTCTTATTAGAATATTATTTTGGTGAAAAAAAACCAGAGTTGAAACAAAGTTGAAATGTTTATATACGACAGATATATTTTTCCAGGATTTAATTGCCCATAATTAAGGGTGCATATAACACACGAGTGCGTATTATACACGAATAAATAAGTCTTGTGTACATTGATCAATCGGAAGGGGTGCTGATTGGGATTGTTCACTCGTCAATATATTAACAAATATCGCTGTGGACGCTTATTAGGGTGGGGCGCTTATTACGTCGAATACGGTATATCTGGTAAGCCTAAATTTGATGCAGGTGTTCCTGTATGAGTTTTGTCTGATCAATGAAATTACACATGATTGTAAATGATGTGGCAAATTAATCAACATCAAAATCATCTTAAATTACATCTTAAAATGAAAGATTTCTCTGGTTTTACTGTATTACATTACCTTTGTAACTTGATGACGGCAATACTTCGCTTAATAATTGGATATATTAGTAGAATTTTCACCTTGACAGAAATGTTTTGGCACCAACGCTGGTCACCCTTGGTGAGCGTGAACTAATGTTTTAGTTCTTTCTTTCTTGCTGTCCTCTTGTTTAGTTTTCGTTTCGCTGCCCGAGCCCCACTAGTTCCTTAACATCAGCCTCTACGACAAGCAGTTGGAGACGGAATGCCTCGGTATGTACTTACCTCCCTTGGTCACAGTTAGCTCTGCTGTGAGAGTTATCTCCCTTATGGCAACTGTGTTGCCTGATACAAATTAGATTGGTCAGTCTTGAAAAGTACTGGATACTTATATATTTTGTATTTATTTTTTGTGTTTGATATTGTTTTGTATTTTTGTAAGCATGTAGTGGGTGTGTTGATGTTGTGAAATATTCAGTTTAAGCCATTAACCATTAATCATCTTCATAATTATGTTAAAATGTTTGTAGATATTGGTATCAGTCTTTTGAGGATATAATTATGTTCTTGTAGACCGCAGTTAGATATCATATGAAAAACTAAATTTGCTTGCAAAAAATATTTCAAAAAATGTTTTCGACAGGTTGAGAAATATTTCATAAATGGGGTGTAATTTTTTTGCATGGAAGTTATTGTCTGTGTTTTTTCATTTAAACATTTTTTCCAATGATGATTTAAGGAAACTGATAAGTCGTTCATCCATCTTCATTTAAGAAAATATAATGTTTCCCTCCATTTTCTCAGTGCATGTAGAAAGAACACCTCATGAAATCGTAAATATAATCATTTCATGCAAAAATGCAAATATTATGCCGCTTGCATGGCTAATATTTTTAATTCAAACAATACTTAATTTATATTCAAAAGAAACAATTGACTGAAATTGTTAAGTTTGACGTTCATTCAGTACATGTTCGTTCTTTTAGTGTTTAATGCATTCATTAGCTGGGATGTGTTTTCCGGGAAATCTTTGGTCAAATTCCAGAAAGGTTTGTAAACAAGCGAGGCAACATTTTGTGCTTCTTCTCTCGATCTGTTCATGCTTGTCTTTATTCACTCCGCAAGCAAATTACATATCACCAGGAAACTGCGCTTCATTTTCTTGCCACACTTTGCAATTTCTACCATGGCGATCAAGTTTATTGCATTTAGTTAGAAATCACAATTGATATTGATGTTTAATATTTTCAAATGCAGTGAAAAACAAGTCTTCACTTAGAAACAATTAGGAATGGTTCTTTCAGCACTACATCATGATGTTCTTTAGGAGATGTATTAGATTGACACTATGTCTGAAACTATTTTGATATGTTGTTTGTGCAATTGAAAGTTCTTTTCCATTGTAATGCTATTGTAAATGGAGTTTCTAGATGATGTGACAATATTTGTCTTTGTTGAATAAATGTTTGTAAATATTTCTTTCTGAAAACTATCTGAGCCATTTTTCTCTCTTACAATATTTCTTTTATCTGATATTTTTGTGCATTATTTTTTTTCTTTCCGAAGGTTTTGTGCTAAAATGTATATCCATATTGATACTGATCATTATCAAATATTTATATCTACAATTCCTTCATTTCTCATTGACAGATGTTATTTCTATGTCTCATTCAGACTAAATGTGAGGGGTGGTCGGGTAGCCTAGTGGTTAAAGTGTTCGCTCATCACGTCGAAGACCCGGGTTTCATTCCCGACATGGGTACAATGTGTGAGGCCCATTTTTGGTGTCCCCCGCCATGATATTGCTGGAATATAGCTTTAAGTGTAAAACCATACTCACTCATGATCACTCACTCAGACTAAATGTGTTTTTTTATTTCTACAGCACGACTCTTCCATGGAAAGAAGGTCGGGGATGAACTTTGGCCGGTTCTACACTGGCAGTTACTTGGAAAACAGCAAAACGGATTATTTAAAACGAGCAAGCCTCAACCCCAAGGAGACCCAGAAATCCCCTCATTATCATAGACCCCGTACGTTCATTTGTAACTTAGACTTTCTTGTTTCTTTACAACCAGGGTCCTTAGCTTTTTATCCAGCATTGAATTTTAGTGTAGTCATTGTACAGAAATGCTTTCATCACCTTTCTTTCGTTGATTGGATTTAGAGTAAGAGTTCTGGAGTTGAGGTGTCTCTATCCTCAAGGCAATAGATTTGTCTTAAAGGACAATTTAGAAGCCTAGGGCTTACAGTTTCTATTGACAGGAGATCGTAGAAAATGAAGCAAGTGTTTTCTTTGCTTTTTTAACCAGTGTTTTAAAAGCATGTTAAGTGCAATTAAGTGTCACTTTCGGTTGGGAATCTGGTTAGAAGGGGCGGTCAGGTAGCCTAGTGGTTAAAGTGTTCGCTCATCACACCAAAGACCCGGGTTGGAATCCCAACATGGGTACAATGTGTGAAGCCCATTTCTGGTGGTCTCCGCTGTGATATTGCTGGAATATTGCTAAAAGCGGCATAAAAGCCATACTCACTCACTCTGGGTTGAAAAATGTGCCCCAAGTAATCTGTTATACAAGGCTACTTGGTGGATCAGACTATCCGGCTCTGTGGCATGGTTGAGGGTGTGTCATTGTACCCCAGTGGCTTGGAGCGTTGCTCATTATATCAATCTCATGGTTGTGTGGTCCTGGCTCACTGGGCACAGTTCTCAGTGGTAGAAACTAACAGTTTGGGTCTGCTAGTCCTGTTAAAGATACCATATAGCAAACCCCTTAAAAATGGCAAATTTCTACTAGTCCTTATGATACCTTTACTATTGGGCAGTTTGGCAAGGACTACAGGACTAGTGCCAATTTCTAACTCTGGTTCTGTGGCAGGAATATTGCTGATTGGGGCAATGTTAGGCATGTTATGTTTCCATCTAAGGTTGAAATTCCGATATTTAAAAAAATAATTTTTATTATGATGTTTTGATGTAGACATGCATCTTTGGGAGGTGCACCATTTTCTGTTATCCTCCCTGAGCAGAGAAGACAAGTTTTCACAGTCTTTTTAGTCATTTGTCAATCACATTCCTGGATTATCCAACAAACAAACATTTCCAATTTTCAATTTAGAAATCATTTTCACCTTATTTTTGTACTTGCTGACATTGTGTTAAGTTGTCATCATTTGACTATTGAGGCAGGTTTGGTGGAAGGAGATAACATGTCATCATCAATATATACTCTGGAACCTTTTTTCAATTTATGAAGTCACAGGTTCACACATTAAGAAATTCTTTGTTTATGAAATACTCACATCATTATTACCCTATCAAGATTCCAAGGCAAAATAATAGGCCCTCAGTATGTGTGTTCTGACAAGGATCTTGTTGTCCTACTGGATTGTTAAGTGTGTCATATCTACATACTGGGGCTGTCGGGTAGCCTAGTGGTTAAAGCGTTCGCTTGTCACGCCGAAGACCCGGGTTCGAATCCCGACATAGGTACAATGTGTGAAGCCTATTTCTGGTTTCCCCCGCCGTAATATTGCTGGAACATTGCTAAAAGCGGTGTAAAACCAAACTCACTCACTCACTCACTCATATCTACATACTATTATGATATGTACCCTGGGCCCATTGACAGTGTCATAAAACAACATTCACTCAGGGCTACCAGCAAGGTAATTGTTTTGAAAAGTCAATATGACTTCCCTGGTGTATCGAGTCCAATTGCCATGTAAGTTACAAGGTGAAGGTGAGCTACAGCCCTTACTTTCTGATATCGACATCAGTTATGTTTGAATAAAACATGGATAATTCTTATGAAGCCTCTACCTCTATTATATCATTGCCATAAAACCTGTTTTTTGTCTGCAATCACACTGAAACTAAAATTTCAGATTTCAACAGAAGTCCTCTCTGCCAACTACACATGATAAGTTGTTTCCCAAATGGCACATACAGCTCTCCTGTGTGCAAGGTGGGAAAAACTTCACTTCTTTCCTGTGTGTGCTAGAGGACACATCTCCTGCATGGACAATCATACGAATCAGGAATTATGGACCCTGTTGGAACAACCTCTTCATATAAATTGCAGGAAAGGCGATTTGTTATGCTCACAAGACCTGGAAAATGTTGCTATCAGTTTGTCAGTCCTCAGAGCGGCGGACAACACTACAGTTGCAGATCCAGCTCCCTGATAATGGAAACTATTCAATTATTTGCCTTGGCTGACTCAATTGCCAGATAGCAGTGAGAGATACCCGGCAAGTTCAACATTGTCGAGGACAGCCTTCCCACAGGGGACGTATTGTTTCAACAGAATGGACCCTCCATCCGGAAGTTGGGACACCGCCCATCTAGACCACTTTGCCACCTACCTGAACAACCTTCTCTCAGTCTACGTCAGGCCGGTTCTGGACCAGAAAGTGTCTCAAGTCGATGCTCTGGACGGGTTTCTTTTCTTAAGTGTTGCAATCATCTGTCTCTGGTAGTTTGAAGAATGGAAAGTAGTGATGTTTTTGCTGCCTTGGAGAGATGTACATGCTATTAGGGGAACAACTTATCATGTGTAGTTGACACTGAAGAGGACTTCTGTCGAAATCTGAAATTTTAGTTATAGTGTGATTGCAGCCAAAATACAGGATGTATGGCAGTGATGTAATAGAGGTAGTATTCTTAGAATTATTAACAATGATAACTATTGTTTTGATGTTTGGATGCGGTTACCTTGGCATATCACCTGTCACTGATATCATCCTTGTTGCTGATGTTGCTGTAACTATGGCAACCACTGTCCGATTCATTGGTTGTCTCCACAGCATATATGCATATCACCTACTTATAAACAAGATAGATATTTTGAATTTTTCTTCATGTATAAGTTGATAAAAAGTATAATAATTGAGAGAATCGATTACTGTTTCTGATCATCTGAAAATATATACATTTTTAATTCTTCTCTTCAGTCGAGCCCGGACGTTACCAAGGTTTATAGACTAATTCCTTCCCTCACTGTCGTCAAATTATTTTTGTAAAGTTGATGTTTCTGGTTGCTGTGGATTGAACGACAATTATACTGTCAAATGTTTTTTTCTTCTCTCATTCTTTTTTATTTGTGCGTGCCCTAAATATTGTTCAAAGAAAGGTGTATTGACACTCATTAATCAAAATCATATATTACAAATAGCATAGTAAACACTAAAACACTTATATTGACTTGAACTAGATTTTTGTAAGAAAGTTTTGATAAAATTATTTTGATGTCAACATTTTTTTCAGTTTGATCCTACGTTACAATTCTAACAAAGATGTCATTCCATAAATGATTTTCATGAATATCATCATTAAAATACTAAACGACAATCATCCTTATTTATTTTTTGTTTTTTTGTTTTATTTTTAACTGTTTGTTTATTATGATGAAATGTGTGTGAGCATATCAAGCACTGAATACTGAAGATTCACATGAAATTGATTTTGAAATATTTAGATATTTTAGATTTTTTAATTTGCTTTATTTGAAATACAACATTTTGAATCGATAATTGATATTTTTGAAGTTTTGTTCTTGAGTATAAAAAGATATGGCTAGTTTGTTTTTTATTGATTTTGGTAGTAAAACAGGAAAAATAATGCTTAAATGCATATGTCGTAAGCAAAAACAAATATTTAATTTAAAATATTTGGTTCAAATTAAACAAAATTCCAGGTAAAAAATATCTATAAGCACGTATCAAATCTGTGACGTTTTTCAACTCATCTTCTGTATCTACTGCGTTCATCTTCAGAGTGCACAATGCATGCATGTAACAGACTATCTCATAGGCTAGATGATGCTTCTCGGGGGATCTATCCATAATAGAAACAAAATGGATTGTCAGGATTTTCAACCTTCACCTTCATAAGGAAATCAACATGTGGATTTCAAAATTTTAGTGAAGAATGTTTTTTTGTGAATTTTTAGTGGTATTTGTGAGTACAAATTTATTTTTCATGCTTGACGATGAATTGTTCTCGTGCCCTGTAATTTAAAGAAATGATCAAATTGGCATTTATCATTGAAATGATATTGAGAATATGGATTAAGTCTCCATCATCATGTATCATAGCAGGGTAATAGAGTCTGATGTTGTTTAAGATGAATTCAGAGACGAGAGTGTTGTTTGTTGTTTAGGGTTGTTTATAAGATATAATTACCAAAACTGTTGTTGTACGTTTCTCTGTCTTGTATTTCAGCTAACTTCTCCTATTCGAGTGACAAACCAGAATTTCTCAAAGCAAGAAAAAGTAAGACACAGTAATTTGTTAAAAAATTAATTGTTGTAAACTTGTTTCCAGCCTTTGTCTTGAAAAGATTTCCTTGTGCTGTGAAAATTGTTACCATTAAGTGAAAAATACAAATTTGGATGTCATTTTCCCAACATATACTGATGGCAAAAAATAGTGAAACATGCAGGAATTCAACTGGCAAATCTTTTATGTTGTGTTGAATGTGAATGCATACTGAACCCCTGTAAAGATCTGGGTTAGGGGTGGTCTTCAGGATCCCATGCTTTTTTTAAGAGGTGACTAAATGGATTGGGTGGTAGGCACACTAATGTGGTTGATGCATGTTGTATCCAGGGAGCACGGGTGGCCCAGTCGTCTAAGGCGCCGCAATTCGCTGTGCAGAGTTGCGTCCCTTGGGCACGCCAGAAACCTATGATTGTGGGTTCGAATCCCGGTTCGCCCCGATTATGTTTCTAGGTTTGTCAGCACCATACCCGTGCTTGTGGGTTTCATCTAAGTGATAAACGTCTTAGACCTGCATCACTTCAGGCTTTCCTCCCACATTAAGCTGACACGCCACGATATAACTGGAATATTGTTAAAAGCGGCGTTAAACCCAACTCACTCACTCACTCACTCATGTCGTATCCCAATGGGGTAGATCGATATTTCAGTATTTACATATGACTGTCATACAGCTTGAATATTGCTGAGTGCGGCATTTAAACAACAAATAAACAAAACAAACTGAGAACTGAAATGTTTTAGTTTTCATTTTACAGCAGTGTGAATAGTGGGGTCCCCAGGACTCTGTCTTTTCCTAGAGACAACTTAGCGTTTTGGATTGTCCGTCTCTGTGACATTGGTACCTCAATGCCACCCTACATTTCCTGCTGTTCTGTAGTCATTGAATGTTTGGTCACTCTTGCAGTATCGGCGTCAGGGAGCAGCGGGATGATGGCGCTAGCGTCCGGGGGGACACGTGTCGTCAAGGTGCGCCGCAGCTCCTCCCCCAGCAGCCTCCGCAACTCGGAGGCCGTCAGGATGAGCACCTACCCTGCGGGCAAGCGACCCCTGCCCAACGAGGTGGAGAAGATCGAGAGGGATGACTGGCCAGGACCTGCCTCCCCAGCTGCCATTCTGCCGGAGATCTGTAAGCTAATGTGTTGGGATGTGAAGTTTAGGGACAGACAATTTGATATTCAATTTGGGGGGGGGGGGGGGGGGGGGGGGGGGGCATTTTGTATCGAGATTAGATTTTTTTTAAGAATTGCAGGGACAATGTATTTTTTTTGATAATCCCAGAACCCCCCTAGAATATCAACTGACCCGATTATTTGCAGACAGCTGTCGTATAGGTGGAATATTGCTGTATAAGCTTGAAACAAGAAACAATGTCTAGATCTCAGAGCTCAGTCTATTTGTCTACTGTTGGGTAGCCTGGTGGTCAAATGAAATCATTCACCACACTGAAGGCCCGAATTTGATTCCAATGTGCAATGTACAATGTGTGAAGCCCGTTTCTTGAATCATCTGCCATGATATTGCTGACATATTGCTAATAGCAGCGTAAGACCAAATTGACTCCCTCACCCTTGTCCTTGTGAGTGAGTGAGTGAGTGAGTGAGTGAGTGAGTTTGGTTTTTACGCCGCTTTTAACAATATTCCAGCAATATCACGGCGGGGGACACCAGAAATGGGCTTCACACATTGTACCCATGTCAGGGTTCTAACCCGTGGCGTGATGAGCGAACGCTTTAACCACTAAGCTACCCGACCGCCCCCTTGTCCTTGTGACCACGTTAACTCATGATGTGTGGATGTTTCCTCCAGTGCGAGAGCGGCGGAGGAGTCGGGGGGAGAAGGACGATGACGATGATGAGGAGGTGGAACAAGACCCCAAGTTCGAACGCGAGCTGGAGGAGATCTCCAAGTTGAAGGACAAGTCCGGCATTGGCTCCCTCATCTACAAGGAGATGGAGGAGAGAAGGTCTCTGCCCAAGAAGCCGATGGACCCCTGGCTCTCCTCGCGGGTCCCGAGTGCCAAATATGTGCCCAGATACAGCACACGGTTCCAGTCGCCCATGTTTGCCTGTGAGTTCCATACCTTGCCAGTAGCCTTGGAGGGGTGGAAAAGAAAGTCTCAAAACTCGTACCCATCAGAGCCCTGTACATGTTAGCAAGATTGGGGATGGGTGGTCGGCTGAATATGTTCACATGATCACTTGATTCAGAGAAATTTACAGTGGCCATTATGAACAATCTCTGTGATCTATTATTATCGTAAGAATTCCTTTTTGTTAGTATTTTGTAGTTGTATGTTCTGTTCTATTGCATAAAATAATAGAGTGGTTGGCAAATAGAACAAAATCTTAACTTTAGATATATTTACTTTACTTATTGTCTGGGGCTTATTGGTTGAATCCGTAAACCAAACATTAAAAAAAAGAAGTTCTTTTTGAGTACTGTGGTGACAGAATTATTGGTAAAACTTTCCACTAAACACAGATATAAAATACGGCTGAATTCTGATATGTTTCATTTCAGCTCCGTCTCGATTTCTTGACCGACCTCGCTACGCATGGGATGACAGTGATATCCGTGGTTACCGATCTCTGTCTGGCATCGGTTATGGCTACAATCAGAGTGAGGATGTGTTCTAGCGACCTCTTTGAAATCATTCGTAGGGAAAAAACACTTTACTGGATGTCATTAGTTCATTCGAAATCATGAAATGTATGTTAAGTCTCATTAATATCAAATGTTTTACGCCGATGCTATACCCCTCTCTGTAAAGATCTTTAAAACCTACGTAGGTACACGTGAAGATCCGGATCAGAGTAGGTCTCCAGCAACCCATGCTTGACGTCACAGGCGACTATGCTTGTCGTAAGTGGTGACTAACGGGATCGGGTGGTCAGACTTGCTGACTTGGTTGATGCATGTCATTGTATCCCAATTGCGTAGATCGATGCTCATGATGTGAATGACTTGATTGTCTGGTCCGGACTCGATTATTTGTAGATTGCAGTCATATAGTTGGAATATTGCTGAATGTGGCAAACAAACAAACAAACAAACATTGGAGGTAGGTGAACATTCTAATCAGCCAATCAGCATCGAGGCTTCTGCATTCTCAGTACAAACTAGCAAAGTATTCTGAGCAGCTTATCTGATTTCTGTATCTTGTATCAACTTCAAGTCGCTTGCCCACTCTCAATGGCGATGTGGTACATACTTTTACAGCACTAACTTGTACGTGGTCATTTCAGCACCCAAGCCAGGCTATGGACCATCCTATGGTGTGGCACCAAGGGCAGCAACTCTGCCACTTTCGGGTCTCTTTGGTGCTAGAGATGAATTCGTAAGTAAAATTACAAATATTTGTGTTGGAAAATAGGAGTGACCTTGATGGATGTATTTCGCCAGTCATTGTGTACTGGTATATCAAAGTACTATTGTCATTTTGATACATATTCTGTCAATTTTTGCTCCACAGAAATATTTTGAAAAAGAAAAAGTTAAATAACATTTCTGACAGACCAAATGGCCGATTCTGTTTCCTGTTTGACTTTCTGATTGGTCAATGATGTTTGATTGACAAGTGGTAATTGATTTCTTTCTGCCATCGATTTTGAATGAAAAAAATCCATTTAAAGAACGACAAAACTTGCTTGGACAATATTGTGACAGAAATATATTGGGTGTATAACATTTCAAATGAAGAGAACGAAATTTCTTAGAGATAGAAAATGATAATAATTTGATTTGAATAAAACGGTTGGCATGTTTAATGAGAAGTGGGATGAAGTGGATGTAGAGAATGTCTGCTTGCTGTTAAGGACTTGTCTGTGACTATTTGCAGGATCTCTACCACATTAACCATGATGAGCCGACACAGAACGGAGACAGAAGTGAGTAGAGCACTCTCCGTGGTCAGGCATGTTCTGTTCCGTGAGGCAGCACTATAAGTCTTTAAGACCAAGACCCTATTCACAAAGCGCTAAGATGATGGTCATGCCTATACCTTACATAGGCTTAGTGGTAGCTCTATAATGGCTTTGTGGAATGGCCTTGTACCGGTAACACAGGAATTAAGATTAATCGGAGTCTTTGTCCAGTGTCATCATCAAGATCTCACACATTGTTTGCACTTTATTCCTCCATCCACCGTGAATACACACAATTAAGACCCATTAAGATCCCTGGGTAGAATTGGTCTGCACCAACCCATATCCTTGCCATAAAAGGCAACTATGCTTGTTGTAAGAGGCAACTATTCTTGTCGTAAAAGGTGACTATGCTTGTTGTAAGAGGCGACTATTCTTGTTGTAAAAGGTGACTATGCTTGTTGTAAGAGGCGACTATTCTTGTCGTAAAAGGCAACTATGCTTGTTGTAAGAGGCGACTATTCTTGTCGTAAAAGGTGACTATGCTTGTTGTAAGAGGCGACTATTCTTGTCGTAAAAGGCGACTATGCTTGTTGTAAGAGGCGACTATTCTTGTGGTAAAAGGTGACTATGCTTGTTTTAAGAGGCGACTATTCTTGTGGTAAAAGGTGACTATGCTTGTTGTAAGAGGCAACTATTCTTGTTGTAAAAGGTGACTATGCTTGTTGTAAGAGGCGACTATTCTTGCCGTAAAAGGCAACTATGCTTGTTGTAAGAGGCAACTATTCTTGTTGTAAAAGGTGACTATGCTTGTTGTAAGAGGCAACTATTCTTGCCATAAAGGGCGACTCTGCTTGCTTTAAGAGGCAATTGTGCTTTCCTTAAAAGGTGACTATGCTTGTCGTAAGAGGCGACTATGCTTGTTGTTAGTGGCGACTATGCTTGTCATAAGAGGCGACTAATGGGATCAGGTGGTCAGGCTGCCATAGAGAAAAATAATCCCAGTAAGAGGCTGATCTGGCATCAAGGTCGCCATGGTTACAGATAACTGACATTAAATTTATCACTGATCATGCTAATCACTGTCACTAATGAAGGTTTCTTGTTTCTACAGCTACACCCACATCTACTTTGAACGCTGATGGTGTTCCCAAGGTATGGAGACGTTTGTGTTACGAAGGTTTCTTGTTAGTTGAAGATATGTTACCTTTTACTTGTGTATGGGATCTGTTCACGTAGTGTTCCTTCAAATACCCTACCACTATTACATTGGGATATGATGTAATACAGATAGTATTCTTAACACAATTATAACCATATTTTGATAATTCCTTTGATTACCCTACCTCTGTTACGTCATATCCTGATGTAATAGTGGTAGTATTCTTAGAATAATCCAAGATAACTATTGTTTGATAATTCCTTCCAAAACCTAACCTCTAATACATCATATCCTGATGTAATAGAGGTAGTATTCTTAGAATAATCCAAGATAACTATTGTTTGATAATTCCTTCCAAAACCTAACCTCTAATACATCATATCCTGATGTAATAGAGGTAGTATTCTTAGAATAATCCAAGATAACTATTGTTTGATAATTCCTTCCAAAACCTAACCTCTAATACATCATATCCTGATGTAATAGAGGTAGTATTCTTAGAATAATCCAAGATAACTATTGTTTGATAATTCCTTCCAAAACCTAACCTCTAATACATCATATCCTGATGTAATAGAGGTAGTATTCTTAGAATTAAACACAATGATAACTATTGTTTGTTGTTTCGTCGCTGAAACATTATTTGTTTAAGGCTGTCATACATGAGGAGCCATTCATCAAGTATAGCCTGTCCATGTAAACTTTGCCCATAAGCCGTCCAAGGACCCACTAGTCATTGGTTTGAATCCAAGATGCACTCTGATTCTTGTTTTTTCGTTCCTGTGCTCATGCCATGACATGATAAAGGCAGTGAATTTGGGAGTCCAGTTAGTGTTTAAAATAAAAGTTATTGCCTGGCTGCCATCAGGACCCACAGACGTCAGAAGCTGCAGGCCCTGACTAAACTCTTCAGGCCCTGTTTAAAAAGACTGCAGCGTATTGTGAATAAATTGACACGTAACTTCACTGCAGGTCATAAGGACCCATGCATATTTGAAAGTACAGGCCCACCACGATATCTACCTGACGCGGGACATGGGGCAGGTGCTTATTTCGAACACGGAGTCCAGTTTAACCTTCAGATAGGCCTTCACTAGTAATCTGTCTTAAAAAATCCTTAAAATTATATAAAATGCATTGAAAGACCTTGAATTTGGCGACTATTGCTGACTCTGCTGATAATAAATGAAATTATTTTTCTCCATAATCATGTGTGATGACTATGGAGCATAATATGTGTCAGTAACTCGAGTAATAAATAATATTGAGCCTTTTGTGTGAACTGGAATATTTTGGTATCTGTTTTGGATGTGCAAATGCATCCATTCTGACAATAAGAACAAGTATGAAAAAATGAATACCTATTGTATAGTCAGGCTAGATGTTATTCCATATGGTTGTCAAGCTGGATACTTATTGCATAGTTAAGCTAGAAACTTGCTGCAAAGTAAGGCAAGATGCTTGTTGCACATGGTAGTCAGGCTAGTTACTTAGCGCATAGTCAGACTAGTTACTTATAGCATTATGAGGCTAGATCTTATTGCATTATCAGGCTAGATCTTATTCATTATCAGGCTAGATCTTATTGCATAGTAAGGCTAGATCTTATTGCATTATCAGGTTAGATCTTATTAATTATCAGGCTATATCTCATTGCATAGTAAGGCTAGATCTTATTGCATTATCAGGCTAGATCTTATAGCATTATCAGGCTAGATCTTTTTGCATAGTAAGGCTAGATCTTACTGCATAGTAAGGCTAGATACTTATAGCATTATCAGGCTAGATCTTATTTCATAGTAAGGATAGATCTTATTGCATTATCAGGGTAGATCTTATTGCATTATCAGGCTAGATACTTACAGCATTATCAGGCTAGATATTATTGCATTATCAAGCTAGATCTTTTTGCATAGTAAGCCTAGATCTTATTGCATAGACACCAGGCTAGGTGCAGTGCGACTATATGACCAAAGGTTGGCCATTCACTTAGATACTGAGAACTGACTGTTCTTGCTAGATGTGTTGTAAGCATGTCTTTAGCCTGGAAGTACATGTTTAAAGTATGGGGTAATGTAGCAGTATGCAAGTGGTGTGTTGATGTTTCAGCGTGAGCCGCGGGTGTGGGGCATCAGTGGCGTGTCGGGGTACGAGGGTCCTTCCATATCATTACTCAAGCTGCAGAAGAGCACCTGGCACACAGAGTCGGAACCCCCGGTAAGCATATCACACACCTGCACACACCTGCACGCACCTGCACGCACCTGCACGCACCTGGCACAGAGTCGGAGCCCCCGGTTAGCATAACAACAAGTTCCATATCCTTCTCCTGGCCAGGTGAAAATGAGAGCTCACTCCCAAGAGTTACTTCCCTTTATAGACCTACCTCTGTGACCAAGTTCTCATAAGCTTGACGAAGTTTAGTCTATTTTGTGAAACTATTCAACAGTCCATTCTATAAATTCATGAAGACATTTAAGCAGTGATGGTCTCCAAAACTTACCTAACTTGTCCTGCCTACAGCTTAAAAAAATAAAGAATTGGCGGTGCCTGACAACTAAGACTATTATTTTTTTTAGCCGGAAAGATCCAGCTTTGTTGTTTGGACATGCCAACTATTTTCTGCACATGGCAGTTAGCAGACTTATTGGAGTTTTCACAAGACAGCCTCTGGCCAATTGTAATAGCTGGCTAGATAGGATTGGTTGGTCAGGCTCGGTGATAACAGATCATAGTTAAAGGATGTACCAGCAAATCTTCAATATCACTTATCATAAATAAGTATCAGTGGAACTCACAAATATCTCGACGTCACAAATTGTGACAACAGTGATTCTAGAACATGGCTCGCGGACAGATCTAATTTTGCTTTGTGTTTCAGGTTTATCCATATGACAAGTTGAAGATAACAAATTTTGATCTGCCCAAAGATGTAGATACAAACCATTTAGAGGTAAGCATCAAGTTGACATAGAGTGTATCTTTTTTGTTGGATGTTTGCTTATTGAGCATACCTCTCTGATCAATGCTCCCTGACCAATTCTGGAGTCAGTATACGAGTGGGGTATCCACGTTAAACTGTGGAATGGTGTCTCAGTGGGAGTATAAAGAAATTCCTTTTCACAGATGGACAGTGTTTTGAAGTACATTCAGGAGATGGTTTTCACATTGATTTCTCTCATTCTGTTACAGATTCATCTAAATGAGGAAGAATTCCAAAGTATATTTGAAATGCCTAAAGAAAAGTTTTATAGATTAGCAGAATGGAAGAGGAACGACATCAAGAGAAAACAACATTTGTACTGAGATGTGGCTGAGGTAGAAGGAGGTGCCATCAGGAACCATCTATCATCCAATCACAGGCATTGTTACAAATAACAAACGTCCAAACCGCAAGCCGATTTTGCATCTGTGTATATGCCTTTCGTTGCCAACAGAATTGGCAAAGACATTCACTGCAGTTTTCAGCGGGATGTGTGTATGGAGATAACTCCAATCTTGCTTCCTTTTGCAAAGGGAGCTTACTCCTTCTTGATCTTGTGCAAAGGGGAATAATGCTGGAGAAAATATCCCATTTTGTTAATAAGGTCAATGGGAGATAACTCTTGGAAGCCCAAAATGATCCCTAACAACCACTATTAGTTTTTCTTCTTTTCGAATTGAAAAAGATATTAAATGGAGTTTCTGGAAGAAAATCATTTCTTGATGATTTGAAGACATTTAACCAGTTGACTTTTCTTTATAGTGACAAACAAGAATTGAAAACTGATTCTTAGTGCTGAAGACCTGGTTTGTTCCGCAAGGATTCAGTGAAGAAGTGCTATATGAGAATTCCCACCCTGGTCACGATTCCCACAACGTAATAAGTGAGGAATTGCAGGAATTACACTTTGATGAAAATGTTTTCACCAAAATGGCTGTGTTTAATACATGGTTTGCTACTCAAGTGGAGATAACTCTAACTGAACAATTGCATCTAGCATCTCATGATCATAGAGACACATGGCCAACTGAAACCCTCCCAGAAGAGGGTTTGCTTCTTCATTGAGAGCATAATATCTTCACTGGCTATCTATCTAGCAGTGCTGGCTTAAGCTGAAACGTATAACTCCGATGACCAGTGCGTGGCCTGTCATCTGGGAGCAGTCTTACTGACAGAAAGACTGTGCATGATGATCGCATTTATATACATAATCACTGTAAAACAGTACATTTGCTATGTATTCAGCCTTGAATGTTACAACTATATACTGTCAACCATAGTTTAACTGACCTGGTTAATAAGCGCCAGAACTTGATAAAAAAACAGGCCATATTTTATTTATGCACATAAGGTTGTGTTTTATTTTGCATATTCAAGCCAATGCTATAATGTCTTATATTTTAAGATTTTTCATTTGTAATATTTTTCCTGAAGATGGTTTTATATTCTGTGATCGATATGAGAAGCATGTTCCACTTTATTTTTCTTTGGTTCACACAAAACATGGTATTTGGTAAATATGGGTATTTGGCTGTTAATGGTATATGCTGTGGAATCTGAACTGTTTAAATCTATTTTTGTTTATCTTTTGTTTTTTATATCCAATGGCATTATTCATAAGTCATGTTTGGTTGTGTTTGCATACGAAGAAGTCTGCATTTATTTATGATTGTATCAACAAGGAAAACAGTTCGCTGCTTGTAAATTATTTTTTGCTTGTATATTTATCATCTGCTTGTTGCCCAGTGTATGTTTCGGCAGATTCTTTGTTGACGATGAAATTCTGCCGTTCATCAGTTAATTACACTTCCGTAACCATGGTTACTTGTCATGTCCATTGCATATTTGTACATAGCACTTGGTCAGCATAATTACCACGGATTTATTGGATAACCAACTTCCTAATTTCAGTAGATTCCTGTAACCATCATCGTTTGCGTGAAACCAGAAAACGAGATGTTCTGCGAATTGATTCATGCATGTGCAACAACATTTTCTTATCAAGCCTATTAAATAGTCCGATGGACAGAGAGAGAAGCACCAAGAAGAAATGTAATGAGTTTTACACCAAATCGTGAGATGTTGTGAGGGGCGGAGGGTAGCCAAGTGATTAAAGTGCTCATCACAAACCAGGTTCGATTCCATCATGGGACAAGCTGTGAAGCCCTTCTCAATGTCCCTACCATTTGTCTGGGCTATTGCCAAAAGCAGTTACATCCAACTCCGTTATCGTGTACCATATGTTATAAATTTATTCAGAATCAAGCAGTTACATCCAACTCCGTTATCATGTACCATATGTTATAAATTGATTCAGAAGTATTCAAACAATATTTGATACCTATACCTCTTTGAACCTTTTTTCGATCTCTGCACTGTGAAGTAATTTTTGCGAAATGACGTTTTTGTACACCTTGTAATATATAGCCCTGGAGCCTGTATAATCAGCTTGGATTCCATTGTGCACCTCTGCGGTTGAAAAATCATGTGCGAGATCGAGAACACCGTACTGCACCATGGTGGTGCCGGCTGAGTGTGGCGCCGGCTGGGGGTTGCGACAGGACTTGAGTGCCTAAGGCGTGGTAGATCTGTACATAAGCCATATTGGTTATCAGTTGTTGGTTCAGTTCTTGTACAAATGATGTAGTTATAACCATGTACAGTTGGACGGATGGATGGATGGCGAGAATGAATCCTGCTTTGTGAAGGAGGCGGCGGAGTTGAAGATGGTGTCGACCCTCGTCTCGTGTGTTGGACTTGGCGATGTTGTGTGTCCTCACTGTACAGTGCTTGTACCCTGTGTGTAGATCTTGCCTGACCACATTCACCCTAGGCTCCTCATATATTAGGTATGACATTTTTTTTTTTTTTATTTATTTTTTTTTTAGATGAGTAATATAAAATAATTCAAAATTCCTATTTTTTACTTTGTTTATGGACTACAAAGCTCAAATTTAACAAATGTGACTAAAATTATTTTTTTTGGTCTTTTTTTCTTTTTATTTGTGTCCAGTCTGTTAAATTTGTCAGTACTAAAAAAATATTCGAAGTAGGCAAAAGGGTATGAATGTCTCCCTTTGATTTTTTAAAATTTTGTGTTTGTCCACATGTATTGTTTTTGTTTTTTTTAGATCTGTAAACAAATTATGATAAGAAAGAGGCCACGGAATGAAGTGAGATTCCTCCCCTTCAACACACGGATCTGCCGCTATTCGTCATAATTTGGTTTGAACTTTTTTAGATAAGTTTTAGAAGAATTAGCTTTTAATATTGTATTATAAATAAAAAATGGCAAAAGTCTAAGGTGAATGTGTTTTGGCTTGCTAGGATAGTTGACATATTAAGCTATCAACGTTTTATGAAAGACGTTTGTGTTGATTTGGTGCTTTTTACGATTGTAGATTTTTTAATCATATCTGTTTAATTGGTATTGTTGGTGTTATGAACATGCAACCCTCTTTTTCCACAATGGATTCTTCCACGATGTTTGATCTTGAAATCATGGAGAGTCTATTTTGAGAAATGGGTGAAATATTAATCTGCTTTGTAAGTGTTGAATTTCTGAGAAACCTTGTCCCCCTGTCCAGTCATTGTTGATGAGTGTTGATGTTCGTATGCTTGTTATCACTAATGGTATGTCTGTTTAATGTTTGTTAATTTTCATCCCGATCTTGGATTTGTTTGTGTGATATGTCACTGATTCGTACATCACGGTCAATTTTTTTTTCTGTTGAATCATGGCCAATATCCAACCTCAACATGTTATGTTAATTTTATGTGAAAACAATATGGGAAATGTGATTGAATTTCATATTGATTCAAATATATTGGATTACAGGTATATTTAAATTACTGAATTGAGAAATTTGTCTTATGTAATCCTGAACAGTAATACCAAATATGGTAAAAAAAGCTTAACTTTCAAACATTTTATTATTCAAATAATGGCATCTTGATCATAATGTGTACGGAAGCTTAGGACAAGTGATATTGAAATGGTTATTTTTGTGATATTACCATATGTTGGACGTTGCCTCGGTGACAAGTCGCTGTTTTTTGGTTGCCACTGTTGTATGGCATTAGGTCCCCTAGCCATAAGGGACACTCGCTTTAACATATCAGTAAAAAGGCTAGTTTCATAGAACTTTTAAGTTTTAGAGATGTTTTAAGCTTAGACAATTTTTCCATCCGATTTGATTCAGAACTTTACCAAGTGCAATATACATATTTAGCAAGTTGATCATGTGACTATGTTGTGGACATTCTTGATTCTGAAGGCTTTCGTGCATGATACGGTTGATCGATAATCAAATCCAACCTGAATTATGCAAATTTGAAAAATTTGAAAATTTAAATATACATTTAGCGCTATACTGAAGGGCGCAATATAATGGTAACCACCTAGAATTTTTTTTTCAGATTTTTCAGGCTGTATCAATTTCAATCAGTTTCTGCAGAACTGCTTTTTCTGCGAGATGTTGATTTCATTAAACCAGATCTGAGCTCCTGTGAGTGATTGAAGTATGTACCACTTAGACACAATTCCCTCGTTCTATGACTGTTTCATCACACCTGACTATCATATTGCGTTATTGGACAACTTATATTGTCATGCTAAGGAAATGGTATTACATTTGTACTTGAATTGAAATGCTATACACATGAAATTGAGAAACAGTTTGAAAACCGTTTTGTGTGAACGTTTCAAGGTAGGATACAATATTTCATTTGCAACTACGGTGTAAGCATTTTTTGGAGTAATGTTTTGCAATAGTTTATATTCTAATGTTTTGGAATATTACTTTGCAAGTGGAGTTCTCCAATTCCAGCAAACTAGTCCCACTATCTTTTGAGACTATCAACTTGCTCCTGTACTCGGCTTCATGTAGATTACTCACAACTCTCCTGCTTTGTAGCACTGGCGACTAACCACACAGACCGTGGTAGCTACGTTTGGCATTGCTTGCGGTTTCTGAGATAAATGCACCTTCTCAAGAACTGACTTTCTTGTTAGTCTGTTTGTGGACATTAGTTAAGTCTCTGCAACAGGCTTAACTTCTCCGAGGTTGGTGGTCAGACTAGAATGAAATCAAATTCACTGGCTGCAAGGTTCTGGCAGCTGCAGCAATAATTAGATTATAGGTATCAGAGCCCCGCTTTTCAATGCGATATCAGTGTGACGGCAGTTATAAGTATGTGTTGAAGAACGTCTTAGTGCTAGGACCATGGTAAGGTTACGTGGAAGAAATTGGGTTACGTCCTAGTGCTGGGACTGTTGAAGTCTGTTGAAGAACCGGAGTAAGATGTCTTTGTCCATGTGGAAGAATCAGTAACGTCTTAGTGCTAAGATCGCATTGTGGAACGGGGACATGTTTGAATCTGATAATGGCCAGGACAGGAGTTGTAATCTACTGCAGCGTGTAGGTTGGCTTGGTGCAGCCTCTTTCTGTCTCTAGTTGTCCACGTGTGTACATTGATACATCTGTTTGCTACGCTTGTACCAGGCAGTGACAGACATTGCCATCAGCAGATTGGCTTTATATGCAAAGAAATAAAATGGATTCCTTCTCTTTATCATTGATTTCTGTTTTTTTGTGTGAGGGTCTTCCAGGTGGACCTTGTGTATATATGTGATATATGTGTGCGTTTGTTGTTTAACGCCACTTTCCACAGTATTCCAGCTATATGACAGAGGCTATCAGTTATCAAGATTGGACCAGACAATCCAGATATTGATATTGTGAGCAACGATCTAAGCCATAGGGTACCTTGACACACCATCAACCAAGCCACCAAGTCCAACCACCCATCCATTTGGTCGCCTCTTACAACAAACACAGGTTGCTAGGGACCAAGTTTAACTCATTCCATGGGTCGGAGAAATATACTGAACCGCAAAAGAAACATCACCATGGATAGATATATGAGACACCTTATTTGTCCAAACATACTTTACTTTGAGACATATTAAAAAGATGAAACTTGGCAAAACTGATCATCAAGGTTGAAATTAAAGTGTCAAATGTTCTTAAAGTGAAACACAACACTAGTCTTTGAAAAAATTGCATCACACTTAAGTATCTCGTATGTCCGCCATGTGCATTGATGACTGCCATGTAGCATTGATACATGGAATGGATGAGGCGGTTGATGAAAGCCCACTTGAGCCCACACTCTGAGAAACGCCTGACGCAGTTCAGCTGCAGTTGTCGGCCTTGGTCGGACGTCATTCAGCTGTCCTTGAATTTCCTCCCACAGGTGCTCAATTGGTTTAAAATCGGTACTGAGGGCAGGCCACTGCATGGACATGCCAAATGAGGTATGGCGTGTGGTCTCAAGACTTGATCAATGTACCGAGCTGCTTTGACACCATTGTCTCTCCCTGGATCGATGTTCTGGAAGACCACAGGCCCCACCCTCCGTGCAAGACCAATTCCACCCCACACCATGATGCTCAGACCACCCCAAGAGTCTCTCTCAACAACACACGGCGTCGCCAGACTCTCTCTCTGCCATTTGCTGTTGAGATACAGTAATGGCTCTCGTCTGAGAAGAGGACTCTTCTCCACTGCTTGTGGTGCCCATGCTGGTGCTGTGTTGCCTGCCAACTGAAGACGGTCCCGGCGATGACAGATGCCTATGACAGTGGAGGTGTCTACTCGTCAATCGTCGACACACGGTGTCCTCACTAATATGTCGCTGGTGTGTCCCCATGGTCTGTCAAGCAGTTTCCGTTTCTTGAAGATGCTGTCACACAATCTGACGATCCTGATCCTTGGGTAGTGACCCTTTGTCTTCAGCTACGTGGTCGGTCATGTTGTTTTGGTGGTCTGGTACTGTTGCTGGAGCCTGTATATGGTCCTTACGTGGGCGGTTTGTCCAGCTTGCAATCGTCCATGGGCTTGGTGTCGCTGATTTCTTGTCAATCTTGGCATGTGGTAGCAATTCAATAACGAATGAATGTTATCCAATCTGGGTGGATTTTTATAGGGCAAGAAATGGTGGAACTCACGTGCATCAGGTTACCATGGCCGTTGCCGTGATGCGTTTAGGCGATCGGTTTTATTGTCATCTGCTTTGTTTTTTTATCATCAAATTTCATTCTTCCGGACAAAGTAATGTTTAATTTGAGAAACTTTGACACAAATTACCCAGATATTTAAATGACAACTTTTCATGCAATGTTTCTTGGGGTGACGTTTCTTTTTCATTTCAGTATATATGGCATGGACAACTCCTTGGTGTGGAGTAAGGTACAAATGCAATTTGTGTGTTTGTAATCATCCAAACCAGGGAGCAACATGTCGTGGACTTAACACTGTCATCATACTGCCATTCTTGTAGCAAACCACACTGCATGCTGGGAGAACTGAGACAAGGCTTATTATGAAATAGTTTATTCCAGTTTCTTAGTGACAGACAGGCAGGTACTGTTGAGTTCACAGAATTCCCCATATGACTATGTACAATCTGACTATGATACAATGGCACCATGACGGCAACAAAAGTATGTAGCTGTACCAGAACAAATGAAGATTTGTAATCTTACAAGCTTGAACAATTGCAGTTACATGATGAATATGCTTGGGTGATTAGAAATTGTCTGACTATTTTGGCAAAAAAGCAGCACATTTAAAAAATGTACCAAAACCAGTTTTAAACCTGGTTTTGGGAAGCGAATGGCACAGATGATTCAATGAAACAGTGTGATTGATTTATCAATGAAACAGTGTGATTGATTTATCAGTATCTACAAACTGTTACCTAAAAAAACAACTTGTATTGAAATTCTGCACAGATTATATTCGTTTCAAAATTCATCAATTAAATTAAATCAGCTCAATATTCATAGTTGAATTGAGAAAACTGCATATCCAGCTCACAAATTTCAGGAGTAATCAATGAAGATGGCATACATCATTTTACCTTAAAGTGAATTTGACATAATTATGACAATATATGGTACAGGAAGTCGAGCATGACATTTTCATAGCACTAGTCACAGTATAAAAAATAAATACAGGATATAGACACGCTTTTCCAGATGTGACAACGGTAGATTGAGCAACAGACTTTAATGTGAAGGCAAATTGGCCACAACCATTGTGTGCATAAACTTTAGAAAATACCATTGATATGCACTGGCAATTCCATATATAGTTTGGATTAGAACCATTAATATTCCTGTTTAATTTTTTTATCTAAATATTTGAAAATATGTTATATTTGTATCTTTTGTTGATCACACAGAAGGAATATATGTATGTTAGTAACACTTTTGTATATTACTATGCATACGTGTTAAATATACTACGTAAGTGACATATATTTGTGAGAATATTACCTGTACAAGTTCATAAGTTGACTAGTTTCTCTCTCTATATATATATGTTATACATGTATATGTAAACTTGAAACCACTCTAATCATTGCAGTATAGGTCATAAATCGACAAATTGATACTATAAAAAAAATCATAGGCTCAGAATACCAAATTTCTACAAACTTCTTGTCCCTTTACAATCTAAATGCACTTTACTGCCTTGTTCAAAGAACTCTCAAATTAATAATGATTGTATTGACAAGAAAAAAGATTTTACAAAAGCTCAATTCACTTTTCGCGATAAATGCTATCAAAATAAATCTTATAAAAAATGAGCAGTTAAATTGGATCATTCATAAAAAAAATATGACAATATAGCCACATAATTGACAGTGCAATAAAGAATTCATATGTTATCATCGCTATATGGCTAAAATAATGCCGATGCAATGTTAAACTTTAACTGATTAATTTTAATTTCATGTTGTCATACATGCTAATACATTAAAAACATTTTCTGTTCTGGTAGAAATTCCAGTGACTTTTCATAAATAGATTTTCAAACATCATATTCAGTTAACACTCCACTATAAATATTTCAGTACCCGATTATCTGAAAAGTGAAGAAATATCAATAACGAATACAACAGATCACGTACTCTGTCCGAGACAAAATATGATGGAGCTGCTTGATTGTTCAGCAGAAACCATAACCGATCAGTACATGGTCTCGCTTTTCAGCTTTTTGAAGATTACTATATATATATATTGAGTGAATACTTTTACAGATGTATATTCAAATATACATGTGATTGTCCGCTAGACTAATCAGAAATAGTACTTGCCAAATATTTGGCGTGGAATATATCCTTTGAGGATGGTCTATGAAATGTACAAACATACAAAACATTGCATAGGTACGCCATAGCACGACAGAGAATGGGGTGTCCACAGTCTACAATGAACTCACAAAGGACATACACAAATGAGGGGACATATACACAACTACATGTCGATATCTGTCATAGAACAGCTGACTGTCAGGGAAGGATGTTTTGAGCACTACAGATGAAGAAATGCATCTACCGGTATTTGAACTTGTCACTAGCAGTCCATGTATTCATTTCTGAAAACACAGCTGTCAATGTATTCATTTCTGTAAAAAATAGCTGTCGATGTATTCATTTCTGAAAAAACCAAAAAACCTTTGGGTCATGAATACCTTGCAGTATCAGGAATTAGTAATTGGTAGAATAGAATTTCTTCTCATATATATCTTATTTCTATATACACCTGAAAAACAAGTAAGCACTGCTCTACATTTTTCCTAATGGAAAGGCCATTTCTAAAAATTGTCATAAAAAAACTATAAATTTATCAAACAAAGGGTCTTGTTTTTGATAGGGAGTGAGTCAGGGGATTTAACACTGCTTTAAACAGTATTCCAGTTGATCATGGCATGTCCGCTTAATCTGGGAGGAAAGCCCGAAGTGATGCAGATCTAAGATGTTTACCACTTTGGTGAAACCAACAGCAAGGGTATGGTGCTGACAAACCGAGATACATAATCGGGGTGAACCGGGATTCAAACCCACGATCATAGGCACCTTCGACGACTGGGCCAACCATGCCCCCTTGTTTTTGTTTAATGAGGTATTCATTTTGAAAAAAAAAATGGAAAGGACATATCTATATTTTGCAACTGATTTTGATACAAACAAGCATCTACATTTAAAGCGAAAGGAGCCCAGTGAGGTTGGAGATTCAGAACTTTTGGAAAATCTAGACTTGCTTCATTTAAGGCAATAGGATTATGGTCAGGACTAGGCCGAAGAGGAAAAAATAGGGTTCTGGGACTGTGAGAAAGACTACCGACATTTCAGCAGGTATTTGTGATATCTTATAAATACATTTTTTCTGTTGATATTTCAAAATATACAGGAAGTTCAGGTAAAGGAAAATACAGAAGGGTAGATGCTTAACTTCTTTTCATGTGTATATATCTAACCAGACAAATCAGGACAATTGAAATACACTGCCCAAAATTGTAGCTAGGTAGCTAGCACTTAAAACAGCACTTTGGTAGGATCATGTATATTTTTTGTCTTAAGCCATTCAGGTCACCAGTGACACAGTGACTTGAGTAAGTGAGTGAGAGAAATATTTCATGTCACTCAGGGCGGTACTGTAAACCCCAGGAATCACTCTCAGAGTCATTTTCCAACACAATTCCGCTACAGGAGGAAAACCTGTTGCCAAGCAACACTTCTGTATATATGGCAGATATCGAACATCAGTTTTATCGAACATCAGGAAAGACAAATGTGTGTAGCACCGTATGAAAGTAAAAAGAACGATTCAGAACTTAAAACTAAGCAAATGCAAGCTCCTTACAAAATATATCGAAGTCTTCGTCTGTCTTAAAACCACATCAAAAATACATTTGGTAAATGAATACAAAACATGAAATAATGCTTCAACTCCAATGACTCTGCACAATCAGATGAAGAAAGAGTGTCAATGAATTGAGGGTAAGGACTTGTAGTGAAACTAGATGCATGGTTAGTAAAATAACAAAACAACATTCTTACAAGTTACGACCTTTTGTTTTGCACTAACTGGTATATAGTCAACTGTGCCTAAGTATATAAATATATCTTTAGTTGTCATTTATATAATTATTCCCCCCCCCCACCCAAAGTCTCTTAAATAATTTCAAAAAATTAAAAAATTGCAAAATACTATTTGAAATTTAGAAACAATATCTTTTCTTGATTGTTTGTCTACAGTTCACTCATCAAACATTTTTAGAGATCAACATATTTTAGAAAAAATCAAAATCTTATTTGACCATGTATCTGTAAAAATATATGTGCAAACCGAATCATAAATGGTCCTGGCCTTAAGGTCAAGAACAAATTGACAAGTACGTTTTCCCTTAATATATCAACCCATTTTGTCATTGATCCTCTGAGGTACAATTACCTACATTTCGGGACAAACCCAACAATAACCTGACAAATAAATAATAATATGGATACCAGAAAAGTATTTTGTGCCTTTTATTTAAAAAAGTGAGTGATTCACAAGTATTTTTTTCAGATCAAATGCATTATCCTATTAACCAATCAATGAAAACAAAAGCCATAAATGCATTAAAGATGCTAAGCATTGATGAAGAAATAATTATATGACAGAATGATAAGACTCAACTGTATTAAGGAAACGCCAGACTGATTCAGTTGTTGTCTATAACAGAGATCACACAGAGTCTGTACAGGAGGTGTTAGTAATACAATTACTAGTATAACTCTGTAATCATGCTCAGTCCACAGGATAAACACTGCATTTCTCCATCTCCCAGACTGGTTCCTGGCCAGTCTCTTCAACAGGATTCTTGTCTTTAATAACCACACAATCATGACCTTATTTGGAATGAGGGTAAAGTGAGTGAGTGAGTGAGTGAGTTGGGTTTAATGCCGTTTTTAACAGTATTCCAGTTATATCACGGCGTGTCAGCTTAATGTGGGAGGAAAGCCTGAAGTGATGCAGGTCTCAGGCGTTTACCACTTCGGTGAAACCCACGAGTATGGGTATGGTGCTGACAAACCTAGAAACATAATCGGCGTGAACTGGGATTCGAACCCACAACCATAGGTTTCTGGTGTGACAAAGGGACGCAACTCTGCACAGCGAATCGTGGTGCCTTAGACGACTGGGCCACCCGTGCCCCCGAATGAGGGTAAAGACATTTTGACCAGTCAAATGTCAGTGACTAATCTGTCACCTCTGGTATTTTAAGTTATGAGCAATTTTCACATATTTCCATCTTTGGTAAAACTTTTCATTGGCATCAACGTACAAAAATGGCCATGAAACATTATGAATGCATGTCATCACCTCAACCCTTCAAATACACTGCTTCCAAAGGTCCCATAGGCTAGAAACAAAAGGTTGTCATCAAGACAACCAAAATTAAATCCTTGGATTGCATGCAAGGTTCATACAAAACATACAACCACCAACTTTAAGGCCTTTTCAAGGTACTGGTCACACTTTTCTTCTACTTTTAAAGTGTGACCGAAGAGTGCTTTCAAATATTTTAACTAGAACATTCATACTAATTCATAGAACTATCTATTCCAGTCCACACAACTGTGTCTCATTTGCAACATGATGTCATCAGTTATCATTAGAGATGAAATAAGTGTTATATTTATTTTACAACAGAGTTAACCATAGTTATCAAATTCAGCCTTTTCAAATTTTAAGGCGGATTGAAATTTAAAACTTTTTAAGGGCGTTTCAAACCTGTGTGAACCTTGCCTTGATGCCACGTCCCTTAAACCTGCCACCATCTCATGCATGCCTTCATGTAATGGGATGTCTGAATCTGCCATGGCTTTGAGACTCACCAAGGATCTGGGATGTATGGAGGAACACAGTGTATATCTTACCAGAATGACTGAATGTGTTGTCACGGAAACCATCCCATATGGCATTATGCTAAAATTATTAGTACAAACATTGCAAAAAAGAGGTAAAACTTCATGAAGTGTATGATTAAAAGCACACAAAAGCTACCGTTTACCTCCAAGTAAATTCACCTTGGATAAATCCTTTTGTCTTGACAACTATTTGGAGACAAGACCGCCAAAATGTCATCTCAGCATATCCTTTTGCAGTTAAATACATGGCATATGTCCCATAAATATTTCAGAAAATATTTCAAGTGATACCATTTGAGCAAAAGAAATGACATGTAAAAAAACATTGTGGAGCTTTTTCCTTAAAAAAATTGAGCGATGACATGATAAAATGTTGCAAGGAAAATATGGTCAAGGTGACATTCAAATACACAGAGAACATGTTCCCCCAATAGATACGCTATTATGAATTCTGATGCACAAGCAGATGGAAAGCAATAGAGAAGAGATCAGGACAGCAGGAGATCTACATGGGATAGAGAGAGAGAGAGAGAGAGAGAGAGAGAATTTGGAGAGATCTATTTAAGAATATGCAATTCATCTTTCCTACCAAATGACTAAAATCATTTTGTACGTGTTTTCCTTCACATATACCTCAAATCAATTCCTACAATATTAGCTACCACTTTGTACATGTTAACTTTTAAAAAAATCATAAAGTCATTGGACAATCATTGACACATTTTGATAGTATATACATATCGTTCTACAAAGATGGTGCCCTATAATATAAGCCATTTAGGCTGCTGATATACATCTTGAAGCTTGTTGAGGTGGTGGTTGACTACGATGAAATACTTCTCGCAGATATGAGGCTGATGATCAACAATTCTGTGAAACCCATCTGTGATAGCCTCGCACATCATGCACGTGTGGAAATACTACGCAGAGACATCAGAATCAGTACATACACAGCTTGGCAAGATCGAGCTCAGCCAGAGAACATTGCTGACATCCACAGAGAACCGGGGACATTTTACAAGCATACCTATGCTCAATAACCTATGTACATATCCGCAACGCTGACTGAAATAGATATGTAACTGATATTTTCCCCAAAAAAAACAATGTGACAAAATAAGCCAAAAAATTATTTCGAGTGCTGATCATCAAAACATTCTGTTTCAAAAAAGGTATTAGAATGAATGTTTTGACCATATTGTATAAGTTTTTGAGCATAGGCAAGGTTGTGAAACATTCTCCCATAGTTTCACATATCTCAGACATAGACGTAACATCAGACATTGCTGTGGACGTAATGAAGGCGGCGTGTTTCTCTGGAGTCACTGACATGATGCTCTTGTGGTGACCTACATTAATACTGAGGTCAGTTTCATTGACCTTTCCTTAAAGTTCAAGGACATGCTCAATTCTCTTTATTTAGCAAGGCTTAGGTCATCTAGGAAATGACTTTCATGCTCTATCGGTCATTTCCAATAAAAGACTCAGATCAAGAGTAGGTCAAGGTCAAGAGGTTACGTCCTTACACCTTCACATGCATCAGGTCATTGCTATGGCTCCAGTTAAGCACAGAGGTCAAAGATGATCTCTGCATGCTGCAGCTGACATTCCCTTGCCCTTCAGGGTTAGGCACAAAGGTGAAGGTCGCAGGATCAGTGGGGTAGCGAAGGTTTTTCAGGCACGGGTGGTGGAATGTCATCATCGTCCGTATCAAGTGGAAGAGGTGGCACTGGCTGCAGTAGGCAAGTGAGACAGTTATTGAAATGAGAAATAGCCTGAGAAATACTTTACTTGCATATATAATAAGGAGAGAGTATGTGATAAGCTGACAGAATGATTGCGTCTTGTGCAGAGGCTATGAAGAAACGTTGACCTCCAGCTTCCCATGACACATCCTTGACAATCCAGTGCATCATATCTCCATTCTAACATAGACACAGAACCCATATCCCACCATACCATAGACACCTTTCTTTCCTGACTGAAATGAGCATTCACATTATCATTGCTTGACCCGACTTTTGCGTGCCATCTTTCCTGTCTTTTAATACAGGGCTGTGGGGTAGTCTAGTGGTTAAAGCGTTCGCTCGTCACGCCAAAGACCTGGGTTCGATTCCCGACATGGGTACAATGTGTGAAGCCCATTTCTGGTGTCCCCCGTTGTGATATTGCTGGAATATTGCTAAAAGCAGCGTAAAACCTTACTCACCCACCCACCCACCCAATTCATGGGCATGTATTCTGTGTTGAGTTTCCAGCTAAAAGTTTGCTTAAATCTGTTTTCTGATCAGATTAAGTATATTTTAGACTTACTTCAACAAGGCTGCAGGTGTAAATGTAGATCTACTGAAGAAGCATTTTGATTGGTTTTGATTTCAGTCTCATGAGAGAAAGATTCTGAGCTGATAAGGGAGGTGGTGATGGGTTGGCGGCGAATGGGTCCTGCGTATACATAGGACAATGGAGATCTAATACCCTGGATAACTGAAGATGCTGACAGGAAACCAAGGACCAAACAGATGAATATGAATAAGAATTCATGTCTTAAAATCAACCAATACAAGAACAGATTGGAAAAAATTATTGTGAGTTGTCTCTCACTGACTAAAAAAATTACTAACACAATTAATGCTGAATAGTTACTCTAGCTACCTGTAAAAAATATAATAAACAATTTATTGATTGATGAATTGATATTGTATATGAGTTGATAGCTATGCTAGTCCATATATTAAAACCAGAATCTTCTGAATATTATTCGAGACAATTTCGGGCTAGCAGACTCAGAATATTTTGGCAAAGACTGAATTGATATTGTATATGTGTTAAGTTATAGTAACATGATGACAAGAGATGGTGTATACAAAATATCAGCAAGCTATCTCGCATTAGGAGTGAGTGAGTGAGTTAGGATTAACGCTGCTTTTAACATTTTTCCGGTTATATCACAGCGTGCCAGCTAATGTGGTAGGAAAGCCCGAAGTGATGCAGGTCTCAGACGTTTACCACTTCGGTGAAACCCACGAGTATGGGTATGGTGCTGACAAACCTAGAAACATAGTCGGGGCGAACCAGGATTCGAACCCACAATCATAGGTTTCTGGCGTGCCCAAGGGACGCAACTCGGCACAGTGAATCGCGACATCTTAGACGACTGGGCCACCCGTGCCCCCCTATTACAGATACAACATATGATATCTGAGATATCAGGGCCTCTTTTTAGTATGGCATTTACTGCCATGAAAACATTAAAGGAAATTATGCCGGCTTTTGGAAAATGAACTGATCACTTTGCAGACAGTGAGTGGCGATAATGATCAGTAGGCTGTTTATGAAACAATTTCTAGTTTCTTCAATTGTTTGTGTAGTGTCTCAGGGAACAGGAAACTGCTGTAAACTACATTTATAATGAACACGCTTAAAACGGAATGACAGATATTACGGAATGTTTTTTGGTCCCCTCCATTTGCTGCATATGGGCTGTATATAGGCGTATACAAACTACGGTTATAACAAACTAAAATTAGTGGTACCTTTTAGTTTGTTATAACCATAGTAGCCCATGGACCAATGAAACATCGATTTTCTGCTTCTTTTTAGTCGATGTGAAATATACGATTCGATGTCTCTCTGTGTCAAGTTCCCACATCTGACATCTCGTCAGGTGAACCCTTTATGAACTTTGACAACCCAAACAGAAGATGCATGGGTTTTGAGACAAACAAATGTCAGCCTTCTACAATAATTCTGCTACAGATATTTGTCAACACAATCCACTGTCAGTTGAAATTCCTGTCCCTGATAAAAATGAAAATCTACACCTTTTGGCTGTAGATGCCATGGTGTTTAGATTTTGCTATATTCTTCACCATTCCGAACTGATGGGATACATTCATTATAAGTGTATCACGACTTGCTTAACCAGACCGGTGCTTATGAAATGTGGCTGGATATCAAAACAAATGCTGATTACCTAAACATCCCTAGCATATTTTGAAACTCCTTCAATACACTGCCTTCTATGACAATAATGATCTGAATGATGAGTGATCGATGATATCTCGTGCAATTGGGAAAAATTGAATCATAATACTGTTATGTATTTAAATACTGTTTCATTTCTTTACACTTAACCATGAATAACAGAAACAAAAAGGCAAAACAGAAAATCAAAGAGGCTGAAAAGAAATCAAAGAAAAATTGTGAATAAAACATGATACACAGTGACAAGATATAATGCAGTGAGTGCATCTTTGGCACATGTTCCTATCTTACACAAGCACCCATGGAATAGGGGGACAGACTGTCCATTCATTGGCTACTCCTTGCTGCAAACAGACTCTGTAACATGCAATATTACTCGAAAACAATTATCGTTGTACAGATTTAAGCGACACTTACAGTCACAAAAACGTTTAACCGCTATGATAGAACTGTTATGATTTAGTGTTCTTCGCTGGAGGGTGTACACTGAATGGCACAGCCTCAGCAGACTTGTGCTGCCTGGACTGTAAGGGAACATTACATGTGCTGAGGCTGTGCCATGTATTGGATATCCACCACATTTTTCTTACAAGACATAAAAAAGTGGGTAGAGGTAGGTTACAACTTTTGCTTTCATTAATTTACGACCATTGTGGAACCAGTTATATTGGAATTCATTCTTTTCTTTTTACCTCCAAAAGACTGTATTGGGTTGAACTTCAGTACTGGGTAGTTTCTCCTGAGAGATTACTGGTAGCGTTAATACTAAAGGGGCAGAACAAATTCTATTTCAGTGCCTGCCTGAGAGCACTATTTATTCTAAACATGTTAAACAGGATCTTTACAGATGTGATGATTCTAGGTTTATTCTTCAATGATTGTTGCAGTTACTGAATTTTGCAATACATTTCCCGTTTTTCGTCAGGTTTTGTCTAAAATGTACTGTAAAACCAGATCTACATAACATATAAACGTCTGTGGTAAAACCTGCTTTGGATAGTCTGGGACTCACACCACAATTTTTTGCAACACTTTTTAAGTAAAATGTTTATCCCAAACTTCCTACTATGAATCATGAATCGTTGCCTATTGTAGATTCAATACTGCAGCATTTAAATGTCATGGTACAATACATAGCACGAACACTTCCTGGTGCATAATAAATGCTGTGAAACTGGTAGTGAAAATAGATACACAAGTGGACAGAAAAAACAAATATGAATCATAAGAGTCAAAATAAACTTAAATTAAAGTACCATACCTTGGCAAGCACTATTTTAAACTTTAAAAACAAAAGAAGAATGGAATCAATACCCAGCAAAAACATATTTAAAAAAACAAAATATGTCAAAATTAATCAAGAAAAGCTAATATAAAACGTCATGAAAGGTGGTAACAGAAATGACAAAATGATAAAATAACATATTGAGAAAAAAGAAATATATCTCTAGATTATGCTGGTCCACAAAACCATAAACAAAATGTACATCGCACTTGACTAGACAGATACGATCATAATTCGTAAATATTCCTACAGGGACATCACAGATCTTTCCCTTGGAATCTACTTGGTGAATTCAGATCTTCTACACAAAAACATCAGCTCAACATAAGGCTGTCCCACACTTACACAGCACTGCGCAGCATGTCTGCACACACAAAAGAAGCTTTACCAATGCAGCACATAGTAAAAAAAAAAATGATTTCAAGAACGTGATTTTTGCCGGTGAAAAAATATACCGTACTGAAAAAGTTAGGGACCATGAATATTTATGGGCATACAGTACACTACGTTTATAACAAACACGCTTATAGCAAACTAGCGTATACAACGAACTGCATTTTTGGTCCCAGCCATTTGCTGTTTATATGCTGTATAGATGTCAAAATGAATTACAGTTATAACAAACTAAAATAAGTGGTCCCTTTGAGTTCATTTTAACCGTTGTTTACTGTATTTTTAAGAAATTATGTACTCAAGTCTTTACTAGAAAAAAATATCCTTAACATTTTTATGATCCCCAACTTTTTTTGCTCAATATATAAATGTTTAATGGAACAATGATCTTTGGTTTACTTTTATCTACCCTGATAGTGAGTGAGCGAGTGATCTTTGGTTTACTTTTATCTACCCTGATAGTGAGTGAGCGAGTGATCTTTGGTTTACTTTTATCTACCCTGATAGTGAGTGAGCGATCTTTGGTTTACTTTTATCTACCTTGATAGTGAGTGAGTGAGTGAGTGTGGTTTAACGCCGCTTTTAGCAATATTCCAGCAATATCACGGCGGAGGACACCAGAAATGGGCTTCACACATTGTACCCATGTCGGCGTGATGAGCAAACGCTTTAACCACTAGGCTACCTGACTGCCCTGATAGAGATACATCATTGATAATTATAAAGGTCTCAATGGTGCTGATGTAATGTATACCCAGAATTAAATAAACACACAACATATTCTATTTAAAGATTTTTTGACAACTGCTGCTTTAATGAATTGCCTGAATGTGGGTAAAAAACAATCTTTCGTGATGCTCTGTGATCGCTGCTGCAGTGCTTTATCAGTGAGTGCAAACCTCGGAGCATAGCCCGGTACTCTTCATCAATATTTCTATCTGGTAAGATTTCGTAAGATTAATCTTTCTTGCATTTCTAACATAAACATTTTGCTATCATTTATTTCTCTTTTTGCTCTCTTTGTCACCAGTCCTGTAGAATTTGCTGAAAGCTTTGCTGACCTTGTTCTTATGGGATCCAGGCGTGACGGATGTGCGTCTCATGACAGGGGTGGAGTCGACGGAGGAGTTGCTGTAGTCGGCACCCTGCTTGTCTGGGAGGGGCGGGGGGTCGTCGGACGACATATCAGTGTCACTGGTGTCTAGGGGTAAGCACATACTTAAAATCATCAACAAATACATTTTGTGTTAATCAAGTTGAACATAGGCGGGTGGGGGGTCGTGGGACGACATATCAGTGTCACTGGTGTCTAGGGGTAAGCACATACTTAAAATCATTAACAAATAAATTTTGTGTTAATCAAGTTGAACATAGGCGGGTGGGGGGTTGTGGGACGACATGTCAGTGTCACTGGTGTCTAGGGGTAAGCACATACTTAAAATCATCAACAAATAAATTTTGTGTTTATCTAGTTGAACATAGACCCCAGATGTAAATAGATTTATCAACAGTTGTTCATTTCAATACAAAAAATTCTTTTAACCATACTAGATTGAAATTTCTAATTATTTTTACAACTCCTTGAAATAATTTCTTTTTTTAAATCCCATCATATTCAGAACAAAAATGGCAAGCCTCTTATGATACTCATGTCCACTGAGTGTATTGACCCGACCTGCAGTTGACACAATGAAAATGAATTGAATTGACAACCTGTTAGGGTGTTAGCCGACGACAGGCTCAAACTGCTTGTACTCAACAGCTGATCCGGTCGGAACTGGTTGCTGGGCGGGCGACTTCCTCTGCGCTCTGTCTCCGGTCTGGGCGGCCGTCGTGTCGTGAGCTATGGTTAGATATAAATGTCGTATAAAGAGTACAAACATGAACAACGCTCCACCGTACCGACCCACCGCACAGTCGCTAGATCCTCTTCCGGCTTGGGGCTGGTATAAGAACATCTACACATTAGAGAAACATCCCACTTCTCTGGTCATGTTCACAGTGAGTGAGTGAGTGTTACTTTATGCCACGGTCAGCAATATTCCAGCTATATATTCTCCGCAGGTAAATAATGGACCAAGGAAACAGGTGAGTGACAGCATAAGCGATCCACACCATTGAGTGAGTGAGTGAGTTGGGTTTAACGCCGCTTTTAACAGTATTCCAGTTATATCACTGCGTGTCAGCTTAATGTGGGAGGAAAGCCCGAAGTAATGCAGGTCTCTGACTTTTACCACTTCGGTGAAACCCACAAGCACGGGTATGGTGCTGACAGACCTAGAAACATAATCGGGGCAAACCGGGATTCGAACCCACAATCAGAGGTTTCTGGCGTGCCCAAGGGATGCAACTCTGCACAGCGAATCGCGGCGCCTCAGATGACTGGGCCACCCGTGCCCCCTACACCACTGAGGTACGATGACCTTTCATCTGACAAGTCATAAAGTCTGACGAACCAATCCCCAACTCAACAGCATGAGGAAAGCACCAACTCTGACCTGAATCCCTGGGGCAACTTGGGCACTGAGAGAATGACTCATCAGATTAATAGTCATAACAATTCATAACAGACTAATTTGAGAGACTTTTGGAGACAAAGGTTGCTTTTTTAAGGTTTCTATGCGACACAAATATATGAACTGTAAATAGGTCAGAGATCAAGGGAGATAACTCCAACTCCATCTTAATGATGCTATTATCTTAACAACAACATATTACAATAAAATGTTATGAAATCATTTTCAGCATGATAAATTGTACTGAAACTGGAAGTTACGTTTAAACATCTTGATAAATGAAGATTTGTATTTCTTAAGTTCAAAAAGAGGTCTCCTTTCAAAATATTGATTATTTTACAAAAGAAAAAGGTAATCATGATTACAGTATTGGGGGTGGTAGCACAAACACAGATTAATAAATCAGACCCAAGAATAAACTCCTCGGATACCATTTTGACGACTACATACTAGGATCCAGGTTGAAAACACAATATACACCTTATACAGTGTGCATCCCGACCAGTAAATAATATCATCTTATTGTCCATGTTAATTATCCTAAACCCAGGGTGTGCATCTTCGATAATCCCAAATATGGTCCATGTGAAACCCAGTGAAGAAAGTGTAAAATAAGAGCTCTGTGATGCATTGATGAAAGCATCCTCGATTATTCAGTGTATCATATCTCAATTCTATTTTGATGAGGTAAAAATATAAATGTCAGTCCCAGACAAAATCTGTGATTCCACAATCATGGAAAGATTTGCAGAATATGTAATCAAACCCGGAAGCATGTTGCTATATAAGTGAAATAATCTTGGATGGGACGTTAAACTCAGTTTCCCCTCCCCTCCCCATCTCCATCACTAGTAGTAACCCACAGCATTCATTTGCGTTTGAATTAGAAATCAATCAGTAATAGTCCTATCAAATGTACTTGTTTATATCACAAAAGAGTGAGTGAGTGAGTTTGGTTTTAGGCCACTTTTAGCAATATTCCAGCAATAACACGGTGGGGGACACCAGAAATGGGCTTCACACATTGTACCCATGTCGGGAATCGAACCCGGGTCTTTGGCGTGACGAGCGAACGCTTTAACCACTAGGCTACCCGACCGCCCCTATATATCACGAAAGAAAATGATTGGAAGGATATATTAGGCAGTGTGTCATTTGATTTTGACTTAAACATAAGCAATGAGCCCTGGGTGTATATATCATAGAATGGACACATATAATACACCTTGATAATCGAGGATGAGATGAAATAGGCATTGAAGGATTGGAGACAATCAGTATCCAGGTCAAATATCAAAGAAAAGAACATTGCTTTAAAAAGTTAAACTTGACAACTTTAGACATTGGCAACACTACGACTCAACAGCTTGAGAACCTGAGCGCCTGAGTTGTCAAGGGGAGGTAACCTGAGCGCCTGAGTTGTCAAGGGGAGGTAATTCACCTAACAAAATCCACCAATGACAAGTCAGCTTCGTTTTGCCAGATTTGTAGTGAAAATGAGCAGGTTTGTATTTCAAAAAGAGGGGCATAAGCTTGTACAGTAAATAATAAATATAGTAGAATCAAAATCAAGCATGCATTAAACTTCATTTCAATAGCATACACTCCAATATAACAGCAATCAAATAGGCATATTATTATACAGACAAGCATAATATATATATCAACAAAGCTGTAAAAATATATATAAACACATCGACATGCAACTTCATTAGTAAGAAGCTCTATTTCCTGATCTTCCTTTTCCGAAGTTGGAAGATTAAAAATCATCCTTTTATAACCATCATAAAGTCTGACATGTTGTCATTACAAAAAGATTGCTGGATGAATTTTTTTTTGAATATGTCTTTTATGGCATATAAATCAGTATGCTGGATTTAAACCAGATTTAAACTATATGTGCATTAAAATTTATAAAAAGTTAAATTCAAAACCATCCCCATGCACCATGCAATGAGTTCATATCTTACTGTCAAGCAGTTGGTTTTGTTAGTACCATATTATTATTAATATTATTATTATCATGATGAATAACCTAGCACACATATTTTACTAATAATTTCACTAACAAAACATTAATTGCAATACTCCATGTCCTGAAAAATGTACCTAATACTTTCACAACTATTAACTGCCTACAAAGCTGACATAGTTTTGTGAAAAAAAAGCAAAGAGATGCGATAAGATAACCATATCCAAAGACAGAAGAGTATTAGAGTTGATCCCATGAAATAGGGTCTGGGAATATTTTCTTGTTGGAAGCCAGATAGATGTCACTTTCATATATCTATCTCGGTAACAAACATGCCATTCTTAAAATAACAGACAAATTGATAAAACTCATGTTTAAAGATTTTTTTCCCATCTGATGAACTCTAACAGCCCTAAAAAGCTCTGTTATCCAAGAAAAAACAATATGGTCTGCCTTCTGACATTCACATCCTTGTGACTTTAGTTGGATGAATGTTATAGGCGAATATATTTTATAAAAGACTTTCTTTTAACAAGAAAACATGTGAATAGAAAGTGAGTGCCGTGAATGTTTAACAGTGCAGTCAAGCTAACCAGTGGTTGACAGCATGAGCACCAATCCACACCAGGGCATGATGACCTGCAGTCAGGTCAAGCATAAGCATCCTAATCCTCATCATAGCCATTGGTTCACTAGGACCGATTCTGACATGACAAGCACTGGCTAACTGGGACTTATTTTGACACAAACACTGGCTTACTGGGGACCTATTCTGATGTGACAATCATTGGTTAACTGGGGACCTATTCTGACGTCACAATCAGTGGTTAACTGGGGACCTATTCTGACATCACAATCATTGGTTAACTGGGGACCTATTCTGACGTCACAATCATTGGTTAACTGGGGACCTATTCTAACGTCACAATCATTGGTTAACTGGGGACCTATTCTGACGTCACAATCATTGGTTAACTGGGGACCTATTCTGACGTGATAATCAAAGGTTTACTGGGGACCTATTCTGACGTAACAATCATTGGTTAACTGGGGACCTATTCTAACGTCACAATCATTGGTTAACTGGGGACCTATTCTGACGTCACAATCATTGGTTAACTGGGGACCTATTCTGACGTGATAATCATTGGTTAACTGGGGACCTATTCTGACGTAACAATCATTGGTTAACTGGGGACCTATTCTGACGTGATAATCATTGGTTAACTGGGGACCTATTCTGACGTAACAATCATTGGTTAACTGGGGACCTATTCTGACGTTACAATCATTGGTTAACTGGGGACCTATTCTGACATAATAATCATAGGTTTACTGGGGACCTATCCTGACAAACATTGGTTCACTGGGGACCTATCCTGACACAACATTGGTTAACTGGGGACCTATCCTGACACGATACGCATTGGTTCACTGGGGACCTATTCTGACACAAGCATTGGTTTACTGGGGACCTATCCTGACACAACATTGGTTTACTGGGGACCTATCCTGACACAACATTGGTTTACTGGGGACCTATCCTGACACAACATTGGTTCACTGGGGACCTATCCTGACACGATACGCATTGGTTCACTGGGGACCTATCCTGACACAACATTGGTTAACTGGGGACCTATCCTGACACAACATTGGTTTACTGGGGACCTATATTGACACAACATTGGTTCACTGGGGACCTATCCTGACACAACATTGGTTTACTGGGGACCTATCCTGACACAACATTGGTTCACTGGGGACCTATCCTGACACAACATTGGTTCACTGGGGACCTATCCTGACACGATACGCATTGGTTCACTGGGGACCTATCCTGACACAACATTGGTTTACTGGGGACCTATCCTGACACAACATTGGTTCACTGGGGACCTATCCTGACACAACATTGGTTTACTGAGGACCTATCCTGACACGATACGCATTGGTTCACTGGGGACCTATTCTGACACAAGCATTGGTTTACTGGGGACCTATCCTGACACAATCATTGGTCTTCTGCGACCTATTCTGACACTAAAAGCATTGGTTTACTGGGACTTATCCTGACACATGCATTGGTTTACTGAAGACATATTCTGACCATGAGTTGAGAAAGTGTCTATGGTTAACTAGTCCATCACATCACACAATACTGCATGGTCAACTGTTACTTCATCACTGCACTAACACCTATAGTTAACTGATCAGTCTGCATCACACCAAAGTAGAGAACATAATGCACAAAAAGTAAGGAGTTAAAAAGGATGTGGTAATAAAAAAATATATCATGTTTATAAGACAGATGAAAGGTGCTCCAATGCTATTACAAAGTAAGGCTGTTTGTTTTTATTTGTGTTTCTCATCTCTGCAATTCCTAAATTACAGTCCCACTCAAAAATGTTTGTATAGCTACCCATCTTTCTTAGAATATAACATGTTGTTTTTCTACCTGTTCAGAGGCCAACTATAGGCCAAAATACAGCAGCAGATAACAGTAAAACGTGCCAAAGGGGATGAAACATTTCTCACTCCTGTTACTATCACTAATGTGACGGCAAGGTCAAGGCCACTGATAACAGGGCTAATACAAAGGAAGAGGCTTTAATGTTAAAGTTTAAAATAAACTATCTTCAAAATTAAGAAAATAAGAACTTTAACAAAAATATATGTCCCAATTTTAAACAATATTCCAATTTCTTCCCAAATTGTCTTCCAGGGGTACTTATTTGGAATCCGAGATAACTCCCTGGAATATCCTCCCACCCTTGCAGGTGTTTTTGAACAATGTCTTGTTTCACCTTGCTCTATGTTATCATAAGGACATTTCAAATATGGGATGTAATTCCTCGTCCCTGCTTCTTTTTGTCTTTAATTCTGCACAAAATCTCTCAACACTTGACACAGTAACCATTGTAAAAAACAACAAAATCAAGATCCAAATTGTAGGACTTTCTAGCACATATTTTAAACAAAAGGCAATTTATCACCACTAAAAGCAGTTGTTTTTAATATTATTTTTTTTTTTAGATAAGTAATTAAAACAAAAAGGATTATTAATATTATCATTATTTTCTTTAAATATCATTTTCTTCCATCCATGTGCTCGGTCTCAGCAGCAAGATGAGAAACACATACAAATAACACAGACAGCCTTTAAGAAGTGATAAGTGAAAAATTTAAAAAAAGATTATTACATCACTTTCTGCTTCGGGCTAATAAAAAAGATTTGTCATAATACACTTTCAATCAATCAATCAAAATGTTAGAAACTCAAGATATATCCTTCCACAAAGAGGGGAGGGGCTAAACATGAACATGTTCTATTCATTTCTGAAGTCCTTTTATAAGAGAAAGAAATGTCCTAGTAAGTGAAAGAATCTTCATTCAAACTAATGAGAAAAAGATTCTCAGATATCTCTACCTAAACAATTCTAATCCATGCACAGTCATTCTACATGATTTTGGTAAATAAATGTATGAAAACTCAATTATGGATGAAAGAAATTATTATTTTCGTCATCAACACTGTGCACTCTATGCTTGCTCTACAACATTACTGGATAGCTAGAGATGAGTTAGACAGTTTGGTAGTAACGGCATGTTTGTTACGGAAGTAGACACAAGACTCACCTGTTCGCTAAGTGGTGTGTAGAATTGGGGTTTCCCCTTTGATGTGCGTCTCTAAAATTATCAAATTTCAACTTATTTAATTCTGTAATTTCACATTTTTCTCATTCCTCGCGACAGTCTTTGTCTTGTGATTCTGTTCAAACCTCACTGACATCCATGGCCATTAAGAATATCCTTGTTTGGGAGAAACTGATTTCAAGAGAAATTGTGAAAAAAATACCCCTTGTTTACTCTAGGCAAACATTACTGTTAACACTACTGAGTGAGTGAGTGAGTATGGTTTTATGCCGCTTTAGCAATATTCCAGCAATATCACGGCGGGGTATCTCACATTGTACCCATGTCTGGAATCAAACCCGGGTCTTTAGCGTGACGAGCGAACGCTTTAACCACTAGGCTACCCGACTGCCCCTAACACTACTGAAACTAAGCTAAAAAACAAACAGTATGTTTTCTTCAGCTGATCAATAGAATTAATGTCTATAAAGCACCAAAACCTCCCATATCCCCATGCCTCACTTATAATGTTTTTGTGTATTTTTAAAAATATATATATAAGAAATCTAAGTGTTCATTCCAGTATCTTATCCATCATAATATATAAAAAAACCTACGACAATTGTAAAAAAGGATTTACAAATACCAATATTATAGAACCCCTTACTGAAACAGGCACAAGTGAAGCCCAAATTGCCTCAATGCTACTGAAAGCTAGAGCCTAAAGCTGCATAGTTCAGAAAGACTGGATTGGTTGCACAGGGAGGCTGTAATTGGCGGCAGAAGAGTTTTTTTTAAAATGGTAAAGGCTACGTTTTGAACCAAACATATTTGGATCCTAAAAAAAATTACTCAAAATGGAAAATTTCTTAATCTTTGAGTGAATTGGGTTTAACTCCGCTTTGAACAGTATTCCAGTTGCATCGCGGTATGTCAGCTTATTGTGGGAGGAAAGCCTGAAGTGATGTAGGTCTAAGATGTTTACAACTTTGATGAATCCCACGAGCACGGGTATGGTGCTGACAAACCTAGAAACACAATCGGGGCAAACATGGACGCGAACCCTCGATGAGCCTTGCCATGACAGATAAGTACAGTAACATTAAAGAATCGGTTGTTCTTTAACTTGTTTTAAAGCAGAATACTACATGTCCACGGTAATCTAAGGCATGACACTTGATGATGGAGCTTTAAAGACAAAGTGACTAGGCTACAGGTAATAGTCATCAATAAAAGTTTTTGTTTTCTTAATGCTTTAATAAAATCTTGAGCACATTTCCAGCTGAATTAACTTTAGTCTCATAGATGAATTGTCCAGGATAATTTAATTTTAACACAAATAAATTACTTCAGACCCCGGGCCCCGTTCACCAAAACAATCTTGTCGTATTGTCGTAAGTTGCTAACATCGATTTGTAGACCTGCCCCATGAGATCATTCAATTGCTAATGTTTGTTTTTTGTTTAATGCCACACTCAGCAATATTCCAGCTATATGACGGTGGTCTGTAAAGAATAGAGTCGGGACAAGACAATCCAGTGATTGACATCATGAGCATCGATCCACGCAATCGGGATACGATGACATGCATCAGCCAAGTCAGTGAGTCTGACCACCTGATCCCGTTTGTCACCTCTTACGACAAGTTGTCTTACCACATAGTTGCCTTTTACAGCAAGCATGGGTTGCTGAAGACCTATTCTACCCCGAATCTTGCTAACAGAATACTACCTGTCCTATTCTCAACATTAAACTACAGATGACACAAACTGGAATAATGACTGGTGCATCTACTGAAGTATGATTGGTGCATATTTTAAAGTAAGATTGGTGCATCTATTGAAGTAATTAATTCTGACATTAAAGAAAGAAGTTCATCCCTCACACAATACACATATCCACCTACAAATACCCGGTACCCTCTGAATCATGTTATTCAAGTCCATTCCTCGTCATGCTGCTCAGACCAATACTGACCAATCAGGAACAAGAACCAGAAGTATTCCAGCCAATAGAAACGGGTATTTCATCAAACTTTTGGTCATGCAGTTGGGTTAACTGAAAACCTTGTTAGTTGAAAGGATATTTTCGGGAAAAGTCAAGGTCAATTTGTTCGATTGAAATAATCTAGATATTACTGATGATTAAATGTTGTTTGAAGAATAAGCAAATACTGAACCATATTTTTGTTCTAATATTTTTTCATGTATAAATTTATTAATGAGCCTGACTCAAGTTTTCATTTTGTCAAAAGTAAAATTCCATTTTGAAAATTCAAATTCTTGAACTGAAGACTTTCTGCTGCTTAATTCAAATACCTTGAAGGGAGAATAACTCAAATTGTTCTCAATATTTGACACAAAGGACTTAAATCTGGTAAATAAAATACAAAATTCAAAAACAAGACAAAATATATCAAACAAATCAACACAAAGCTAATATATTAATAACATACTGCAAAACAAGAGAAATGGTCAAATATAAAAAGACATGGGTTAATTGCAACAAATTATTTTACATCACAAAATACCACAGAACACTAAGAGTCAGTAACAATAGCAACTATTATTTTCACATTTTCTTGATCTCTCATCGTCTTGTTGAAAGTTTGGCAATTCTTGTGTCACTTTCTTTCAAATCTGATGTCATCTGATTCTGTTGAAGCCAAATAAGATGATTTTTATTTAATTTTATTTCTTTCTTCATAATTTTTAAAAATTAAATGGGTACTAGTTTTTATTCAAAATATTCATGGAATTCAACTGAATACCTCACATATCATAAATATTTAAAAAATTATATTTAAACTTAAAAAAAAAAGAAAAAAAGTTTTCCAAAAATATAAAACAGATTTTTTTCAGTTCATATTTTTTCAAATAATTGAAAAATTATTTTTATTTTAAAAAACTAATTGAAACACTCAGTATTCTGTGGAAAGCAGAACAAAAAGACTGGAAGCTAACTAAAGAGAAGGTACAACACTACATGCCTGCTCATTCAACTCAATGGGAGACTCTAGGGAGTTCCTGTGGGAGAGATCAGTGGTCAGCTGATCGGCCACCTGGGATGCACGCTTAATCATGTTGCCCACGCGAGATTGCAGACTCGTTTTGCCCGGAGAAGGGGAACTGACCTTGTCCGCTTTCACCCACACTGACTGTGATCGCTGAGTAGTCCCGCCCTTCGTTATGGGCGTGGATGGGATAGCATAGTTGGCTCTGGGGGAAGAATATGTTGGCTTATTAGTATTTGAAAATTCATAAATGAGAAAATTAAATTTCTATGAGGATGTGAGTGAATGTTGTTTAACTCTGCAGTCAGCAGTATTCCAGCGACAGAGCAGCAAACTGTTCATAATGAAATCTGAACTGAAAATATCAGTGGCTGAGAAACTGGAGGAATGATTCGCTCCATCGTGGGACGATGAGCAGTATTTCAGTCATATCAATGAGTGGGAGGATAGGCTGAAGTGATGCAGGTAGACTAGCTGCGATAACCGTACCTCCGTGCTGCTCACTATAAATGATTACTATGCAGAGTTGCATTTCTTGCTTGTGCCAGGATGTGCTTCTTGTGGGCTCAGATTTAAGTGTTCCCTTGATTAAGGTCCTTAATACCAATACCAATGCTCGTTGCTTTAACTGATTGGTAAATGATTGTGACATTTTGGGGGCTTACCACTTTTGCGAAAGACTCATGAATGGGAAACTAAGTGACAAAATAACAGCAAATCACAGATTCAAACCCTTGTTCTTGGATTCTGGTGCACCTAAGGGAGGCAACTCTGAACAGCGTATTCTGGCACATTCTACGACTGGGTATTGCACTGAAGACCTTAATCAAGGCAAAACGGTAGATCTGAGCCGACAAGAAGCACATCCTGGCACAACCGAGGAGTGCAACTCTGCACAGCAACCTGCAGCACCTGACACAACTGGGCCACCTGTGTCTTCATTTACAATCATTCATATCAGCGCATGTGCGTATTAGCCAAAGAAATATGCAACAAATTATTCATTATCATTTTCAAGATACTAAACACTACTTCCAATATATACACCTCAAAGTTAAAAAGCACCCGGTTCTATCATATTACTAGAGTTAATCTGTCATCGCATAGTAACATACTATAGCATACTATGGTAATACGAAAGATATCGGGTGCTCCTTAACTTCTTTTGAGTAGAATAAGATGACCATACATCTATTTGATATCTTCAACACCAGATGGACATTGAATAGAACTGAAAGCAAATTAACAGCAAAAAGAATCAATTAAGGCTTAATAAAATAAAAAAATGGGTTCTCAGGCAATGGTTTTTGAGAATATCGTGTTGGCAGGCAGTGTCTCTTTTTTTCTTTTGGTTTTTCAACTTGTATGTAACAGCTGCATACAATCAACCTTGGAGTGAGTAAGTGAGTATGGTTTTACGACGCTTTTAGCAATTTTCCGGCAATATCACGGCGGGGGACACCAGAAATGGGCTTCACACATTGTACCCATGTCGGGAATCGAACCCAGGTCTTCGTCGTGACGAGCGAACGCTTTAACCACTAGGCTACCCGACCGCCCCCTCAATCAACCTTGGAAAGGGCCTGGCTACATCAATGTATTCCTTGATGAGTAAACTACTGGAATACAGTATTTGACTACAGTTGGACTTGGAATTATTAATTTGTTTTTGTTTTTTTAAATGGAAAAAAACCCGAAATGTGCAACAAACATTATGATGATGTGGGCGGTGCCTGAGAACAAGATTATTATTTTTTTAGCCTTATACAGAGGGAAAATAACTACTTAGTATTTTCACATAGGAACAGAAACAGATACACAGAACACCAATGAGGAAAGGTGTAACCAATGAGATAGCGCCGAATTCATAAAATGAAAACAAAAAACATATCATATACTGAAAGCAAGAATACTGGTATACCTTTTCTGTTTTAGCATCCGTTTTTTGCTGGCATTGTAAAATAAACATTGTCATTAACAATACATCAATATCTGAATCCAATTGAATATAAGGCTGAAATAACTGGTAAGTTACCCTTTTCCAACAAATTTCACAATAAGAAAAAAAAAAGGGAAAAAATAATGTTGTTAGGAAAATGTTTTGATATTGAACTGAATCTTTGACCACCACAGACAGGTCATGTCATCTTCAACAAAGAGTGAGTGAGTGAGTTGGGTTTAACACTGCTTTGAACAGTATTCCAGTCATATCACAGCGTGTTGGCCTGATGTGGAAGGAAAGCCCAAAGTGATGCAGGTCTTAAACGTTTACCACTTTGCTGAAACCACAAGAACAGATATGGTGCTAACAAACCTAGAAACACAATCAGGGGGAACCAGGATTCGAACCCATGATCCTATGTTCGTAGGCTTGAGAGATGCAATAACAAACAGCAACTTGCCAATCTGGCCAACAATGAATTTGTTTGATCGTTGTAATGCCTTACTTGGCATCATCCAGCATATGATGGATGCCTGTAAACAACAGTCTGGATCAGACAATCCAGTGATCGATATTGTGAGCAACGATCCATGCCTTTGGGTACGATGACACTCAATCAACCAGGTGACCAAGTCCGGCTACCAATACACTCAATCCATGCTTAACCCAGACTCTCTAACCACTGGAAACACAACACCCCTTACTTTTGCCAATAATCTGTATGAAACAAACATGAACACTTTCCTAATAGAAATTCTTTAAATTTTATCATTCCTCTTCAAACCTATAGGTGATATTTAAAGATGATTGCTATATAGAAACTTGCCTAATAATTTAATCATAATATTAGTACAAGGCCAATGTCTAGAAAAAAAAGGAATTTTCTACATATTAATTCATTCTTAATGAAAATCAAAACAGTTGTCTCCCTTACTCTGCGACAGGGCTGCCTAGGGAGGCGCCACTTAGCCGGTTGTTGTTACAGATGGGCAGAGACTGGTTACGTCTCAAAGTCGCTGAGTGGAAGCCCCGGTCTGCTACCTGAAATACCAGTACAAAGCGAGTGAATGAGTTGGTTTTAATGCAACTTTGAACTGTATAATGTGGAGGAAAGCCCAAAGTGATGCAGGTCTTAAATGTGTTGAAACCCACGAGCGATGATTTTTGCAGGTTGAAAGGGGTTCGAATCCACAAATCTAGAAACATAACTGGGTCAAACCAGGATCTGAACCCACATTAACAGGTTCCTGGCGTGCCCAAGGGACGCAACTCTGCATAGCGAATTGCGGCGCCTTAGACAAGTAGACCACCTGTGCTCCCTGAAATATCAGTCCAAACAATATAAAGAAATGTCATAAATACAGTGTCAGAATATGAGGTCACATTCTTCTGTAAACCAATATACCGTATACGCCATAATAAGCAGCCTGGTCTCTCAAAAAATTGAAACATACACAAGTTAAATTTGGTGGGCAGTTGTTATCGACAATACACTGGGCTCAAACATCTATGGAAACGAAAACTTTTTCGATAATATTTACCAGGCAATTGTATTCCCATCTTCCCAAGGCAAGGGAGTTAACTGACCACAGAAGTCAAGAATCCACCCTTGACGAACAAGGCTGGAATTATGGAGTTATATTTTGGCTGGACTAGCAAGTCTATGCATAGTCCAATCAAAATAGAGTAATGAAATCGACATCCAGTTCGTAAATTGCAGTGCAGATTTCAATCGACTGCAGGATTTGAAAACCCTGTGTACCGCCAACTCAGCGTTCACAGATATTTTCCAAATCTTTTCATGTTTTTAATCAAGGTGCTCACAGGATTTGATGCACTTCGCAAAGTAAGACCTGTTTTATCATAGTAGAGATTTTGGTTATCGATCAGATCGTCTTGTCTGGGTACCACCATTTTGTTTGAAGCAAATACAAGTGATATGAGAGTTGGAATCTTATTGGTGAATAGGAGAGACAGAGGGAATATTACTAGAAATAGCCATTGGTGGCGCTACGATTGAGCCCAAAAATTTCGGCCTAGTTCTCCAAGGGTGGAAACTGGACTTCTACAGTCTGTTAACTCCCTTGCCTTGGGAAGATGTTGTATTCCACTTCCACATTGTTCCATATTGCGGACAGATTCGTCAAGTATTGGAGCAGGGCGCTTAAAATGGCGATATGTACTGATTGTTAATTTGGGTTGCTGGTATGAGTTTGCCAACATGGATCAATCTCACCCATCTCTCACCTTAATGCCGTACTCTCTTTCGATGATGCTGCACATCTCGGCAAAGCGCTGCTCCATGTGAGTGTGGAAAGGCTTCAGGGATTCGGGCGCCTTCCTACGATGGATGTACAGGGCGTCTCGCAGCAACACAATCTGAAATATCAAGGAAACGGCACATCATTCCAGGCCCTGCATTGGTCACAGACAACAGTAAGAGTTGCGTACAGGGTCTTAACTCTACGATACAAGTTCCAATATGGAGCAGCACCTGACTAGCAGAGTGAGGTCATCCAGCAAGAAGCCCGAGAACTAGCAGTCTGACTGAGGTCATCAGTGAATACACTCCGGCAAGAAGCCCGAGAACTAGCAGTCTGACTGAGGTCATCAGTGAATACACTCCGGCCAGAAGCCCGAGAACTAGCAGTCTGACTGAGGTCATCAGAGAATACACTCCGGCAAGAAGCCCAAGAACCAGCAGTCTGACTGAGGTCATCAGTGAATACACTCCGGCAAGAAGCCCGAGAACCAGCAGTCTGACTGAGGTCATCAGAAAATACACTCCAGCTTTCTGACTGAGGTCATCAGTGAATACACTCCATACAAGAAGCTTGAGAACCAGCAGTCTGACTGAGGTCATCCAAAAAAAAAAGAAAAGAAAAAAAAGACACTGCCCGCTTGCACTATATTTTCAAAAGCCTGAGAACCAATTCTTTTATTTTCTTAGGCCTCTACAAAGTTATTTAATTTATACAAAATTTATTTACTTTATAAATATTACCATAACCCAAGCTACCAAGATAAAACAAGGACCAGCTTCAATGTGGGATTGACCATCAGTAGACTCCAAGAGCCTTCAATATCATCTTAAATCATGCTTGGGGTGTTGGAAGGGGCATCATGACTGACCTGCTGGACGGTGAGTTCCCGGAGCTTCTCAACCAGGACTCGGTCCTTCTCACCACCACTCTGCAGCACATACTCCTCATTGTAGAACACCTGCAATAAATCATAGAGGGGTTATGGGGTGTATAACACCTGCAAGCAATCATACAGGGGTTATAGGGTTTAGAACACCTGGCAATAAATCATAGAGGGGTCATTGGGTGTAGAACACCTTCCAAGACACATACAGGGGTTATTAGGTGTTAAAATGTGAAAATATTCAGTGAAAGATATTGATCAGTACTCCCTGTAGAATGGTATCACTGCAAAATACTTTCACAGAACATTGTTTCAGGGACTGGCCGCCATGCATTTTGGTCTTAAAACCTTGGCTTGTACCCAGTAATATACAGCAAATTACACCTGGAAAGCTGTTGAACGGCAAAAGATCTTGTGTGGATAAAGGAGTTTTGACAAGCACGAATATCTGGACTGTTTTTTCTATATTTAATACGTATACACCTGACGAAATCACTTGTTTATATATATATTTTTTTCTTGGCAGGCACCATCCAATCCTCATCACATTAGGCTGACATTGTGACCAACCAATCATCACAAAACCCCCATTAACAGACAGTTAACATCAATGTGAGAAATCTACACAATTTATCCCGACCTTGTATTTTGAGATTCCTCCATTAACAGCCGGGTCAACTACTCCATTGAGCAACATCCCCAGCGGGTCCACTCTCTGCTCCGAGTCGTGCCGATGCTGCTCGATGGCACTGGACAGCTTCTTGTTGGTCGACTCAATGGTTTCTATTGCACTTTCCAGCGGACTCACAGCAACCTGGCGGCAAAGCGGGACTAAATACAATACAACTACAACAGTAGTGATTTAAACAAAAAAAACTGTGCAAGTGTATACTGAAAACAGTAAGGCTTGTTGCAAAGAAGTGATGATTCCCATGATTCAAAGGTTTTTGCAAGAGGTAAGGTTTACCTAACAACTGGTTGGGACCGCTAAGAGTGAAGTGGATGTCTGTTGAAACTTGAGTGATTTTTTTAGTAAGATGTTAGCCTAAAAGCAGGAATTATAGCTAAGATAAAATAGAGGTAAGGTTTTCAAAGGAATTATCACTATTTATGCTCAGTTAATTTTATGTTTATTTGTTTGTTGTTTAACGCCATACTCAGCAATATTCAAGCTATATGACGGCAGTTGGTAAATAATCCAGTGATTGACACCATGAGCTTCAATCCACGCAATTAGGATCGATGACATGCATCAACCAAGTCAGCGAGTCTGACCACCGGATCCCGTTAGTCGCCTCTTATGACAAACATAGTCGCCTTTTACGGCAAGCATGGGTTGCTGAAGACCTATTCTATTCTACCCCGGATCTTCATGGGTCCCATTAATTTTAAGCCTCTTGTGTGCAAATAATTGTACACATGAAAAATCAAAATAAAACATGACAACAGGGCGTGTAATTACCTAAATGAAGCCTTTTCAGCTGCGTACCAATTTTTCTTTACAGATCAATATTTACTAATTGAATACAAGCACCATGTTCACATCTTCTTCTGAACAGAGCACAAAAGCATCATACATCTCACATATTGAAATACTTGATAGACTGGCAGTATACTCACAGTTTCTATGCTTGTGACAGGGTACCAGCCCACGATGCCAGGCAGAGGGTACTCAGTGATCAGGTTCGTCCTCTCCAGCCACATTTTCTGTAGGAAATAAGCACAGGCTTAAGCCATGAGTTGATGGTTACATCCAAAAGTGGAAGATATATGACAATCGGTACATGACGAAAGGTACAGATAATCGATGTGAGGATCGTGAGAATATGCAGGAAATACCAAACTTAACCCATCTGTTTATAAAACGGACTTGTCCGACATTGCTGCGGTCGGATTCTATTGAGGGAGTCATCATTATTAAAATTAAGATGACTATTTTTAAAGCTTGCACATTTGTTCATCATCCTTAAAGAGGCTGTTGATATCTCATATAAGAAATAAACGACTCATGGTTGTTGTTTATTGTACAATAACACACTGTAGTGCCCCTCATGACTTATTCTCCCTACACCGTTCATTTCTCAAATAAATCAGTTAAGGGTCCTTCAGTTTGTTTTGTCCTTGGTCTACCAGAATGAATTGTTCACCTGGTAATGTGGACATAGCTAATGACCATCTGACTAACCTCTCCGCTAGCCATACTGCTAAGTCTCTAAGCCATTCCTTGTGTCAGGCCATGTTGAAGCTGCAGCCCTACCCCAATTTTCAATGCTCATTTGATGTTCAGCCGTGGCCAGTGTTCATGTGATGAGTGAGTGAATTGGGTTTAACGCCGCCTTTAACATTAACCAGTTACATCACGGCATGGCAGCTTAATGTGGGAGGAAAGCCTGAAGTGATGCAGGTCTCAGACGCTTACCACTTTGGTGAAACCCACGAGCACGGGTATGGTGCCGAGAAACCTAGAAACATAATCGGGGTGAACACAATCATAGGTTTCTGGCGTGCCCAAAGGGATGCAAATCTGCACAGGGAATCGCGGCGCCTTAGACTACTGGGCCACCCGTGCCCCCTTTTCATGTGATGAACACATGTGAGTGAGTGAGTGAGTGAGTGAGTGGGGACTCCCACCTATTTCAACAATATCCTGTGTGTCAGCTTATGTTTAATGAAACCCCATAGGGATGCAAGTCATTGAGGTGGATCTCAGCAGTGAAGCCTATGACATGGATGCGTTGATAGTCCACGGATCATTGTCAGCTGATCCTGGCATGGCTAAGGGGAGAAACGATACTTACAGTGACGTCGCTACTGCTCTCCTCGGACCTCCTTGAGTATGTGAACTTCTCAACCTCGTTGACGCGGTAGTACTTGAGAATCTGCTCGCTGATGTGTTTGTCCACAAACCTCGGCTTCAGCTCCATCACAGGGCTGACAGCATTGATCTGAAGGACTACACGCTAAGGACAGGTATCTGTTTGTTGTTACACACAATACTCACATTATTCCAGCTTAATGACAGCATCAGAACCAGACAATTCAGTGACTGACATTGTGAGTGAGTTTGGTTTAACGCCGCTTTTAACAGTATTCCAGTTACATCACGGCGTGTCAGCTTAATGTGGGAGGAAAGCCCGAAGTGATGCAGGTCTCAGACGTTTACCACTTCGGTGAAACCCACGAGCACGGGTGGGGTGCTGACAAACTTAGAAACATAATCGGGGCGAACCGGGATTCGAACCCACAAATACAGGTTTCTGGCGTGCCCAAGGGACGCAACTCTGCATAGCAAATCGCGGTGCCTTAGACGACTGGGCTACCCGTGCCCCCCTGACATTGCGAGGAACGTCCCACACCTTTGGGAACGAAGACACACAATCAACCAAGTCGTCAAGTCTGACCACCCGAACTATGTGGCTGCCTCTTACGACTAGCCTCGGTAGCTGGGGACCTATTCTAACTAACAGGGCACAAGGCAAAGTGTTCACACTTTCAACAACCTAATATGACTTTCCTTGATTGCTGAGACCTCAATATACACGAAATGGTCTCTCTACCCTGGTGTAGCTAGACCAGTTTTCTGTGTGTAAATATTTAAATAACGTCTAAACATCAAAACGGCCAAGTCAAAGACCTTTACCCACAGGCAGGGGTATGGTCCACACAGATTAGGGACACAATTGGGGCACATCTGAGATTCAAATCCTAACCAGCTGATCCTGGCTAAGGGACATAACTCTGCATAGCAAATTGTGACATTAGGCCCAGGGCCACCAATGCAAAAAAAACATGCAGGATATCAGTCGAATGTTTAAGGTCAATGAAGTCTGTCGTGTTAGAGTTTCCTCTTGCAAGTGGAGTAGGTGGTTCCTACAGCTACTCTGCCTACAGAAGGATACACTGCTTTGGTGACTCCCGGATGTCCTCACCAGGAGGGTCGAGAGTCTTCATCAGCTGCAACACATCATGGGCTTTCATTAAAGTTGATGTGAAACGGAGATTAACGTCATGTTCAAGGTTATTGCACTCATATAGCTACATGCATGCACATGTGTGTGTGGCTGCTTATACTAGTCCGGACTAATGCCAGTTTTATAGTGCTAGACCTCTGAGATACCATGCCACAGTTTAACATGGATACCCCACTCTGACACACTATACTGACTCCAAGCCGACCAGTCCTTCTTAACTCCGAGCTGACCAGTCCTTATCTTATCTCATTAATGCTGAGCGCCAGGCAGGGAAACAAGAAGTAACATCTTTTAACGTCTTTAGGCATGACGCGGCCGGGGACCGAACCACTGAAGTTCCACTATCTTGGCATTTGCTGAGCCTCATCAGTTCCCCATTGAGTGAGTGAGTTAAAATTTAACGTTGCATCGGCATTATTTCAGCCATATAGCGACAGATCCCCATCGCTGTTGGTTCTAAACAAGGATAGGTTACGGGAGACATATTCTGGCAGAGAAATTAGGGCAAAGTTTAGATTGTGAGATTATCTATAATTACATCAGCATTTGGAAACAGGTTCTGCATCCTGGCGTTGAAGTCAGCCAGTCTTTCATACTCCTTGCCACGGTAGATGAACATCTTGTTCTGAAATGATGGGATCAGTCAGACACGGAAACACAAAACCACAATTTGAACATGGCGTGTCATGGCGTTCATCAGTGTCTGTTCTATGTTCCTGGAGATTAGACATACAGACATACAATCTCATTAAAATTAGATCTTAGTTCTCGCTACCGCTAAACAAAGATCTGATGACATCCCATTATGGGTCATGTCAGACCGACCTTTCGCGAACTTTGACCGACCAATGGGATGACTGACAAGAAGTCGACAATAGCCAATCAGAAGGCAGCTTTACAGCAGGAGTTTCAAACAGCGACTACGCTTCGAAACATATTTTGACATATACTCAATTAAATACTTAAAGACTGAACAAAAGAACATTCTGGAATGCTCTCCGCAATATGTCAGCTATGTAGCAGTGGCCAGTAAATAATCTTATCTGGTCCAGACAATCCAGTGATCCATATTGTGAGCACCGATCCTTGCTGTCAGGGTACGATGACATGGATCAATCAAGTAACTGATTCTGACCACCGATCCATTTGGTTGCCGCTTACGACCAGCATAGGTTGCTAGGGATCAATTCTAAACCGAAATCCTCACGCAATGGACCAACCTGTAGGAAAGATGGGAAGCCAAGTCCGTAGTAGCCGACACGGAAGTACTCTGGTTCCGGGCGCATCTCCTTCATCACGCTGTCATAGAGATCTGCCTGCTTCTTCTGTGAACAAAACACACAAACAGCATGATGAGCAGGTTTTCAAGGCTCCTGATAATTCTTTAGCACTGACTATTTACTCACCTTATCATTCTCAAGAGAGATTTCTTTGGGTGAGTGAGTGAGTTTGGTTTTACGCCGCTTTTAGCAATATTCCAGCAATATCACGGCGGGGGACACCAGAAATGAGCTTCACACATTGTACCCATGTCGGGAATCGAACCCGGGTCTTCGGCATGACGAGCGAACGCTTTAACCACTAGGCTACCCGACCGCCCCTGATTTCTTTGGGAATTTAACATACTAGCATTCCCAGGGTCCAGTCTATTGTGAGTCGACATTTTCTAGAATAATTCTGCTTACAATGCTGTTACATGTGACTTCTAGCTGGCATCTGTTCATGCGCTGCAAAGTGTGTCACATGTCAGATAAGCTCGAAACAACGATTCAGCAACACTTAGCTTTACAGTAGTAGTGATGCCTTCGATCAGTAAATATGGATCCATAAAGACAGTCAGGTATGCAAGCTGAACAGGCAACATTGGGGTAATTAAACACAATGTTACACAATTGGAATTTTACATTTTTTATTCAAGATTTTATGGGTTAAGATAATCTATATTGCATATTTTACCCATCTTCCCGAGGCAAGAGAGGTAACTGACTATAAAAGTCCAGTTTCCACCCTTGCCGAACTAGGCTGGTATTATGGAGTTACATTTTGGCTGTGCTAACGAGTCTATGCATAGTCCAATCAAAATCGCGCACCGAAATCGAAATCCGGTTCGTAACCTGTCGTGCAGATTTCGATCGATTGCAGGATTTGCAAAGCATGTGCACCGCCAACTTGTTGTCAGCAGATATTTTCCAAATCTTTTCATGTTTATAAATCAAGGTGCTCACGTGATTTGATGCATTTTGCGATATAAGACCCGTTTTATCACAGTATTGATCTTGTTTATCGATCAGATCGTCCTGACTGGGCACCACCATTTTGTTTGAAGCAAACGCAAGTGATACAAGGGGTATAATCTGATTGGTCCATAGGAGAGACTTAGAAGGTACATAACTGGTAATAGCCACTGGTGGCACTACGATCGAGTCCAGTAATTCCAGCCTTGTTCGGCAAGGATGGAAACTGGACTTTTAAAGTCAGTTCACTCTCTTGCCTCGGGAAGATGATTTTAACAAACACACAGCTTATCTGGAGGTCTGTGTGTGTCTCCATGCAGTTGCCATTGTGCTTCATGCATTTCAGTGCGGGGAGGATCTAAGCCCTAGAAACTTGCAGGAGTCAGTCACGATAGTTAAAGTATTCACCAGAATGAGGCTGAGGTTGGGGTAGTCGATCAGCTCCTCTTCGTACATGCGCGCCAGCTCCTTGCACAGCTCGATGCCCTTCTCCCACATCTTAACAAGAAATAGAAACAACGTGAACACAACAACAGGTGGCATCTATTCCACTCTCACTTTGTAAGCAATAACATGGTGCGTGAGGAACTAGGAGATAGATGAAGTGAAACGGGGTTTAACATCATATTCAGTTATTGGACAATACAGCGACGTGCATGCAGGTGTGTATGGCTGCTTGTACTAGTCCAGACTAATGCCAGTGAAATGGTGCTAGCCCTCTGAGATACCATGCCGCAGTTTAACAAGGATGCCCAACACAGACAAACTATACTGACTCCGAGCCGACCAGTCCTTGTTTTATCCCCTTAATGTTGAGTGCCAGGCAGGGTAACAAGTACCATCTTTTAGCGTCTTTTGGTATGACGTGGCCAGGGATTGAACAACTCAACTTCTGCTGTTCAGGCCGATGCTCTATCCAGTACGCCATGGATGTGGTCAAATTTGGAGACAAACATACTCTGTCTACAATGTAGAGCTAGGTTAAGTCTGGAACTGATTTTGGGCCTGGACCTACCTTTCCCTGCTCAAAGTAATTGATGATGTCATAGTAGAGCTTCTCCTTCAGTTCGCGGTGTGTGAGGCTGTCCTGGTACTTGTCGTTCTGCAACATGGGTGGCAGAGACTCCCCCGACCACTGAAACAAACACGTGAAAACACCAAACGTTATCCTTCGTAGTTCCCAGAAAGTCATGTTAGTAATGTTATTAAACACTAGTTTATCTTGATGTCTTATTGATTTCAATAGTCTCTCATTACCTCAAGTGATTTCTGTAATTTAGTCATATTTACCGTAATTTTTACATTGTTTTGTATTATTGAGTGACTTGGGTTTAACGCTGCTTTGAACAGTATTCTAAATATATCACAGCACGTCGTGGGAGTGGGAGGAAAGCCTGCAGTGATGCAGGTCTCAGACATTTACCACTTTGGTGAAAACCACAAGCATGGCCAAATGCTGACAAACCTAGAAAAATAATCGGGGCAAACCAGGATTTGAACCCACAATTATATCTCACCAGGAATCCCCATGGGGTTCAAGAATTGTGTATGCATCAACACTTGATGCAGGCGTATCGTGGAAGCCCTACATGCAGACATGCGTTATGACCATTTATAAACATTTGGTATGATACACTCACTTGAAGGAGCTTGGCGTATAGCATCAGTGTGTAGGCTGCCTCGGTGAAGTTGTCGCAGTCAAGGTGAAGGTCACACAGCTTGTGCAAGTAGCGGATGTACATTTCTTTCCGATTGATGGCATGGTAGAAAGCCTGCAGTAGACATCATGGCATCTCAAACATGGCAATCACAGAATAGATTGCAGCATACATTCCCATTCAGGCTGCAATCACATTTTATGAGACGAAACGACCTGCATAAGTAACAAGCATGTCAGAGAATACATTAAGGCTGGGACGAGTACAAATTTACTACCCAGGTACCCTCCACCCTATTGCCTGACCCTACCCGGGTACCCGACCCAGCCCTAGAATGCATGTAATAATAAACAAGTAATTCACATCAAAGAATAGGGCCCAAAACTGGTATTCTAACTCAGCAGATCCTGGTACTGATAAGGGAGACAACTATGCATCCCTCAAAGCAAGTGCCATGTAATGTACAAGGAGATGAGACTGACCAGGAGGTTGACGATGCAGCTCATCCGGTGCTCCTTGATCTCATCCTGGATGATGAGGCGGTACTCCAGGAGGCGCTGCAGCAGCTTCCGTATCGTTTCCACGAACTCCAGACCCTTGTCCCGCATCGTAGAGTGGCCGCTACACAGCTGCTTCAGACTGGAGGGCAAGGGGGAGGGGGTTGGTTTAATACAGTTTTAAAATACACACCAATATAGTTGTTAAACGATACAGCAAGGTCATGATATGATACGTTTCACGATACATGGCTCACAATACGTATTGCGATATGCATATTCACTCCAAATTACATGGAAACTTGACAATAAATATTTCAGAACATGTTCAAAAGCAAACGCTAGCTGTTCATAGTGGCTAATTAGTGGTGAACTTGGAACGCTAATTACAACACATTTTGAGATATTTGACAGTGAAAAACACTGGGTGGTCACTAAACGATACAGAGGAAAACATGACTTCTTTAAGTGGCATTTAGAAGTTGAGGTGATGAAGGTGTTAGGATCTACACCAAAATGTCGCACTAATTGTAATAAAGAAGTTGTTCATCCATAGAACTTGTCTTACTAGAGGAAAACATATTGTGTATGGTATAGTCACATGAAAACGCATGATGCACTGGTGCACCGATTATCGTTTCACCTCAAGTTATATGACAGAGCTGCATTTCAGTAATAGAGTGGTGAGATGGCACTTCAAAGTGAGGGGGTTGGTTTAAAACAGCTTTAACATTCACGTCAGTTATATGGCATGCTGAATTTCAGTAACAGAAAATGTGAAGATCCAATGCTTGACGTAAAAAATGGCTAACGGGATCAGGTGGTCAGACTCGCTGACTTAGTTGATGCATGTCATATGGTTAGTTCAACTGCTTTGATGAAAGCTCATGACATCAATCACTGGATTGTTGGTCCAGAATTGATTATTTACAGACTGCTGTAATATAGCTGGGATATTACTGAGTGTGGCGTTAAACAACAGACAAGCAGTAATATAATGTCAAGATGTTCAAAGCGCATAACACTCTCCATTTACTCACATGTCGTACACCAGCTCCATGTACTGCTCATCTCCGCGACCACCTTCCACAAGGGCGTCTAGCTGTGTGATCATCTCATTCTCGACCTAAACAGACACAAGAAATCAGGGAAAAATAAATGCAAGTCTGTGAACATGATTTAATCATAGGAAAGGCAAACCAGAAAAGCCTCTTCATAATCATCATGTTAAACGCTTCCCATCAACAAATGTTGAGCACTGACCTGATTGAAGTTTCCCTGCAAAGACTTGGATCTTGGTATAGGCTGGGTGAATTCACACTGCATCATGTCGAAGAAGATGGGGATCGTTGCTTTCCTCAACTCTGCAGCGAGGAGACAGGTACAAGGATGTGAATCAGATATTATGTACGTGAGTAAATACGAATACATTCTAGCCTTAAACTTCGGTTCATTAGAAATAATAATAATAATAATAATAATAATAATAATAATAATAATAATAATAATAATTTAAAATAATAATAATGAATAATAATAAATAATAATGAATAATAATAAATAATAATAAATAATAATAAATAATAATTATTTACAAAATATGATGTCATTACAGAAGAAACATGACATGCAGCTCAGTCTGACACTTTCACTGAAGAAGTTTACAGCAATTTGGGGGAACTTAAGAGCATGGTCCAAACATAAAGATCAAAATTCAAAATATCGCGAGAGATAAAAAACAAACAACGGAACATATGAACATGGACTGCATTCCATTACATTTCGGGGGCGGTGGGGTAGTTTAGTGGTTAAAGCGTTTACTTGTCATGCAAAAGACCCGGGTTTGATTGGGTACAATGTGTGAAGGCCATTTCTCGTGTTCCCCCGCTGTGATATTGCTGGAATATTGCTAGAAGCAGCGTAAAATGATAGTCACTCACTCATTACATTTAGAACATAAACGGCTGAGTGATAAATAGGTTATACAGTTAAACACAAATGGGCAATATGAATCATCATGTAGAGTTTGACGAAGTAGGAGGCACTTCAGCAGATTACTTACATAATACTTCGAGTCTTTTGTCACAGGATCAGGGGTGGGCTTATTAGAGATAATACATTGACTACAGTATGTTTTACATCATCAAGACTGCTGCACTTACCACTTTCTGGTAATACATTGACTACAGTATGTTTTACATCATCAAGGCTGCTGCACTTACCACTTTCTGGTAATACATGGACTACAGTGTGTTTTACATTATCAAGAGTGGTGCACTTACCACTTTCTGGTAATACATTGACTACAGTGTGTTTTACATCATCAAGGCTGCTGCACTTACCACTTTCTGGTAATACATTGACTACAGTATGTTTTACATCATCAAGACTGCTGCACTTACCACTTTCTGGTAATACATGGACTACAGTATGTTTTACATCATCAAGACTGCTGCACTTACCACTTTCTGGTAATACATGGACTACAGTGTGTTTTACATTATCAAGACTGGTGCACTTACCACTTTCTGGTCATACATTGACTACAGTGTGTTTTACATTATCAAGGCTGCTGCACTTACCACTTTCTGGGATCAACGTCATCTCTAGTATCGGCCCCACCATTTCCGGGATAAACTGCATCTTATTTTGACCTGAAAAATGTCCAAGAAATATGAACCTGTAGCAGACAGTCAAGATTGTAAATCCTTTAACCTGAACACACAGTGAGAAACTAATCAGGCCCCTGGCTAGCAATTGGGGAAAATCTGTTATTTCAAAGCCTTTTCCTCTACATCATGTATATTGGTCCTATTATCAGTGATATACATGACACATAGCATTAGCTATACCGGGTATATATATAACTGCTTGAATTGGGAAATGTTTCATTCAAATTTTGGAATTTTTACTCACATTTGCAGCAGACTTAGGGCTGAATATCAGCTCTAACCAGGTCTAGATAAATCCTTGCTAATGTTTGCTCACTGAAGCATCATCAATGTTTGGTGCATTGTCACACTAAGTACTGAAATCTGTGATTTGAATGACATCAACAATGCTGTCCGGATGATGTAAACAATACACTGGAGTGTGAGGTGAGGTGAGGTGAGGTGAAATTGGGTTTAACGTCGCGTCCAAGATTATTGCACTTATATAGTGACGTGCATGTACGTGTGTGTGTTTGTGTGGCTGCTTGTACTAGTCCGGACTGATGCCGACTTATAGTGCTAGCTCACTGAGATACCATGCCGCAGTTTAACATGAATACCCCACTCAGACACAGTATACTGGCTCCGAGCCGACCAGTCCTTGTTTTAGCCCCTTAATGCCGAGCGCCAGACAGGGTAACAACAAGTACCATCTTTTAACGTCTTTTAGTATGACGCGGCCGGGGATCGAACCCCGGACCTTCCGCTCTCCGGGCGAACGCTCTACCACTAGACCACGGAGGCGGTCACACTGGAGTGTGTGAAGTGATATTTGCACTAGTGCACATACAATCTGAATGAACTTGGTTATTTCCTACCCTATGGGTAATGAGTAATCGTTTGTTGTCAGTTTTTAATTTATCTGTTCTCACCAAGTTTGAACCACATGGCCCTGATCTCGAAGCCTGTCTCCCTCCTCATATCCTTGTACCTGAAACAGATGGTAAGATTATCCCAGTCATCCAGAGCGTACAGGAGGCTACAAGGTGAATGGGCTTGTGCATCCTAACATGGAAGGTCAGGGGGTTTATGTTTCGTTCGCAAAAGAAATACACGTTCTAGAATCACATGTCAGGAACAGACATGATCACGAGTCCGTTCATCTGAGACCTGAATCTAGAGGGACTAGTGGTTTTGTAGGAAAAAAACACACTGGTACAAAATGATCAGTGGACTTTGGTAGTTGAGAAATATCGGAAATATTTTTATTCAACAGTTTAGTTCACAATAGTTCAAGACTTTTCAAGACATAAATCAAATTTAAAGGCCTTTTCAAGGCAATTTAAAATTCAAAGTCTGCTCTAGGCCTAGAAAATGTACTAGAATCTGTACTTCACTGAGAAAGTGTTATCCCAAATATAACATTTGTTACATTTGACCACTTTCTAAACGGCATTGTGTGTTCATGATCAAGGATGGATTGACTAATTCAGGCCTGTTTAAGCCTGTGTGAGCCTTGGTACTAATGTATAAGATATATGATATGACATGACTTGTACCTGGATATGATCTTGTGTCGCTTGGAAGGAAGACAGTTCTCCAGTTGTAGAGGATCTTGGATGAGGAACGAGATCGTGCAGTGGAAGAAGTTGTTCCATAGCTGAAACAACAAATCAACAAATTGTCAGCAGCTGAAGCAGATCCCGAGGCATCTTCCTGACATTTCTAGTTCATCATATGTCATCCTACAGGTACTGTCAAGAAGACTAGCAAATTGACAGTCTTGACATCTTGATTCGGGTACTTCAAACATCATTTTGTTTGTCGACCATACTTTCCACTGATCAAAATCAGGAACTCTGCTGAGATGACCCTAACTACACAGAAACAATATCACACTTTCACACCAGGCACTAATCAAAACATTCGACTGGACTAGTGAGCTCCAGGTGAGTTTATCACTGTGTGTGGGTTGGTCATTCGTTCAGTGCATGTGTCTCCCCATGTGGACGGAGAGGTGCTTGCTGATTTGGGTCTGTGTTGTAGTTCACAGCCAGTTTCGGGTTATGGTGAGTTGCCTCCCTTGGTGACTATATGAGCGGTTATTACACGTTTGGCATGATTTGTCAAATGTCTATGTGGATATTGTGGTATGTGAATAGACCCATGGGTGCTGAGATTCCTCTTGTGTATTTTAAATAGTAATATATTAATGGAAATTTAAGGTGGATTTGAAACAGAACCACTGCCACGCAAATGTCTGGGCTCAGTTCCAGAAAGTGATCGTAACTCCCATACTTAAACATAGACCTACAAAAATCTTAGCGCCTATGAGAGCTTTGAGGAACGGGGCCCAGGTCACAATACTGGAACGGTAAGTTACAATTTGAAGTCACATCGGCAGTATCTCAGACAGTAAGTGACGCTTCTAGCATCAGTCTGTTTTTTTTTAAATTGCAGTAAATTGTGGTAGGCAAATTGCTCGGGGAACACAGCTTGATATACTCTCTGTGTGGCTGTGTCTCCCAGCATACATTGTTGTTGTCAACCGATCTCATGGGTTGTATGGTGTGATGTACCCTATGATGCAACATCCAACATATTCCCCTCGGGGTCAGTTGACAACTCACATATCTTACTGAAATTTATTCATACAGGTCCGGAATATATGTCCGCAGTTTCACTGAGATGCAGACGATGCAAACAAACCGAGTTACTTCCCTTTACCCAATGCTTTCGGATAAACATCGGTCCATTTCAAAACGATACCTTCATTGTGTTACGAACGATTTTTCAGCAGGCTACAATTGTATATTAGTGGAGAGTGAGTGAGAGTGAGTATGGTTTTACTCCGCTTTTAGCAATATTCCAGCAATATCACGGCAGGGGACACCAGAAATGGGCTTCACACATTGTGCCCATGTTGGGAATCGAACCCGGATCTTCGAGTTTTGTTATTTGTGACTCGAACAATGATGCAATTATGTTACTAGATTATCTAGGTATACCCTTGCTTATCCAATAAACTTTCAACTACAATAAAATACTAATAACGATGATATTTATCGGTTCCCAGTTGACTTTACGAGGAATTATTTGCGAGTACAGTTAGTAGCAGACATGTTTATTTTTGTGTCTACATATGTGTAACAATTATTAGACTGTATTATCAAATGCACTAATCAAAAGAAGTCACACGGTATGACAGATTAACTGTAGTAATATGAAAGAATCGGGTGGTCCCTTACTTCTTTTCAGCAGTATAATTTCAGCATATTCCGAGATATCTGCCTTGACTCACCTGTTGTTCAAATGGGCTTGAGAACTTGTCATGGATGGTGTTCGCAAAAAAACGCAGTGCTCGTAGTATTATGCTGGAAAGATATCAAGTTAGCTTCTCATTAGTATTCAAATATTCCCATGTAACACCAAACTAGAACCAATAAAACCATGTCAAATAGAAATGAACAAATATCATGGCAATCATGAATACATCCGACCAGTACAATCCAGGACATAAACAGTTCTTGACACAACTGCAAATCCCAGAACCATCATGATACTATTTCATTAGCATAGAGGTGTCTAAATTCTCGATACAAGTGAGCTGAACAACTGGACCAGACACCTGAATTCATCTCGAAAATGAAAAGCAGTTCTGAGTGAAGACTTGCTTTTTAAAAATTTCCTGAACACCCGGCATCGATAGCAAAAAGGGTGCAGTATCAATGCTATCATGGGAACATTTGTATTTGTTTGTGGAACAGAAATTTCGAAGAACAACAGACTGTACTGACAAAATCGAGAAGAGAGTAGAACCAAACTGCTTTAGGAACCCTGCAATCTGATTGGCTCAAAAACCCATGCTTCTTTCATTTTGATTGGGTGGTAAAAGTTCGCTCCGGGTTCACCACAAGTTACCTGAAGGGTTGTCAGAACTTATATACCTACTGGCTGTTTGTGTAACTCGATATGGAGTTTTTGAAAACAACGATTGTAACACCTCGCAGGAGGTATTAAAACGATTGAAACACCTCGCAGGAGGGCTTACAATAATTGTAAACCCATGATAGTGCAAAAACTACGAACAGCCTACGAGACGTAAGTGCAGATTTCGTGCCATTGCGAGATGCACGTGCAGATTTCGCACCGTTGCAAAACCCACTTGCTGAGGTCACCAGTTTCATTGAACCGAGTTCACGACTGCAGGCGATATTTCATCTCCGATACAGGTTATACATTTGAGAGTTTTTATTACAGTTATTTAATTAAAAACGTTGTCTATGCGATGAGTCGGTTTATAAGTTGGACAAACCATGTCTCCTCGAGATTACTAGAGATTGTAAACCCTCACATTCGGTCATAGGCTTCCTCGGGACATTCCCTCATGTGAGGGTTTACAATCTCTAGTACTCCCTCGGAGACATTGTTTCTCCTATACTTAACACATTGAATCGGATCAAGAGATCTGAAGGTAACAAACTGTATCCTGATACGATCATGTCAGCCATCTTTCCGTGTACCTATTTTGCAGCATGATCATCTCCAGCCAGTTGGACGGGTAGACGTTGCGACTCACGAGGTCGCGGAATACCATGAGAATTTCCATCAGGAAGTCCAAAAGGTCAAAGGTCGTTGGGAAGCTCATGATGTAACCTTGGTAATGATTTTCCGACATCTGACGAAGAATGCTCATCATGACTGCCACACAGTTGCCCTGGAAACAATGGACATCCCTGATGTTACTATAGCGACAATGATTGACAACAAACATTCAATCCTTTCCTTCTTCGATGCCGCTGAAAATCAAGCAGAATTAAGTCACCAAAATCATTATCGTGCAACTGTGAGCAAAGCAAAAATTTTCAATCATAACAATAGTTAATATATTTTATAATAACAAATATCAACAATTAAATCAATTCCTGAAGTGCAAAAAATTATTTATACAAAAGATGCATCATGTTACTTTCTCGCTACAGAAATAAAATTCCTTTCAACTAATCACTCATTCATAGTCATTCTAATAAATTAATCTTCTTATCAGTTCTCTATGCAAGTCCTCACACTCTGTTACACATAGGAACACGTCACTGTACATTGGGGTAACCATAGTTACTGTACATTATGGTAGCCATGGTTATACTCTGGTGTTGTACCACTGAGGCTAGTTTTACTTCTATCTTACAACTTGCCTGTAACTGTTTTGGATCTCCCTTTGAGAAGCAAGGACAGAGGAAAGAGTCTCATAATTACTATTCCAATGTTTCATAACCAAGAAACTCAAAAAGAAATAAAAAAAAGAAGAAAAGAAAAAATACCCCAAATACTTAGAACTCAAAATACAAATTTCTGCCAAAAAAACAGTCACGGAAAACTATTTGCAACTATTTATAGTTATTTATATTTCATATGTAACATATAAAAAATATTCAAAATATTACATTTTAAACAGAATTAAAATTTAAAAGTTTCAAAGATATTGTAGCATGATGCCATATCACAGATGACTAATCACAAATCCTCCTTCACTACATATAATAATTAATTATATTTCATTCATCACAGACCATTCATCATTGACCATTCATCACTGACCATTCATCATTGACCATTCATCACTGACCATTCATCATTGATCATTCATCATTGATTATTCATCACTGACCATTCATCACTGACCATTCATCATTGATCATTCATCACTGACCATTCATCACTGACTATTCATCACAGACCATTCATCACAGACCATTCATCATAGACCATTCATCACTGACCATTCATCATTGATTATTCATCACTGACCATTCATTATTGACCATTCATCACTGATCATCCATCACAAATCCCCCTTCACTACAAATAATTAATCATATTTAATTCAATAGTGATCATTCATCACTGATCATCCATCACAAATCCCCCTTCACTACAAATAATTAATCATATTTAATTCAATAGTGATCATCCATCACAAATCCCCCTTCATTATAGATAATTAAATATATTTCATCACAGATCCCATATAACTAACCATTTATACGAGATTATTCATTGCTGCACATGTATTTCAGATCTTTCACTGCAGATCGCTTATCAGAGATCATTGATCAAAGATTATTTATCATAGATAATTGATAACATATCACTGAACACAGATCTGTGATCACTTTCATCTAGATCATTCATCACATATCAATCCTGACATCATTGTACACAGATCATTCATCACATTCTCATTGCAGATCATACATCGCAGATCATTGTACACAAATCCTTTGTCACATGTTCATTGAAGATCATTTATAACAAATCATTGTCCACGGTTCATTGTACACAGATAGTTCATCACTGATCATTGTACACAGATCATTGTACACAGATCATTGTACATGTTGTACACAGATCATTCATCACATTCTCATTGCAGATCATTCATCGCAGATCATTGTACACAGATCATTGTACACAAATCATTGTACATGTTGTACACAGATCATTCATCACATTCTCATTGCAGATCATTCATCGCAGATCATTGTACACAGATCATTGTACACAGATCATTGTACATGTTGTACACAGATCATTCATCACATTCTCATTGCAGATCATTCATCGCAGATCATTGTACACAGATCATTGTACACAAATCATTGTACATGTTGTACACAGATCATTCATCACATTCTCATTGCAGATCATTCATCGCAGATCATTGTACACAGATAGTTGTACACAAATCATTGTACATGTTGTACACAGATCATTCATCACATTCTCATTGCAGATCATTCACCGCAGATCACTGTACAGAAATCATTTGTCACACGTTCACTGAAGATCATTTATACATCACACATCACTTCCAACATCTACAAAGACCACATATTCTCCACATAGTCCATTTCCCCTGTAACCATGGTAACGTGTACATGAAATCCAAATCTCACATATGTAATAAGGTAAAAGCATGCACATGGTAAAAGCAGGAAAAACACAGAATACAAATATTACTTTGTAATTAGCCCTGTAAGCTGCAAAAGGAACTGTTTATTACAGGTGATGAATGAATGTGACGAGGCGGCAGATACTTACGTTGATGTTTTTGTAACATATATTCTGAGGAGGCTGATGGCCAAAGAATTGCTGCGGATAGGATTTTGTGTTAGAATATGCTGCAGTTTGTTATATTGGCGTAAAACAACAAAACTGTGTAACTGAAGGTATTTAAATGCTGCTAAACTTCTAATATGAATGTTAGTTCATTAGTACCAACATAAAGTTAAATTTAAATAAATATGAAATTAAGATGATAATAGAATTGATATAGAGACAAAATAAATTTGAATACATTTTTGAAGTTTCATAAATGTAGAACCAAATAAAATTAAAATTATTGGCAGTCTTTGAAATATTAGTATACACAAACAACATTGCTTGTGTCGCATGATTCATTAGAGAAAAGTGCAAAAGGAAAAAAAGACGTTTTGACAGACGTTGTGATAACAACATTCTTGTTTACAAGACAAAACTGCAGCCATACTACAACGTTACTACAATGTCTGGGTTATGACCTAAAGTGCAAATGTCAATGGGATGTGAAGGTCAAGGTTACATGATGCCGTGAGTGGGTGTGTATGGCTACATATTTGTTCAGCAGGAGCAGCAGCAGCAGCAGCAACAGCAGCCTTTGGAGATATTAGCAATGTAATGGCTTGAAAACAACATAGGGCTGTATTTCCTCACATAAACAATAATGAAAATAAACAAGCACAATAGAATTAAAGCAAAAATATCCTAATTATGTGAACGACAAATTTCAATAGGGAGAAGGATGTATATTTTTGAAAACACTGTTTAAAACGATTCCTCTACCTGAAATGAGACAAATTCTCTTACTTTCTGATGTCAAAGAAATCTTAATTATTCATTTATCTATTTGGGTTTCAATATTGGAACAGGAAAAAAAATGCCTTTTTGATTCATGACACATCCCCTCCCCAAAAAATCATATTCATAAATCATGTTAATAACACCCCCTGACAGTCATGTTTCTTTGTCATTTCATGACCCTCCCAGCACATCATCCACCCTCCCCCTCCAATTTTGATAACAAAAATGAAAACTATAATATTGCTTTCATTATGCCCTCATGAAATTTCTTACATAGCCATTGACAGGAAAGCTAACACTATGCTGTTTTCAATTCCATATTTGGATACACTGCTAATGATATGCATACAAGGGAGGTCAAGGTCATATGCTGCTGTGAAATAAGTGAAGCTTACACCAACATCATGCACGGTTCCATCCTCAAGTTCTTGTGAACTAGATCGCTGAAATGCAGGGAAACCATTCAGGGGTGACCGCAATGGGCATGCCTTCGCTTTGACTGACAGTTTGACAGTTACCCACATTACTCAATATCAAACAGTATTAGTAAGAAAATGACGCTTGTGGTGCAAGAAAATAATAATTTCAAAAAGATTGTCAAACTGGCAATTTTTTTCATTACTCAATAAATCAAGTTCGTGATTGGTGACAGGTGAGAGAAACAGCTGATTGCAAAGTGAGTGAATGAACACTGTGACATGAACAATACATAAACAATGTGACATGTATACAATGAAACAGGATCCAGGTGAAAGTGACAACACCTGTGATTGACATCAGTGATATACACAACAGTTAGAATTCATGGCAAATCTAAATCATGGATTACAATATAAAAAACATGAATTGGATACTGGGAAACAGTGTTTCATGTTTGGCAATATTAGACACAAGTTTGAGCATGGAAAGGAATGTTTTTTCAACCCAGTACTTACTGGGTGACTTTTAAATTGTTTAACTACTCCTTCAAATCAGATGTAAATTATCTGTGCATGTTAAACTGATCTATTTATGAAAACACTGATTCTCAGGGAACACGGTGAATGACATTCATGAAGGTAGGGCTGCGAGCTGACATGATGTTAAAGTTACAGAAAACATGGATGATGTTAAAGCTTGGACATAGATAGTATCATTCGTGACCAACTCGCATTATTCCGGGACAAGCCGAATAGCGACTCGTGTCCCTCTCATGGCCATTTTTGCGACCGGGTTCCGTCTTAGCGCAAACGGGCATACCTAAAACAATTGTCAACTCGTTGCGTAATGGTTCACTTACATTTCCCCATATATTTTATATATTTCAGATGCAATTTAAAGCACATCGGGATGTGCGGAATTATACAGTATGACTGAACACATGTAACTGTGTCTTGGGTATATTTTTAGATGCAAGGCATATGTAAAATCAAAAATTATATCTGACGGATTCTTTGACGAAGAACTTGAAATCATACGCGCATTCTGATTGGTTTGTCGTATTTTTGCACATAACATTCATCGATAGGGGGACGAGTCTTCTTGCAGGTTACGGAAAGGGGCGAGTGGTGACGAATGAGATAGTATTACATCAATAAACCAATCTGACAAACTTGTATAGTGATCCTAGATACCAGGAACTATATTAATCTCCAGACATAGATTCAGTGTCTGCTTTCTCAGTAAACTATTGACTTATGTTCAATATAAATTTAGGTTGATTTTCCTGTGTGGATGATTATGTAGATAACCTGTTTGCATATCATTTGGCACTACCGTATTCGACGTAATAAGCGCCCAGGGCGCTCTCAAAATTAGAAATAGGGGGCTCTTATTAGAATATAATTTTGGTGAAAAAAAAACAGAGTTGAAAGTTCGTAGATTTCTTGGTTTATGCTGACAGCCTGAAATGTTTGTATACGACAGATATATTTTTCCAGGATTTAATTGCCCATAATTAAGGGTGCATATAACACAGGAGTGCGTATTATACACGAATAAATAAGTCTTGTGTACATTGATCAATCGGAAGGGGTGCTAATTGGGATTGTTCACTAGCCAATATATCAGCAAATATGGGCGTGGGCGCTTATTAGAGCGGGGCGCTTATAACGTCGAATACGGTATATGATGAATTGGGCAGTTCACTCAAACAATGTACGCATGCACGGTTTCTAAACATTCCTTCACTGAGAGAAATTTTGTCATCAACATTGATTATTTTAAGAATAACATTATGTGATATTATTTCTAAGAGACAGATTATCAGACCGAAATAACTGACATACAAGTGTAGAAAGACATTTTCAATATGGCCGCTAAATTCTCAAATTGGCTCCCATTCATCCAGTGAGTGAGCAATATTCCAGTAATATGATGGCAGATATTTATCCAACTAGAGTTTCACCCTGAATATCCATTTGCTGAAAGTCTCATGAAATTGTCGACATTTCAACAACTTTCAAGTTAGTGCCACTAAAGTTTCGGACAAAGTGTCGGAACTACTGAATGACTTTGTTATAAATGACCTTGACATTACCATTGAATCTAATCAAGTACTTGTAACCATGGGGACGCAGGTGCTTTCTCAAGAATTTTTGTGGCAAGGTAATTAGGGTCATATATTCGAGTTTCATGGATCCTAAAGAGAAACTAAAGAAAAGATATGTTCTTCAAAACAAATGTCATTATGAACTTAACAATATAAAAGTTAATATAATGTCAGATGAAGACAAAACATAACTACAAAGCAACATGAAAGGGAATAGTTGTTGTTTGTTGTTTAATGCCACACCCAGCAGTCTGGAAATAATCGAGTCTGGACCAGACAATCCAGTAATTGACATGAGCATCGATCTACTCAATTGGGATAGGATGACATGAATCAACCAAGTCAGCGAGCCTGACCACCTGATTCTGTTAGTTGCCTCTTATAATCAAGAAGTGTATGACATAAGACTACCTACCGCCTAATTACATGGGAAAGATAGATCCCTGGATACATATAACTACACTAGCATGTTTAAGTGATGGTGTCCGAAGCTTTAACATGTTGTGATGCGGTTAGTACAATGGTGCTATATAGAGGGTAGGTAGGCTAGGGCGATGTACACATGACAGTTGACGACAGCTCAGACCACTATGCACACGATTCCTGTGACTGCAAAAAGACTGATGCATCTATCGAAGACAATAGTCAAATACCTGTAACCTGCGGTTCTATGATCGTTAGTTGCGAAGAAAAAACAGAAAACCATACGTTAATAGTCCAACCACACCATGTCATGGAGGCTTCTAAGATTTGTATGAATCTCTAGTCCGAATGCAAACTTTCTACCTACTAACACTTAGAAATCGATACAGATGAAGGACAAGATGAAATGTGTCTGTAACCATGGTAACACACACCACTACAAATGACACAGACATATCCTGACTCCTGACACTGAAATACATGACAGGTGATTGGTGAGGTGAAATTGATGGGTGTATAGTCAGTTTACGTGTCAAGGAATTGTCAGAAGTGTTATGTGTAAGAAGTAATGTTTTTAATACCTGATAATGATCTGACAGTAATTCAGCTTGCAACTAACAGTCATAAACATAAATTACATGACCTTCAAGGCTTGATGTTATACTCATTGGGGCTGTTGTACAACTCATTATATCCTATACTGAATAGGGCTGTTGTACAACTCATTATGTCCTAGACCAAATAGGGCTGTTGTACAACTCATTATATCCTGGATCAAATAGGGAAGTTGTACAACTCATTATATCCTATTCCGAATAGGGATGTTGTACAACTCATTATATCCTAGGCCAAATAGGGCTGTTGTACAACTCATTATATCCTATACTGAATAGGGATGCTGTACAACTCATTATATCCTAGGCCAAATAGGGATGCTGTACAACTCATTATATCCTATTCCGAATAGGGACGTTGTACAACTCATTATATCCTAGGCCAAATAGGGAAGTTGTACAACTCATTATATCCTATTCCGAATAGGGACGTTGTACAACTCATTATATCCTAGGCCAAATAGGGCTGTTGTACAACTCATTATATCCTATACTGAATAGGGATGCTGTACAACTCATTATATCCTAGGCCAAATAGGGATGCTGTACAACTCATTATATCCTATTCCGAATAGGGACGTTGTACAACTCATTATATCCTAGGCCAAATAGGGCTGTTGTACAACTCATTATATCCTATACTGAATAGGGATGCTGTACAACTCATTATATCCTAGGCCAAATAGGGATGCTGTACAACTCATTATATCCTAGGCCAAATAGGGATGCTGTACAACTCATTATATCCTAGGCCAAATAGGGATGGCATATAACTCATTATATCCTACACGCTTCTGGGTTGTTATAAGATATTCTTTCCCCAACAACACATTTTTGCTGTACAACACATTTTATCTCAACACAGAAGACTTTAATGTCCAAAGTTATAACACTACACCAAACCAGCAACATTATTTAATCCAGCCCAGCTATATCCTGATCTTGCTGACTATAACACTGCTACAACCATGACCTCAGTCATCAGGACTACACAGCGATGAAGCGATGACGATATGATGTACACATGATATATATAGAATACAGTTGATGCTGGGATATGCCTGGTGTACCTACCGCTTGTTTTGAGCTGCGGTCCATGCCGATGACTGATTGGATGACTGTACGCAGGATGACCTTCTCAATGACGCTGATGTCAGCCTCGTGCGTGCCCTGAGGATGGGGAGCATTGAGTGGAAGGATCAGTCAGGACGATCAGGATTAATTGTTGTTAATGTTTGCAAAGAGTGAGTGAGTTTGGTTGAATGCCATTTTGAACAGCATTCCTGTTATCCCATCATGTCAGATTAATGTGGGAGGAAAGCCCAAAGTGATGGAGGTCTCAGACGTTCACCACTTTGGTGAAACCCATGAGCATGGGTATGGTGCTGACAGACCTAGAAATGTATAGGGATAAAACAGGATTCGATGACATGATCATAGGGGTCTGGTGTTCTCAAGGGACACAACTCTACACAGCTAATTGCAGTGCCTCTTCCACCCGTACCCCCTTTGTTGCAAAGACAGCAAGTGTTGGGTTGAAGTAACATTGTTTAAGTTTCTGCTGCAATGTTCACCTGTATCATTCCAGCTCCCAGGATCTGTTTGTTTGTTTGTTTGTTTTTTAACTCCGAAAGCAGCAATAATCAAAAATCGCGTCTGGACCAGACAATCCAGTGATTGACATCATGAGCATTGTTCTACGCAACTGGGATGAAATGACACGCCATCAACCAGGTCAGTGAGTCTGACCAACTGATCCATTTAGTCACCTCTTACGACAAGTATGGGTTGCTGAAGACAATAACCAAATTTGCTGAAAATTTGTCTTAACTAAAGAAAAAGTAGCCTGTATTTTACCAGTAAATACATATCATGGAGGATATAAGAGTTTCCTGTATTCTTTAGCACTAGGCTAAATATCTGTTTGATGTGGAGGTATGTGTTAAATGCTGACATGAGGATGTGTGACTGACCGGTGATGGTGTCCACAGTATGTGCATTATGTCACTGAGGACGGTCACACAGTCCTCCATCTCCTCCTTGTTCTCCATCAGCAGCTGTGTGTGCTCCAGGATTGGCGCCAGCAGCACCAGGCGACACTCTGCACAAACATCAGTATAATCATAGGCGACACTCTGCACAAACATCAGTATAATCATAGGCGACACTCTGCACAAACATCAGTATAATCATATGCGACACTCTGCACAAACATCAGTATAATCATAGGCGACACTCTGCACAAACATCAGCATTAATCATAGCCCACACTCTGCACAAACATCAGCATTAATCATAGGCCACGCTCTGCACAAACATCAGCATCAATCATAGCCCACACTCTGCACAAACATCAGCATTAATCATAGGCCACGCACTGCACAAACATCAGCATTAATCATAGGCCATGCACTGCACAAACATCAGCATCAATCATAGCCCACGCACTGCACAAACATCAGCATCAATCATAGGCCACGCTCTGCACAAACATCAGCATCAATCATAGGCCACGCTCTGCACAAACATCAGCATTAATCATAGGCGACACTCTGCACAAACATCGGCATCAATCATAGGCCACGCACTGCACAAACATCAGCATTTTTCATAGGTGACACTCTGCACAAACATCAGTATAATCATAGGCGACACTCTGCACAAACATCAGCATTAATCATAGGCGACACTCTGCAAAAACATCAGTATAATCATAGGCCACGCACTGCACAAACATCAGCATTAATCATAGGCCACGCACTGCACAAACATTAGCATTAATCATAGGCCACACTCTGCACAAACATCAGCATTAATCATAGGCCACTCTCTGCACAAACATCAGCGTTAATAATAGGCCACGCTCTGCACAAACATCAGCATTAATCATAGGCCACGCTCTGTACAAACATCAGCATTAATCATAGGCCACACTCTGCACAAACATCAGCATTAATCATAGGCAACACTCTGCACAAACATAAGCATTAATCATAGGCAACGCTCTGCACAAACATCAGCATTAATACTAGGTGACACTCTGCACAAATATCAGCATCAATCATCAGCTTCTTCAATCACAGGCAGAACTTGATACCACACAAACACTTCTCAGTGTCCATTACACATATTCTTAAGTATTTTCAAGAGAAAGTTTCAGTGAAAGAGCATTTCTTGTGCATCAGTTAGCCACACCATGGTTTACACAGAAACTTTCATGAATCATTTTAACCTTTGCAAGACATTTTGTACATCTCTCCATGAGATCCTCCCTTGGTAGGTTTTACTGCCCTTGAACAGCATGTCAGGTATATTGTAGCAGGTCAGCTTGACGTGGAAGGAAAGCCCAAGCGATGTAAGTCAAACCCACGAGCAAGGGTATGGTGCTGACAAACCTAGACACAAAGTCAGGGTAGACGGGATTCAAACCCATCATCATGTTCTGGTCCAGGTAGGAAACCCAGCACAGCTAATTGTTTGCATTTTGTTTGTTTGTTTTTTGTTTTTTGTTTAACGCCGCACTCAGCAATATTTCAGCTATATGACGACCGTCTGTAAATAATCGAGTAAGGACCTGACAATCCAGTGATTGATATCATAAGCATCATTCTCTACGATTTGGATACGGTGACATGCATCAACCAAGTCAGCGAGCCTGACTAACCGATCCAGTAAGTCGCCTCTTGCGACAAGCGTAGATGCCTGCACAGCCAATTGAGGCACCTTAGACAACTGTGCCACCTGTGCCCCAGTTTCTGTGAACCAAATGTGTACTTACCTGGAAGTTTAAAGAGCTCTGTGTGGATGATGTCATCGATACATTTCATCTTCTGACGGGTCAGACGGTCTTTGGGCACATTGTTGATGAACTGAACCAGAATGTGACTGCAACGCCAGGAATGTATAATCATGTACAGTGACTGAGGTTTTAGACACTTCTATCAATAATGCAGTCCAGGGTACACATATACAGATATGGAACACTACAATTCAAGGCTGCCAGCTGTCATTTTCAAGGCTTTTTTAGTTGGGTTAATGGCCTTAGTCGGTCAATAATTTATTAAATCCATTATACAATATAATAGTCATAAGACCTAAAAAGCAGTATGACCATCACACATTTCCAACATGTAAATTTAATCCAAAACACAATATATTCAGTCTGTCATGAATTCTTTAGGGTCTTTGACACACCAATCTATCACTGTAATCAATCTCACTTGAACATCTTTGGTTCATACTTTTGTGCCTTAGTACTTTGATTAACAAGTATATGTCAATTTACAAATTCAAGGCTTTTCGGGCTACTTTGGTGATTTTCAAGGCTTTTCAAGGTTGACACTAAAAATCAAGGCTTTTCAAGATGGATTTTAAAATTTAAGGCTTTTTCAAGCCTGTACGAAACCTGCAGTCGTATCACAGTTGGGGACACCCGAAATGGAATTCACACATTGTACCCATTAGAAGATTGAAATAAACTACTGTTGTTTAATGACCTCGGACAGTATCCTCATGGGAACTGCTTTAAAATTATAAAATATTAATCGGAAGCACCAAACAGCAACCAGTCTCAAGCCAGATGAGACAAACATTATGTGGCATTTATTTGTACATGTTCTAGAAGTATTCTGAATTTTGTATTTCTGCCCCATCAGGAGCAAAGGGGCCTTATGGGTGCTAGGATACAATTGTGCTGTGACACCACAAAGACGTTTGACGTCCACTTACTTCAGCCATGTGCGTGGACTGTACAAAAATATCATATTTTTCTCTCATCAGTTTGTAATTTAATAAAAACATTACTTCAAAATATAAAAAACATGTCAACATTCAATTTATCAGACATTATATCTAAAAACTGCAAATATTACCGGTACATAAACAGTCGGAAAATGAGTCCAAATGTTTGTTGCCATATATATCTGTAAAAAATATGAATTGAAGCTTGTGAATTGTATTTTGTGTTCCTAAGAGGCGGTAGTTCTCAAATATAATGAGAAGTAAAAATGTGATATCAGGTCCCTAATTTCATGGTTAGTCACATTTCAAATTCTATCAAATTACTCACCTCAGTTCCACAGGATCAAAGACAGTCATGATGTCTGTGATAGTTGCACTCATGTATTTCAGTGCAGCCCCCTGCAAGAGATAAATGGCACAGACATCAACACACGCACTCATTGCTAATCCATAAACATTGTTACACACGTTAAGCAGTGAGTTATATTTGCCAGTCTAAAATCTTTGAAATCCTGATTGGTATGTGGACAGTTTGATTTTGATTTTGGTTTGATTTGTTGTTTAACACAGCACTCAGCAATATTCCAGCTATATGGCAGCGGTCTGTAAATAATCGAGTCTGGACCAGACAATCAAGTGATTAATATCATGAGCATCAATCCACGCAATTGGGATCGATGACATGCATCAACCAAGTCAGTGAGCCTGACCACCAGCAGGGACTCTACTCAGGGACTTGGGATTCTGAACTAAGTGACACTTCGAGATAAATTGAGGACAAATATTCTGTTCAAAATTGATCAGGGCAACCATGTGAGAAGGGCATGGTCTGTTGGCCTTTCTGTGTCAACCAGGTGAGAGTGTGGTCTGTTGGCCTTTCTGTGTCAACCAGGTGAGAGTGTGGTCTGTTGGCCTTTCTGTGTCAACCAGGTGAGAGTGTGTGGTCTGTTGGCCTTTCTGTGTCAACCAGGTGAGAGTGTGGTCTGTTGGCCTTTCTGTGTCAACCAGGTGAGAGTGTGGTCTGTTGGCCTTTCTGTGTCAACCAGGTGAGAGTGTGTGGTCTGTTGGCCTTTCTGTGTCAACCAGGTGAGAGTGTGTGGTCTGTTGGCCTTTCTGTGTCAACCAGGTGAGAGTGTGGTCTGTTGACCTTTCTGTGTCAACCTGGTGAGAGAGTTTGATCTGTTGACCTTTCTGTGTCAACCAGGTGAGAGTGTGTGGTCTGTTGGCCTTTCTGTGTCAACCAGGTGAGAGTGTGTGGTCTGTTGGCCTTTCTGTGTCAACCAGGTGAGAGTGTGTGGTCTGTTGGCCTTTCTGTGTCAACCAGGTGAGAGTGTGTGGTCTGTTGGCCTTTCTGTGTCAACCAGGTGAGAGTGTGTGCTGTTGGCCTTTCTGTGTCAACCAGGTGAGAGTGTGTGGTCTGTTGGCCTTTCTGTGTCAACCAGGTGAGGGTGTGTGGTCTGTTGGCCTTTCTGTGTCAACCAGGTGAGAGTGTGTGGTCTGTTGGCCTTTCTGTGTCAACCAGGTGAGGGTGTGTGGTCTGTTGGCCTTTCTGTGTCAACCAGGTGAGAGTGTGAGGTCTGTTGGCCTTTCTGTGTCAACCAGGTGAGAGAGTGTGGTCTGTTGGCCTTTCTGTGTCAACCAGGTGAGAGTGTGTGGTCTGTTGGCCTTTCTGTGTCAACCAGGTGAGAGTGTGTGGTCTGTTGGCCTTTCTGTGTCAACCAGGTGAGGGTGTGTGGTCTGTTGGCCTTTCTGTGTCAACCAGGTGAGAGTGTGAGGTCTGTTGGCCTTTCTGTGTCAACCAGGTGAGAGATTGTGGTCTGTTGGCCTTTCTGTGTCAACCAGGTGAGAGTGTGTGGTCTGTTGGCCTTTCTGTGTCAACCAGGTGAGAGTGTGAGGTCTGTTGACCTTTCTGTGTCAACCAGGTGAGAGTGTGTGCTGTTGGCCTTTCTGTGTCAACCAGGTGAGAGTGTGTGGTCTGTTGGCCTTTCTGTGTCAACCAGGTGAGAGTGTGTGGTCTGTTGGCCTTTCTGTGTCAACCAGGTGAAAGTGTGTGGTCTGTTGGCCTTTCTGTGTCAACCAGGTGAGGGTGTGCGGTCTGTTGGCCTTTCTGTGTCAACCAGGTGAGAGTGTGTGGTCTGTTGGCCTTTCTGTGTCAACCAGGTGAGGGTGTGTGGTCTGTTGGCCTTTCTGTGTCAACCAGGTGAGAGTGTGAGGTCTGTTGGCCTTTCTGTGTCAACCAGGTGAGAGAGTGTGGTCTGTTGGCCTTTCTGTGTCAACCAGGTGAGAGTGTGTGGTCTGTTGGCCTTTCTGTGTCAACCAGGTGAGAGTGTGTGGTCTGTTGGCCTTTCTGTGTCAACCAGGTGAGGGTGTGTGGTCTGTTGGCCTTTCTGTGTCAACCAGGTGAGAGTGTGAGGTCTGTTGGCCTTTCTGTGTCAACCAGGTGAGAGATTGTGGTCTGTTGGCCTTTCTGTGTCAACCAGGTGAGAGTGTGTGGTCTGTTGGCCTTTCTGTGTCAACCAGGTGAGAGTGTGAGGTCTGTTGACCTTTCTGTGTCAACCAGGTGAGAGTGTGTGCTGTTGGCCTTTCTGTGTCAACCAGGTGAGAGTGTGTGGTCTGTTGGCCTTTCTGTGTCAACCAGGTGAGAGTGTGTGGTCTGTTGGCCTTTCTGTGTCAACCAGGTGAGAGTGTGTGGTCTGTTGGCCTTTCTGTGTCAACCAGGTGAGGGTGTGCGGTCTGTTGGCCTTTCTGTGTCAACCAGGTGAGAGTGTGTGGTCTGTTGGCCTTTCTGTGTCAACCAGGTGAGAGTGTGAGGTCTGTTGGCCTTTCTGTGTCAACCAGGTGAGAGTGTGTGGTCTGTTGGCCTTTCTGTGTCAACCAGGTGAGAGTGTGTGGTCTGTTGGCCTTTCTGTGTCAACCAGGTGAGAGTGTGTGGTCTGTTGGCCTTTCTGTGTCAACCAGGTGAGAGTGTGTGGTCTGTTGGCCTTTCTGTGTCAACCAGGTGAGAGTGTGTGGTCTGTTGGACTTTCTGTGTCAACCAGGTGAGAGTGTGTGGTCTGTTGGCCTTTCTGTGTCAACCAGGTGAGAGTGTGTGGTCTGTTGGCCTTTCTGTGTCAACCAGGTGAGGGTGTGTGGTCTGTTGGCCTTTCTGTGTCAACCAGGTGAGAGTGTGAGGTCTGTTGGCCTTTCTGTGTCAACCAGGTGAGAGATTGTGATCTGTTGGCCTTTCTGTGTCAACCAGGTGAGAGTGTGTGGTCTGTTGGCCTTTCTGTGTCAACCAGGTGAGAGTGTGAGGTCTGTTGACCTTTCTGTGTCAACCAGGTGAGAGTGTGTGCTGTTGGCCTTTCTGTGTCAACCAGGTGAGAGTGTGTGGTCTGTTGGCCTTTCTGTGTCAACCAGGTGAGAGTGTGTGGTCTGTTGGCCTTTCTGTGTCAACCAGGTGAGGGTGTGCGGTCTGTTGGCCTTTCTGTGTCAACCAGGTGAGAGTGTGTGGTCTGTTGGCCTTTCTGTGTCAACCAGGTGAGAGTGTGAGGTCTGTTGGCCTTTCTGTGTCAACCAGGTGAGAGTGTGTGGTCTGTTGGCCTTTCTGTGTCAACCAGGTGAGAGTGTGTGGTCTGTTGGCCTTTCTGTGTCAACCAGGTGAGAGTGTGTGGTCTGTTGGCCTTTCTGTGTCAACCAGGTGAGAGTGTGTGGTCTGTTGGCCTTTCTGTGTCAACCAGGTGAGGGTGTGAGGTCTGTTGGCCTTTCTGTGTCAACCAGGTGAGAGTGTGTGGTCTGTTGGCCTTTCTGTGTCAACCAGGTGAGAGATTGTGATCTGTTGGCCTTTCTGTGTCAACCAGGTGAGAGTGTGTGGTCTGTTGGCCTTTCTGTGTCAACCAGGTGAGAGTGTGAGGTCTGTTGACCTTTCTGTGTCAACCAGGTGAGAGTGTGTGCTGTTGGCCTTTCTGTGTCAACCAGGTGAGAGTGTGTGGTCTGTTGGCCTTTCTGTGTCAACCAGGTGAGAGTGTGTGGTCTGTTGGCCTTTCTGTGTCAACCAGGTGAGAGTGTGTGGTCTGTTGGCCTTTCTGTGTCAACCAGGTGAGGGTGTGAGGTCTGTTGGCCTTTCTGTGTCAACCAGGTGAGAGTGTGTGGTCTGTTGGCCTTTCTGTGTCAACCAGGTGAGAGTGTGAGGTCTGTTGACCTTTCTGTGTCAACCAGGTGAGAGTGTGTGGTCTGTTGGCCTTTCTGTGTCAACCAGGTGAGGGTGTGTGGTCTGTTGGCCTTTCTGTGTCAACCAGGTGAGAGTGTGTGGTCTGTTGGCCTTTCTGTGTCAACCAGGTGAGGGTGTGTGGTCTGTTGGCCTTTCTGTGTCAACCAGGTGAGAGTGTGTGGTCTGTTGGCCTTTCTGTGTCAACCAGGTGAGAGTGTGGTCTGTTGGCCTTTCTGTGTGAACCAGGTGAGAGTGTGTGGTCTGTTGGCCTTTCTGTGTCAACCAGGTGAGAGTGTGAGGTCTGTTGACCTTTCTGTGTCAACCAGGTGAGAGTGTGTGGTCTGTTGGCCTTTCTGTGTCAACCAGGTGAGGGTGTGTGGTCTGTTGGCCTTTCTGTGTCAACCAGGTGAGAGTGTGTGGTCTGTTGGCCTTTCTGTGTCAACCAGGTGAGGGTGTGTGGTCTGTTGGCCTTTCTGTGTCAACCAGGTGAGAGTGTGGTCTGTTGGCCTTTCTGTGTGAACCAGGTGAGAGTGTGTGGTCTGTTGGCCTTTCTGTGTGAACCAGGTAAGAGTGTGTGGTCTGTTGACTGTGGTCTGTGGAAGCTACAATCAACCAGTGTGTGGTCTGTTGACTGTGGTCTGTGGAAGCTAGTCAACCAGTGTGTGGTCTGTTGACTGTGGTCTGTGCAAACTACAGTCAACCAGTGTGTGGTCTGTTGACTGTGGTCTGTGCAAACTACAGTCAACCAGTGTGTGGTCTGTTGACTGTGGTCTGTTGACTGTGGTCTGTGCAAACTACAGTCAACCAGTGTGTGGTCTGTTGACTGTGGTCTGTTGACTGTGGTCTGTGCAAGCTAGTCAACCAGTGTGTGGTCTGTTGACTGTGGTCTGTGCAAGCTACAGTCAACCAGGTGAAAGTCAGTTACCTGTATCAGCAGTGTGTGGTCTGTAACATACAGCATCATTGTGTTGATGGACTGGAGCAGGTTCTTCAATGTGATCTCAAACTGTTGCTTGCCACGCCCTTCATTTATCCTGCAATTATAAAAAGATGCTGTCAACTGTTCATTTTGTTAGAGTGCGGCAGGATATATCGCCATTATCATCAAGGTCTGATGACAGCAACTACTGCAACCAAGGTCTGATGATAGCAACTACTGCAACCACAGTCCGATGACAGCAACTATTGCAACTAAGGTCTGATCCAGTACATACTGAGGGAAACTCTTATAAATGTACTAATATACTTACATTGCAAACAGAACCCGGGAACGAATGATGAACTTGAAGATATATTCCAGGGACTTCATGGCACGGAGAAGTGAGTCATTCCTAATGGTCTTCTCATTGGCGTTGTCTACATAGTCCTTCAGTATCACCATCAACTTACTGTCATACAGGGAGAAACAGTACAGTGATCACTCGCAAATCAAGGACCAAACATACCATAAAGCCTATCAACATTTCTAGTGGGTTGCATATTTATGACCCCAATTATCTCCCTTAGTAAACATGCTAAAACAACCTGTTTTCAGATGAGCATTATCATTTGTGTATGGTCATAGTGCTTTTATAGATAAATGTAGAGAAACTTGGTATATGTGTTTCCCCTGAGACTGTAACTCCTTCAAGAGAGCATGCTGGGTCCTCTTGTTATTGAGTTCTCACTACGACATGAATGTATGTAACTTAAGCCCCATGACCTACCTACTGACTATAACGGTCCAGTTTCCACCCTTGCCAAACTAGGCTGGAATGGCTGGGCACGATTGTAGCTCCACCAGGGACTACTACGAGTTATGTCCCTTCTATGTTGCCTCCTATTGACCAAACATATTCCGCCTCTCATATTACTTGCATTTAATTCCAGCCCAGCGAAGACAATCTGATTGATAATCAAGATCTTTATTGTAATAAAACGGATCTTTCTTCGCTATGTGCATCTGTGCTATGATAGAATGAAAAGATTTGGAAAATATCTGTTGCTGCTAAGTTGTCGGTACACATGCTTTGCAAATCTTGTATTCGAGTGAAATCTGCATGCCAGTATACCAACCGGATGTCGACTTTTGATTGAACTGTGCATAGACTTGTTAGTCGAGCTAAAATATAACTCCATAATTCCAGCCTAGTTTGCCAAGGGTGGAAACTGGACTTTTGTAGTTGGCTTACTCCCTTGCCTCTGGAAGATGGACACAGCAGCAGGTGCCACCAAATGGTTGGTCCCCAGCCAGTAATATAATGGAGAAACTTGTTTATATTTCTTGAGAGTCGAACTCATGCTGGACTTACTTGTATGCCATGGCAAAGCTGAACGTGCTCTCAATGTAGGCATCTAGCACAGGCCGGAATTGGGAGTACTTTCGGTCAGAGATCAGTGCAATGATATATACCTGGAAGAAGATTATATATGTTACCAAGGTCATTAAGTCTTTCCTTATCAACATTGTTCACACAAAACTTGAGCTACCGAATGTAAAGGTCCTTTAAAGGTCTTTTCATTGCAAGGGGCACGGGTGTCCCAGTCGTCTAAGGCGCCGCGATTCGCTGTACAGAGTTGCATCCCTTGGGCACGCCAGAAACCTATAATTGTGGGTTCGAATCCCTGTTCGCCCCAATTATGTTTCTAGGTTTGTCAGCACCATACCGGTACTCGTGGGTTTCACCGAAGTGATAAACGTCTGAGACCTGCATCACTTCGAGCTTTCCTCCCACATCAAGCTGACACGCCGCGATATAACTGGAATACTGTTAAAAGCTCACTCACACTCACTTTTCATTTCAATGATCACACTTCTTAAGGCTCAAAGTAAGACCCAAGAGTGCTTCAGGCAGATTTAGTACGATATTCCTATTTCATTTAAATATGGATGGATGGCGCCATTCTTACATCCAACTATTGAAATATTCAAGTTAACATATCCGTCTTACAATATTATTCATCAGTCTAGTGATGGCCTGATCTTTAGCTAAAGGAGATCCTCAAGCATAATCATGATAATTAGAGAAAAAAATATAATTGTAATCTACATTTTTAACAGCAGTTAATACGGTACAATATAGTTGCCAAATCTTTTGGCCTTCTCAAGGTAGTTTCAAATTTAAGGCCATTTCAAGGCCATTTCAGGCCTGTGTGAACCTTGCTGTAACAACCACATGGTGCAGGAACCTGTCTGACCCAGACATAGAGAACAAAGACCTGTAATGAGTGATGGACACAATTATTAAAAGCAGATTGACTTGGTCTGTGGTGAGTTTTGTCAGTTAGATCTGTATACTGACCAGGGCATCAAAGACGAGGTTGTCGCAGGATTCGGAGTTTGTGTTCTGCATCAGGATGTTAAACAGGGAATCCAGCAAATCTTGTAGAAACTGGGAAACAGACAGGGAATAATCCATTACTACAGTGACATCTCATTAGTCTTGACCCTGTTAATCCAGGCGATTAAGCTGGGAAAGTTTGTAATTATACAAAAGGACATTACTGGATGAACGCGCAGGGATTACGGGTGAGAATTGGTCCCCAAAGCTAAAACCTATGCTGGTCGTAAGAAGTGACTGAATGAATGAGGTGGTCATGTGAATGTACCCTGACTGCATGAGTCACTGCTCACAATATCAATTACTGGATTGTCTGATCCAGATGAGTATTTACAGACCACTGTCAAATAGCTGGAATATTTCTCAGTATGGCATTAGAAAAAAATATGCATGCACACATCTGGAAATTTGTTTCAGTGGAAAATCAAACTGGAATGAAGGAGACTAGACTTCGTTCTCACCTTGACGATCTCCTCACCCTCCTCCTTCATCACATGCCACAGATGGCGCTTGAGAGACTCCGTGTCGTTGAGAACCTCGTGCCACTTCAGCAGCCCCAGCAGATCAACTGTGGACAACAGCACAGACGGGGGTCAGTTGATAAAAGTCAATTGGTACTTGTGATAATCATAGACCCGTGAAGATCCGGGGTAGAATAGATCTTCCTCAACCCATGCTTGCCGTAAAAGATAACTATGCTTGTCGTAAAAGGCGACTAACGGGATCGGGTGGTCAGGCTCGCTGACTTGGTTGATGCAGGTCATCGATCCCAATTGCATGGATCGATGTTCATGATATTAATCACCGGATTGTCTGGTCCAGACTTGATTATTTACAGACCGCCGTCATATAGCTGGAATATTGCTGAGTGCAGCGTTAACAACAAACCAACCAACCAACCAACGATAATCATAATCATGTAGTAAGAGGTGACTAATGGGATCGTGTGGTCAGGCTCGCTGACTTGGTTAATACATGTCATCATATCTAAATTTTCGAAGATCAATGTTTATGATGTCAGTGACTGGATTTTCTGGTCATGACTGGATTATTTACAGATTACATGAACATAGCTGGAATAATGCCGAGTGCGGAGTTAAACAACAAACAAACAACCAAAAAAACGAGAGCAAGCCTCAAGCTTTCAGCTTATCTACCAGGGGTAGATTTAACAACAAATTTGTCTGTAGCCAGCAGGTCTTGCTCCTCTTGAAAGTTACTGGCCCTTTTCCAAACTAACTGGCCAACAACAAAATGGAGGAGGACTCAAAATGGCCGAACCTGAGGTCGCGTAGCCACTTTAGCAGGGCTCTGAAAAATTAACACGTCCTCACCCCTAAAACGTTTTTTCCAGCACAGATTAGCCTTGGCTTCCATTAGCCTCAATTCATGGTGATTTATGAGCACATACAGAAATTGTACACAACATTACAAAATGGCGTCCAGATGTCATTCTACTGAGATGATCCAATTAAAAAAACTTGAACATACACAGGGAAGGGGTGAAAGTTTGACTAGCCAGACTGGACATCTACTTTATGTTTCAGCAAGCCCTTTTTGTAACTTTAACTGGCCACGGACCAACGGGCCAGCAATTGAATCGACCCTTGTCTACCTACCATTGTGCGTGAGTTTGGTGGAACAGACGAATGATGTGATGTGGAAGGAGTCTCTGCTGCTGAGGGTGTAGCAGCCTGCTTGTATTGACTGGCGGCTTTTGTCATTTGCCTGACGGTGGTCTAGGTCCAGGCGTGTGGATGGCAGATCTAGGTATGCCGGGCTGTCGTCATGTTTCTTACTTTCAATCTGGAAATACAAATGCTGGGTTAGTGGGTTTTAATGGTTGGTGTAATGACAGACAGAAAGAAAGAACAACAGAAAGAAAGAGAGACAGCTAGGTTGATGGACAGGCCAAGAGAAGCAGGCTCACACATGCACAGACAAACATACAAACATACCAGAAGACATACAGGCATATAAACAGTCACACAGACAGACAGGCAAACAGTCACCCAGACAGACAGTCACACAGACAGACTGAGAGACAGGTTGATAGATAGACACAACAGGCAGAGACATGCAGACAGGCAAACAGTCAAACAGACAGACACGCAAACAATCACACAGACAGACAGCAAAACAGTCACACACAGAGACAAGCAAACAGTCACCCAGACAGACAGACAGGCAAAGTCACCCAGACAGACAGGAAAACGGTCACACAGACAGACAGACAGACAAACAGACAGGTAAACAGTCACACAGACAGAAAGGAAAACAGTCACACAGACAGACAGACGCACAGACAGACAGGCAGGCAAACAGTCACACAGACAGGCAGATGCACAGACAGACAGGCAGGCAAACAGTCACACAGACAGACAGGAAAACAGTCACACAGACAGACAGGAAAACAGTCACACAGACGGACAGGAAAACAGTCACACAGACAGACAGACAGACAGGCAGGCAAACAGTCACACAGACACACAGACATGCAAACAGTCACACAGACAGACAGGAAAACAGTCACACAGACAGACAGACACAGACAGACAGGCAGGCAAACAGTCACACAGACAGACAGACAGACAGGCAGGCAGGCAGGCAGGCAAACAGTCACACAAACAGACAGACAGGCAAACAGTCACACAGACGGACAGGAAAACAGTCACACAGACAGACAGACAGGCAGGCAAACAGTCACACAGACAGACATGCAGGCAGGCAAACAGTCACACAGACGGACAGGAAAACAGTCACACAGACAGACAGACAGGCAGGCAAACAGTCACACACACAGACAGACAGGCAGGCAGGCAAACAGTCACACAGACAGACACAGACAGACAGGCAGGCAAACAGTCACACAGACAGACAGACACAGACAGACAGACAGGAAAACAGTCACACAGACAGACAGGCAGGCAAACAGTCACACAGACAGACAGACACAGACAGACAGACAGGAAAACAGTCACACAGACAGGCAGGCAAACAGTCACACAGACAGACAGGCAGGCAAACAGTCACACAGACAGACAGACAGACAGGCAAACAGTCACACAGACAGACAGACAGACAGACAGACAGGCAGGCAGGCAAACAGTCACACAGTCAGACAGGCAGGCAAACAGTCAAAAAGACAGACAGACACACCAAGGCCTCAGCCAGCATGGACCCAGTACCTTGTACACCAGCAGTTCATGAGATAAATCCTCCAGCGTTGTCCCATTCTCATTCATCAGGTTCACAAACGACATCGCAAATGGCTTTTCTGACTTGTCCTTTGCTGTAACATATCACAGGTGAAGTGAGACAATAACGCTGGCTACCTCATACAAAAACATGTGACAGCTAGAATCGGATGAACAAAGCATTGTTGGGCTTGTTTACTACTCAGTCGAACCCTGATATCTCAGGAACTCCTTGGGACCAGCGAAATTGTTTGACTTGACTTATCTTAAGCCATGAGATCTGATACAAATTCTACCTTGTGTTTCAAATTTATCCTGCTTATAATTATGATGAGGGTATCTCTTAACTCATTTTCAACTCTTGCGACGATAAATTGAGTTAGGAATTTGATACACTATGTTTGACATATCCAGGTTTAAATATGGTTAGACCGCCTCCGTGGTCTAGTGGTAGAGCGTCCGCCCGGAGAGCGGAAGGTCCGGGGTTCGATCTCCGGCTGCGTCATACCAAAAGACATTAAAAGATGGTACTTGTTGTTACCCTGTCTGGCGCTCTGTATTAAGGGGCTAAAACAAGGACTGGTCGGCTCGGAGACAGTATACTGTGTCTGAGTGGGGTATTCATGTTAAACTGAGGCATGGTATCTCAGTGGGCTAGCAGTATAACTCGGCATCAGTCCGGACTAGTACAAGCAGCCACACACACACACACACACGTACATGCACGTCGCTATATAAGTGCAATAATCTTGGACGAGACGTTAAACCCAATTTCAACTCACCTCACCTCACCTCAAATATGGTTAGAGTTTGACGGGACCGACACAACTGGACATTTGACACATCCGAGCTGGAGACAGATACATCATCAGCTTTCCTGGTATTATCATGCTTCTATTCTGATAAATACTTTTTGCGACCATAGGTTGTTTTGAATCAGATAATAAATAGCTTTCCAAACAAAAGCTATAGTATGAATGTCTCCAGGATATCTATCAGAATAGCATGGATGGCGATATAATATGCCGGATTACTGAGGATGGTCTGATGGTCTTGAAGTGATCACATGACATATGACAGATGCCCTTAGATCATGTTGATATGATAACAGCACAGCTCCTAAGAAGGGGCATTCCCCATTCCAAAGCCAATCAGATTTCCCCACTGAATGCAGATCTGCATCCTAAACCAATCAGATCCTAAACCTAAACCACATGATTCCAAGTTACACAGACAACTGCATAGCAGGTTGTTTTCTATTTGTCTTTCATAACTTTGATGTGGTCCAAGTCTCTGTTGGCTTCATAACATCAGATGCCAACCTAACAGTCTCCATTCTTACACCATTCTGATGTTACCGAATTGTCAAGATATTGAACGAACCTTCGGAAGAAGATCTATGCTTGAAGAGGAACTTGAGATGTAGACCCTTAAATTCCTCATCTGTCGATATGGCAACCTGCAAAGTGGAACAATTTAGTAAACCAGAAACCATTTTCTTCCATTTCATGGTTTGGGGCTTTAATAGCTCTAAAATTGTGAAACTGATAATGAAAAAAGTCCAAAACACCTAAAGAATTTTAGTTTTTCAAACATATATTTCGTTTTCTAATTTCCTTTTCCTTTTTCAATACCTGTTGATCTAAACAAATCATTAAACATCAAGCTGTGGGTGGCAACAGTATAAAAATTGTAATTTTCTTCCCACCTAACAAAACTTTTTTGAAATATCTTCTACACCAAGACATGAGCACACTGTGGCCTCACTTGACAGCAAATTTGTCTACACTGGTCCTCACACACAAGTTCCACTACACTAAATCAGAGACAATTGTAGGTACAGCCCAGTGGTAACTTATCATAACATACTAGGCTAGCCGCAAGGAACTCTGGGTAGGAGAGTCACAGCGAAGAAGCCAGCAGCTATGATTGGATAATATTGTGAAAGATTTGGATGTTTCAAAAATACATCCACACAGTAAATAAAACTGGCCATGTTTTTCAATATTTAGTCCTGTATTTCCTTTAACATCATTACTTATGCTGAATGTGTCCACAGATACCTTCAAGTAAGTGACATTTGCTGCAGAACTGCAGAAGTCTTTAGCTTCCTGTACACAGAAATGGAACTGAGCCATATTTTGTGACTTTATTGCAGCTTTAAGGCCAATCTATGCACACATGTAGGTAAAATGGCACTTAATGCCTAATTATTTAAAAAGAAGTAATGTTACTACAGAAGTCTATGGGTAAATATTGGTTGTGTGTACATGGTGTCAACTAGAACAAAATAAGCGCCCAGGGTGCTCTCAAAATTAGAAATAGGGGGCTCTTATTAGAATATTATTTTGGTGAAAAAAACAGAGTTGAAAGATAAATTTCGTGGTTTATGCTGACAGCCTGAAATGTTTAAGTACGACAGATATATTTTTCTAGAATTTAATTGCCCACAATTAAGGGTGCATATAACACACGAGTGCGTATTGTACGCGAATTAATAAGTCTTGTGAACATGAGCAATCGGAAGGGGTGCTAATTGGGATTGTTCACTGGCCAATATATTAGCAATGGGGCTCTTATTACTTCGAATACGGTAACAAAAGTGTGCTATTTGTGTTCCTACCTTGACAAACTCAAACCACTTTGGCTTGTCTTCATGATAGTACACCATGGACTTGTACTCCGACATCATACTGTCTCCGCACCCATAGCTGATCACATTCTGAAACAACGAAGTTCATTCACAACCTCAGAATTACATCTTGCTTCTATGTCGAGGCTGCAGAGAGAATTCGATCAAACGTGACATATGTCATGATTTCCGATGTAGTTTCAGTGTTGCTTTGTGAAAATTGTGAATTCTTTCAGCAATATTTGAAAATCTTTCATCTGAGACAATTGTCTGATAAGGTCATAATAATTTCAATTGTCACATATGTCGTCAAAGTTAGGCAAGAATTATCTGAATTTGCACATGTGGAATATATCTTCTGCTGAATGCTTAAGTGAGACATTTGGGGTGAAAATAATCCTGTGACTCCCTGTTAGTTTAGAAACCCAGACTTCCCACTATTTAATGGAAACCTCCTATTTCTAATACTCATGGGGATTCCGGGTTAGAATAGGTCCCTAGCAACCTATGCTGTTTGTTTGTTTGTTGTTTAATGACCCACTCAGCAATAATCCAGCCAAATGATGCCGGTCTGTAAATAATGGAATCTGGCCCAGACAATCCAGTGATTGATATCATGATCATCGATGTATGCAATTGAGCTCAATGACATGCATCAACCAAGTCAGCGAGCCTGACTCCCCGTTAGTTGTCTCTCACAACAAGCATAGTTGTCTTTTACAGCAAGCATGGGTTGCTGAAGATCTTTTTTATGAGGGATCTTTAACCTATGCTGGTTGTAAGAGGCAACCAAATGGATTGGGTGGTCAGTGACATGGTTGATGGTGTGTCATCGTACCCCGATGACGTGTATCATTGCTCACTATATCAATCATTGGATTGTCTCGATTAATTACAGACTGCCGTGCTATAGCTGGCTAATCTCTACAATCTGTAATCTCAGTGAAGATCCGGGGCAGAATAGATCTTCAGCAACCCATGCTTGCCGTAAAAGGCGACTATGCTTGTCGTAAAAGGCGACTACCGGGATCGGGTGGTCAGGCTCGCTGACTTGGTTGATGCATGTCATCGATCCCAATTGCGTGGATCGATGCTCATGATATTAATCACTGGATTGTCTGGTCCAGACTCGATTATTTACAGACCGCCGTCATATAGGTGGAATATTGCTGAGTGCGGCGTTAAACAACAAAACAAACCAAACCAAACTCAGTGAAAAATTATCTCTAACACATCCATCAGTAGCCAGGGTCACAAAGAAAACCTACCTGTAACACTCCTCCCTGCCTGTTACACACAATCATTGTAACCTCTACGTTCTTGTCGGCGGTCTTGGCCGGCCCCTTGGTGAACTCTCCATGCATCAAGGTCACATAGATGTCATTCCTCACATCGCCTGAAAGGAATACAGGTTTAACAGGTTAAAAATTTCATTCTAAATGTTCTTCTTCTCTAAACTGTCCTGTCACTCTTGACAAACACCATTGTTATTGAAACGACAAACTCGGAAAATGTTACATGTTAACACGGTTAATGCTCTGATAAACAAATAAACTGATATATTACTAAGAAATGTTACATTTAACATGATGATAGGTGAACATTCACATGATACAGGCACTTATTTCAATTAAATGATCATGATGATTGTTGAAAACTTCGGAGATGAACCTGTGAAACGGTCTTATCAGTGAGGACATAATAAATTAATTATGAAATTAAATTCATCCTTGCACACAAACACACCCCAAAAACCAATACACATCACATGATTGTCCCATTGAATTGAAATGAATAAAAAAAGAAAATCACAATGTATGACTTTGTTTGTCTAAGTTGATGAAACAGATATTCTTGTATATGTTGTGCTACCTTACATTCGTGGATTATTTGACTCATATTCGTTGTTAATGTACCATGGGCCTTGAACATGTCCAACAGTTTGTTTGAAAAAAATATAGAAAAAAGTTTGGATGAAAATCAAATACCGTATTCGACGTAATAAGCGCACGGGGCGCTCTCAAAATTAGAAATAGGGGACTCTTATTAGAATATTATTTTGGTGAAAAAGACAGAGTTGAAAGATAAATTTTGTGGTTTATGCTGCCAGCCTGAAATGTTTATATACGAGAGATACATTTTTCCAGAATTTAAATGCCCATAATTAAGGGTGCATATAACACACGAGTACGTATTATACGCGAATAAATAAGTGTTGTGTACATTGATCAATTGTAAGGGGTGCTAATTGGTATGGTTCACTAGCCAATATATTAGCAAATATCGCCGTGGGCGCTTATTACGTCGAATACGGTAGTTACTTTATTGTTGCTGAAATTCATATCTCAAAAGGGCACAGTTTCTACATTGAAGAGTATGTGAGATGAGGTGAAGTGGGGGATCAACTCAAGCAAGGGCAAATTCCAACCCCACAATCAGTGGATCCTGGCATGGCCAAGGGAGGCAACACAGGGAATTTCGGTGACAAAGACCACAAGTTCAACTATGCCCCTTCTGTTCAGGATTGACAACTTCTACAGACTAACCAACAGCACAACAATTGTACAACGTAAATGGGTGAAATTATAAACTAACCACATCTGGAAAAATGAATATGTGGTGTGGAAATAAATGATTTGAAACAAGTGCTGAAATTACTCACACACCACAGTCAGCTACCACTAACATAAGAGAAATACAGCCATAATGTCAATCTATCACTATATTCTTATAACTGCAAAATAAATATAACAGAAATACCGAGGAAATCCAAATAAACTGTAGGGTTTAGCTCCCTTGTAAGTCAGTGACAAATAGGGAATATTTTGACTATCATGACTATTGCAATAGTGACCCACACTATTGCAATAATTTTGTGATAGTGGTAAACCAACCTTATTTATAAGAATTGACCTCAAAATGCTTTTACGTTTATAGAGGCATAAACGTAAAAAATGGTTTGCACATTTTGTGTCATTTTGCAGATTTACACAGTATGCACACCATTTTTAGGTTTATACCTCCATAAACACAAAAAATATTGAAGTCAATTCTTATTTATAATCCTTTGGGATGCAACATTATGGTAGATGTGACACGCAATGAACACATTATGGTTACACTGATCACACATGAATGTGGTGAAATGCCAAAATTTCATGTCAAATATTGATACCTACTTTTCTTTGAACAAAACATGGTGTCATCGAAAGAAGAACCATACAAGTTCAGCTTTGGCAGACAATTTCAGATGTTTGCTGAGGCAAAAATGCATTTTGAGAGAACTGAGGTGGATGGTCAACGTGCAAAGGTCAAAACAAGACCAAACTTTAAGTGAACACGTGCTCCCTCTACCATTATATACTGTAAATCGTGAAATCGCTGAATACTGTACTTCCGCTAAAACAATACATGCGCGCTGGCTCGTGTCAGCCTTTGACGCATTCGCAAAGAACAGAGACACTGTGTTGCATGGATGGCGTCTGTCTGGACTTGCAGGTGTGATCAGTGATGACATAAGTGAGTAGAACTCGTCTTGATCTCAGCAGTGACAATTCACAGGATGTAATTAGTGTTTGAATGATATTGTTTATATACTTGTTACAAGCGCTGCTCAATAAACAGTGATGTGGAAAAACAGTTGTTTGTTTTCAGCGTATGTCTAAGTTTCTGCTATCCAAAATGTCTTATTGTTGATATAAATGCGATGTTTAATAATGCTAGCCAAGACCACTCGCATTTTGGGCATTTAATTCACGCTCGCGTTAATTTCAAGATTTACAGTATGTTATATATGGCTGAAAAAAGGCAGTAAATAGGCTTTGCAAAATGGATGTTTTGGTGGCCATTTTGAAAATCAGATTTGAACCTCTTGAACATATTCAGTTTTCGTCAATGATGGGTAAAAAGTATGTGATCTTAAATCCACTTTTAACAGTATTCCAGTTACTGGAATGTGGGAGGAAAACCCGAAGTGATGCAGGTCTCAGATGCTTACCACCTTGGCGAAACCCACGAGCAGGGGTATGGTGCTGACAAACCTAGAAACATGAGGGCGAACTGGGATTCGAACCCACAATCATGGGCTCATGTCATGCCCAAAGGAGGTAACAATGCACAGCAAATTGTGGAGCCTGTGACGACTGGGCCACCCATGCCCTCTAGCAACATGTTGTTCACATATGATGCCAATGACAAAAACGCAAGACACCGGACAAGGAAAGCATGACTTTCAGTCAGGTGAGCTAAATAAATCCCCAACCACCCAACATGTGCACACACACCATAACAAATGTAACAGAATAACAAATAGATGAAAATGTGAACAGAAAATATCAAACATATATCATAATAAATCATGAATATTGCCTACAGGACAGGAATAAAATCAAGGAAACAACAATGTGTAACTAATAGATGAAAAGTGAACACCTTGTAACAATTCTCCAACAGTGGAGGAGGAGTACAATGAAACACATGGAATATCTTGATTTGTTTGGTGAAAAACTCAAACTAAAAAATAATATCCACCGACAGCACATCTTACCTTCCACTAACAGGGCAAGAGAAACAGGTCAGACATTAGCTATTGTACATCAAATAACACACAGTGTGGATGGGAACTGCGACCAGTAACAAATCAAATAGCTCCCTTTACCATAGCAGGGTTATCATTGTCATGATTATTGTTAGTGTTGATTGATATTTTCCCTAAAATTTCACACTTATAGAACATAAAAAACATAATCTTACTTTTAATAAATATTTACAGTAGAACATTGATATAACGAACTACAAGGGACCGGAGAAATCAGTTTGTTATATATACGTTGTTCGATATATACGTTTTCGCTTGGAAACTTGCGCCATTTTGGCTAAAACAAAACACAATACACATACACGTAGCAAAGGTGATTTTCACTTATGGAACAATTTGAACAGTCACCGTAGGGACTTTTGTCTCATCACGATATGGCTGCAATATTGCTAAAAACTCACTCCTGCGCTTCATGTATTTCGATTGCTAAAATGTTGTGTTGACATTTAGTAGTCAAACTACAACAAATATGACTTTTAACGAGTCAAAGTATGGCATTTATGATATATGTATCCATTCTCTCGCAACTAAAGTTCGTTTCAAGGCGTCAATAGTGGTTAACTGACCGTGGTTGCTGTAAATAACGGTGAGTTGTGCGATCTCCAGATCACCTTACACACGATTTTGCCGAAATTAATGTAAACATTATTGAAAGTTTAACAAGGTTGTATTGTCACCGTGATTGTGTTGATTAGCCGCTGATTGCGTACAGCCAATTTTCAGAGACACTCGACGCTGAATGAGATTTCTCAGTCTGCTATAAACGTCACTAATTAGTGGTATTTGGGCTTGTCGGGGATCAAATATCAGTTCACTACATATGTAAGTTCGCTGTAGAGAGTCCGTTATGTACGTAAATTTTACATGATAATATGTAGGAGATGAATCAGGAATTTCTTAACAGTTCGTTGTATCCGGTTGTTCGCGCTATCCGTGTTCGTTATATCCGTGTTCTACTGTACTTTGAACAAATATTATGATAAACAATGAAAGACTATTTATTGAAAATACATCTTCATGATTTTTTTCATGTTCATATACTATTAAGCAAGTTGAGAAATTAAACTGATGGAACAGTTATAAATATCATGAATTTGTCATAAACATACTGATGGTAAAAAGTTAAGCAACATAGACAGAATTTAACCACACATTCCATAACATGTGTAATTTTCAAAATGAGGAGAATTTTCCAATCAATATCATCAATAACAGTGACTTCTGGCCAGAATATGAACTTTGTGTACTTATTAATATGAATTAAAGCACTGCAGGACATCTTAACTCATATAATTATGACATAAATGCTGAGAATGAACAGACATGCATTATGTGCATAGGCCACATATCGTTTTAAATCAATAGGATTAAGAACAAATGTCACAATATTAAGAACCATCTTTAATCTTCGGACCATTATTTGCAAGGTTTGAGGTTCTAGTTATCATCATAAGGTTCATGAGTTGATTCATCACTGTGCATCTAGGTTTTGTTTGTTTGTTTGTTGTTTAACACCGCACTCAGCAATATTCCAGCTATATGACGGCGGTCCGTAAATAATCGAGTCTGGACCAGACAAACCAGTGATTAATATCATGAGCATCAATCCACACAAATGGGATCGATGACATGCATCAACCAAGTCAGCGAGCCTGACCACCCGATCCTGTTAGTCGCCTTTTACGACAAGTATGGGTTGCTGAAGACCTATTCTAACCCGGAATCTTCACCGGTCGTGCATCTAGGTCATAATCCATAGTTCCCACTTAACAACTGTCACTAAGATAAACATGGTTGCTTAACTTTGGACCATCAGTATATATCTGATATCAGATGACTATGTCTGAATGTTGTGATGGAGTGATGTAATAAGATATTAAAGAGCAGGGTGATATACATGATATATTTAAGGGAGACAACTCACCTGGCATAATGACTTCAGGAAATCCCATCTTGCGTGCGATGGGAGTGTTAGCTCCGACTATATGAGGGAAGTCTTCTTGTACCTGTAATAATAATAATAATAATAATAATAATAATAATAATAATAATACCGTATTCAACGTAATAAGCACCCAGGGTGCTCTCAAAATTAGAAATAGGGGGCTCTTATTGGAATATTATTTTGGTGGAAAAAAAACAGAGTTCAAAGATAAATTTTGTGGTTTATGCTGACAGCCTGAAATGTTTATATACGAGAGATACATTTTCCCAGAATTTAATTGCCCATAATTAAGGGTGCATATAGCACACAAATGCGTATTATACGCGAATAAATGTGTTGTGTACATTGATCAATCGGAAGGGGTGCTAATATGTATTGTTCACTAGCCAGTATATATTAGCAAGAGTGGGGCGCTTATTACGCTTATTACGTCGAATACGGTAATAATAATTCTGTTTGTTGCGTGACACTCAGCAATATTCCAGCTATATTTGATGGCATCGAGCATCGATCTATGCAACTGGGATACAATGACATGCATCAACCAAGTCAGCAAGCCTCACCGACCGATCCGTAGTCTTATGACAAGCATAGGTTGGTGAAGATCAATTGCCGGTCAATGGATCAGTTTGCACTCAATTTTCATTCACAGCTCCCTCTGAAGTATACAACCCCAGCTGCCTGTGAAGTGCTAGAAAGCTGAGAGTCGTTACCATCTCATCCTACCGGGTACCCACTCACTGCTGAGTGAACAGAGTCATAGTTCAGACAAAGTCACCTGCTGAAGATGACACTACATGTCCTATATAGACTTTGGTGTGGGACCCGTGAGTTATCCAGGGTAGAATAGGTCTTCAGCAACCCATACTTGCTGTAAAAGGCGACTATGCTTGTTGTAAAAGGCGACTAACGGGATCGGGTGGTTAGGCTCGCTGACTTGGTTGATACATGTCATCGATCCAAATTGCGTGGATCGATGCTCATGATGCCAATCACTGGATTGTCTGGTCCAGACTCGATTATTTTCCGGACCGCCGTCATATAGCTGGATTATTGCTGAGTGCGGCGTTAAACAACAAACAAACAAACAAACAAATCTTTGGTGTGGGGCGGGAAGGAAGCACTAGAAACTCCCAGGAGTCAAGCTGGCACACAAGCTCACCAATTTAATTACACTCTGCAATAAACTTTGCTTAACTTCACTTGAATCGCGACCTGTCCGATGTAGGATTTATGGAGAATCTCGCACCCATGCCTTCTGATATCAAACACATCAACACAAGTCGATAAACAAAATAACTCCGTGGCTACTCTCAAGACACTGGCTATTACAGTCGGAAAGCCTCCAAGTTTTAAACTTTTGTTGACTGGTCCTCAGACCTGTGTTTAGCAGTAGAGAGCAGTAAGATCGGATTTTAATGAGATTGCATGAAGAACATCTTGTCAAGGCTTAAAGATTCAGCTCTGTATAAGGTGAGGTGAGGTGAAATGGGGTTTAACGTCGCGTCCAAGATTATTGCACTTATATAGCGACGTGCATGCACGTGTGTGTTTGTGGCTGCTTGTACTAGTCTGGACTGATGCCGATTTATAGTGCTAGCTCACTGAGATACCATGCCGCAGTTTAACATGAATACCCCACTCAGACACAGTATACTGACTCCGAGCCTACCAGTCCTTGTTTTAGCCCCTTAATGCCGAGCGCCAGACAGGGTAACAACAAGTACCTATTTTTAACGTCTTTTGGTATGACGCGGCCGGGAATCGAACCCCGGACATTCTGCTCTCCGGGCGGACGCTCTACCACTAGACCACGCAACACAACTGGGTGCCAGTGCCCCCTTAAATGGGGTGAATATGAGGGGTGTTCCCTGTAACGTTCTCTGCCCAACCACTGCTCTCAGCCGCACACACCCACCTGCTTTAGGTCCCCGGGGAGTATTTTGAGCGACACCCAGATCCCTTGTCCCTTGTGGTTGATGTCCTTAGCTGTGATGACTTTCTTGATAACATTCTCCATAAATTCTTTTTCTCCACATCTGAAAGGAATTTCAATTGGTGATATTGCTTTGTAATGTTACAGATTCAGTAGAGATAATTAAATGGAACTTAGTCACAAATGGTACAACTCATGGCTGAAATGGGATGAAGTGGAGCACAGATTGTACAAATTCTGCTGAAATGGGATGAAGTGATGCACAGATTGTACAACTCACTGCTGAAATGGGATGAAGTGATGCACAGATTGTACAACTCACTGCTGAAATGGGATGAAGTGATGCACAGATTGTACAACTCACTGCTGAAATGGGATGAAGTGATGCACAGATTGTACAACTCACTGCTGAAATGGGATGAAGTGATGCACAGATTGTACAAATTCTGCTGAAATGGGATGAAGTGATGCACAGATTGTACAACTTACTGCTGAAATGGGATGAAGTATTGTTGGTCCTCATTGCACTCTTTGTTTCCTTGAATATAGTCGGAGATTTCCATCGCTGAAAAAATAATCAATAAGATAGGACAATGACCATGATGACAGTAAAAAACTGTACAATCGAAACTAGATAACTGGAAAAATCTTATTTATAAGTAGATAATTTTGTTGAGTTCCAACTGTGGCCATCATTATTTTTATCATAACAAACTTAGCGAATAGAATTGTGTTAGTAGAAAGAAACGGTAATAAGGACACTTCCCTAGTCCCCATAGTCTATTCACGTTGGCGAAATCATCATTTAACAATGTTTAACAAGAAGATTGTTTTGCAGAAGACTTGGCCCATTGCGTGATGTTTAATGCCGCACACAGAAACATTTCCGCTAGGCCATGGTGGCCTGTTAATAACTGAGTCCCCACGGGGCACTTGGCCACTGTGTCCAGTGAAATATTAAGGAGAAGATAAGCCAGCAGACCTGCCACTCCAAATGGACGTCTGATTCCCTGAGTTTGTTTCTTGTTGTCAGCATCTTTTGAATCCATCACACCTGAAACAAAAAACTGCTTTAAGGCAAGATAATAAACTCATTATCAAAGTTAAGTTCAAGCCTCAAGGGATATGTCAAGGATATTCATTGAGTGACTCAAATAAGTGCCAGCAGACTTGCATCTTGTGTTTTGTTTACACACTGAGTTGTCTCCCCTTTCAAACACAAACACGGGCCAAGGATTGTGTTTGTTAGCCTCCCCAGTAAGTTAATGGACGCCAGTCTTACCTATTCTGATAATCTGGAACACCAGACACACCTTCTCCCTCATACGGTCTTTTGTTCCAAGATCCTAGAATGAAAAAAAATCATACTGATACAGCATCACTTCCATCAGGCCAATCCTATTATTATAAATGTGATATTTTTGGCTAGCGGTCAGCAGTCATATTAATTTGGAGATGCATTAATTTCAAGATTTACAGTATTTAGTGTTTACTGGCTCCATGCCCAGTTCGGGAGCTAGCTGTTGATTGGACATATACAATAAAACCTGCCGGTGGTGGAGACTACAAGTAGTAGGGGTGTCTGTTGCTGAAGCATGTAAGTTGTGTGCAAAAGTGACTCGAACAATGATTTTTGCTCTACAGTTGTGGTAAACTGTTTGGTCTTGTGGATAAAATGTTTGCCAGAGAATGGAAGGTCGGTGGTTCGATCTCCCCATCGCGTCATATCAAAAGACATTAAAAGGTGGTACTTGTTGGTACCCTGCCTGGCGCTGTCAAAAAGGACAGGTCAGCTCAGAGTCCATATTCTGTGAGTTAGTGGGGTAGTCATGTATACTGCGGCATGGTGTCATCGGCTAGCACCATACAGCCTGCAGTAGTCAAGGTTAACACAGACAGACAGACAAACATGTGCATGCATGTCGCTACATGGGTGCATTAATCTCAATGTTAAACCCCATTAAACTCTGGGCAGATGCTTCATCCACTAGACCATGGAGGCTGTCTTTCAGCCTCAGTATCATACGTGAGCAGTCCGAAGTGAGTGAGTGAATTGGTTTAACACCACTTTGCAGTGTCCGAAATAACTGCCTGCCTGCCCGCCCGCCCGTGGCTGGTAACTTTTCTGTGGGGCTGCATGAAATTTTCCTTCCCTGCCCGACTCTCTGGCAGATGATTTTAAGACTACTCATGTATTCAGCATGTTCAGTCTTATTATAATTCCTTGTAGATTCTCAAGTAATTGTTTGCATTATTTTAACTGAATAAAGACATGATTTGTCTCTTAGGTTTTGTGATTTTTCAATATTTATAATGCTTGAATACAGCAGGTAACACTTGGGTCACATGCCTGACTGTCTTGTTGGGTTTTTAAATTATTTTGAGCACTTGCCGCTTTGAACAGATTTTAGTTATATCATGTATATCACAGCATGGCGTGGTACGGAGGCCTAAAGTGATGCACAAATAAAACTTCAGTGAAAACTGAAATCCATAAGCATGGGTATGGTGCTGACAAACCTAGAATCATAATTAGGATGCACAGGGATTCAAACCCACAGTCACAGGTTTGTCTACTTGGCCACCTGTGGCCCTAACTCCCCAAGGAATGCAAATCATTTTCTGTATAAGGCACACATCTCAACTTACGGTGAAGACGACTCTGAAGTTGTTCAACATTTCGATATCCTTTGGCACACCCTCCTTACTCCATTTCACAAGATAGTTCTCACTGATGAATTTACCCTCTTTGGCATCGAACAGGTTCATCAAAATGTCAGCATCTTCACCAATTTTACACACAAAGTTCCTCAGCATAACGAACAGGTTGAACGTGAGGGGGAGGGACACTTGTTTACTGATCTCCTCACTGATCACAGCACTCTGAAAGGAAAGAACATCCAACATTTACATTTCGACAAGCTGCCGAAAATCAATGCCTGACTCGTTACATGAGATTGACGGGCTAAAAAAACAGTCCCCGCAGACAAGCTTGAAGTTTAGAAAACCCTCAGTCAATTTTGATAAAATATTTGTAACAATTACTAAATATTACTTTGAGTGTAGACATCTCGCGTAGGGTCAATCCAACCGATGACAGCGTATTGATTACTTTCTTGTTCCAATGTCAATCATGCTTTAAGACAAGCTCTCTGATTGGTTGATAAGAGGACCGTGTTGTCAACTGAGCAACATATTGTGAGAAGTCATGCTAGGTCACACCACGCAAATATGAAAACTGATTCAACCATGTCTAAACAAACTTTATCATGTTTATACAGGGTACAAACCCTATTAGCTTGACAACTTCCCATGACTTTTCCTGGGTAATATGTTTATATAATGACCTGTACGACCCGTATGACCAGTTTGTGGTGAAATCATGACATGCATGATCAGTTTGTGGTGATATCATGACCTGTATGACCAGTTTGTGGTGATATCATGACCCGTATGACCAGTTTGTGGTGATATCATGACCTGCATGATCAGTTTGTGGTGATATCATGACCTGTATGACCAGTTTGTGGTGATATCATGACCCGTATGACCAGTTTGTGGTGATATCATGACCCGTATGACCAGTTTGTGGTGATATCATGACCTGTATGACCAGTTTGTGGTGATATCATGACCTGTATGAACAGTTTGTGGTGATATCATGACCCGTATGAACAGTTTGTGGTGATATCATGACCCGTATGACCAGTTTGTGGTGATATCATGACCTGTATGACCAGTTTGTGGTGATATCATGACCCGTTTGACCAGTTTGTGGTGATATCATGACCTGTATGACCAGTTTGTGGTGATATCATGACCTGTATGAACAGTTTGTGGTGATATCATGACCCGTATGACCAGTTTGTGGTCATATCATGACCCGTATGAACAGTTTGTGGTGATATCATGACCCGTATGACCAGTTTGTGGTGATATCATGACCCGTATGACCAGTTTGTGGTGATATCATGACCTGTATGACCAGTTTGTGGTGATATCATGACCTGTATGACCAGTTTGTGGTGATATCATGACCTGTATGAACAGTTTGTGGTGATATCATGACCGGTATGACCAGTTTGTGGTGATATCATGACCCGTATGAACAGTTTGTGGTGATATCATGACCTGTATGACCAGTTTGTGGTGATATCATGACCCGTATGACCAGTTTGTGGTGAAATCATGACATGTATGATCAGTTTGTGGTGATATCATGACCTGTATGACCAGTTTGTGGTGATATCATGACCCGTATGAACAGTTTGTGGTGATATCATGACCCGTATGACCAGTTTGTGGTGATATCATGACCTGTATGACCAGTTTGTGGTGATATCATGACCCGTATGAACAGTTTGTGGTGATATCATGACCTGTATGACCAGTTTGTGGTGATATCATGACCTGTATGAACAGTTTGTGGTGATATCATGACCTGTAAGACCAGTTTGTGGTGATATCATGACCTGTATGAACAGTTTGTGGTGATATCATGACCCGTATGACCAGTTTGTGGTGATATCATGACCTGTATGAACAGTTTGTGGTGATATCATGACCTGTATGAACAGTTTGTGGTGATATCATGACCTGTATGAACAGTTTGTGGTGATATCATGACCTGTATGACCAGTTTGTGGTGATATCATGACCTGTATGAACAATTTGTGGTGATATCATGACCCGTATGACCAGTTTGTGGTGATATCATGACCCGTATGACCAGTTTGTGGTGATATCATGAACTGTATGATCCCTGGTTTGTGATGATATAACGACCCGTATAACGATCAGTTTGTGGTGAAATCATGACCCGTATGACCAGTTTGTGGTGATATCATGACATGTATGATCAGTTTGTGGTGATATCATGACCTGTATGACCAGTTTGTGGTGATATCATGACCCGTATGAACAGTTTGTGGTGATATCATGACCCGTATGACCAGTTTGTGGTGATATCATGACCTGTATGACCAGTTTGTGGTGATATCATGACCTGTATGAACAGTTTGTGGTGATATCATGACCTGTATGACCAGTTTGTGGTGATATCATGACCTGTATGAACAGTTTGTGGTGATATCATGACCTGTAAGACCAGTTTGTGGTGATATCATGACCTGTATGAACAGTTTGTGGTGATATCATGACCCGTATGACCAGTTTGTGGTGATATCATGACCTGTATGAACAGTTTGTGGTGATATCATGACCTGTATGAACAGTTTGTGGTGATATCATGACCCGTATGAACAGTTTGTGGTGATATCATGACCTGTATGACCAGTTTGTGGTGATATCATGACCTGTATGAACAATTTGTGGTGATATCATGACCCGTATGACCAGTTTGTGGTGATATCATGACCCGTATGACCAGTTTGTGGTGATATCATGAACTGTATGATCCCTGGTTTGTGATGATATAACGACCAGTATAACGATCAGTTTGTGGTGAAATCATGACCCGTATGATCAGTTTGTGGTGATAATATGACCCATGTCCTTGGTTTGTGATGATATAATGACCTGTATTACCTGTATGCCCCATGCCCCTGGTTTGTGGTGATTTCATGACCCATGTCCATGGTTTGTGGTGATATCATGACCTGTATGACCAGTTTGTGGTGATATCATGACCCATGTCCTTGGTTTGTGGTGATATCATGACCTGTATGACCTGTTTGTGGTGATATCATGACCTGTATGATCCCTGTTTGAGATGATATCATGACCTGTATGACCCGTTTGTGATGATATCATGACCCATGTCCTTGGTTTGTGGTGATATCATGACCTGTATGACCTGTTTGTGGTGATATCATGACCTGTATGATCCCTGTTTGAGATGATATCATGACCAGTATGACCGGTTTGTGATGATATCATGACCCATGTCCTTGGTTTGTGGTGATATCATGACCTGTATGACATGTTTGTGGTGATATCATGACCTGTATGACATGTTTGTGGTGTTATCATGACCTGTATGATCCCTGTTTGTTCAGATATGCAGTTCAGAACATTATTGTACTTACAGTTTGTCTTCGGATTCTTTCTGCTGCATTCACATGCTGTAAGACAACAAGACCAATGTAAAGCACTCACAAAGAACACTACATACGAACAAAAACTTTAATGAGCTTAAACACCGTTTTAAAACAGTATTTCAGTTGTGCTACAGTGAAGCAAGGTCTTTCGGCAAGGCCATACACAGCAATATTCCAGCTATATCACGGCTGTCTGTAAATAATCAAGTCTGGACCAGACAGTCCAGTGATTGACATCATGAGGATCGATCATCGCAATTGGGATAAGATGACATGCATCAACCAAGTCAGCGAGCCTGACCACCCGATCCCCTAAATCACCTCTTACGGCAAGCGTAGTAGCCTTTAATGGCAAGAATGGGTTGTTGAAGACCTATTTTACTCCGGATCTTCATTGGTCGAAGAAGACTAGTGAAACCCACAAAAACAGGTATGGTGCCGATCAGTGCAAATCATAAGATCATAAGATAATCAACGAACACTGTCACTTTCGACAACAGGAACAACATCATAGTCGAAACATCATAATGTTAAAATTGTGTGTTTTTTATCCATGTTGATAGACATAACATGGCCAAAGAAACAAGTATAAGTTTACATAACAAATGTATAATCATGCAGTGGACTATTTTAATGAAATAATTCCCCGCGACAATCCCCTCCTGTCACTCTGAGGCTAACATTTGGACCGAGATTTAAAGCAAGTCAGTATAAGACATGAGCTTGGCCCCAATACTTACACATCTGTAGACCTCTATAACACTGGTAGACTCCGGGTTGAGGATATTACACTGGTCGTCCCGCACCGTCATGTCTAACTTCAACAGACTGCAACAAACGGACAGGATGAAGAAAATTAGGGGTTGAGGATATTACACTGGTCGTCTTACACCACCATGTCTAACTGGTCTGAGGCAGGAGTCTAGTCAAATTCTGTTCAGTTTAGTAAACTCAATAAAAAAAAGTCCATATAATATTCCCTGTTTGTGGTGATATCATGAACTGTTTGATATCATGACCCACATGATCCGTTTGTGGTGATATCAGGAACTGTTTGATATCATGACCCGTATGAACCGTTTGTGGTGATATCATGAACTGTTTGATATCATGACCTGTATGACCTTATAACCTTGACCTTTAATCGTAGCGATGACCTGAGAACATTTTGGACCTTTATTTCACACTAAGCGACATTGACCTTCAAACTTCAAAATTTGAGCCAATAAATTTATCAGCCTCCCTTTCTAGCATAGGGATTTGTGGACCTGCTGTGCCCTGAGCCTCAATGGAGCATTCAGAGGCATTCTTAAGCATCATCAGTGAGTGAGTGAGTATTCCAGTTATATCACGGCATGTCAGCTTAATGTGGGAGGAAAGCCCAAAGTGATGCAGGTCTCAGACATTTACCACTTCGGTGAAACCCACGAGCACAGGTATGGTGCTGAGAAACCTAGAAACATAATCGGGGCGAACCGGGATTCGAACCCACAATCATAGGTTTCTGGCGTGCCCAAGGGACGCAACTCTGCACAGCGAATCGCGGCACCTTAGACAACTGGGCCACCTGTGCCCCCTTAAGCATCATCAAATAATAATGAAAACTGTAATAATGTAATCATGGTAACGCTATGTTTTCCAACGCTCATTTGACTCACTCGTTGCCAGCATCGATCCTTGAGGTAATCTCCTGCTGTAGCACCTTCAGCTCATCCTGAAATACAATCAGTGTCACATCACTCATGTGGATATTTCCCCTTCTCAATCTGTGGTGGGGAGGTGAAATTGGGTTTAATGCCGCGTTCAAGATTATAGCACTTATATAGCGATATGTGTGTGTGGGGGGCTTCTTGTACTAGTCCGGACTGATGCTGATTTATAGTGCTACCTCCCTGAGATACCATCCTGCAGATTCCCATGAATACGTGACATAGTCCTAGTATACTGACTCTGAGCAGACCAGTCCTTGTTTTAGCCCTTTAATGCCGAGTGCAGGGTAACAACACAAAACATCTTTTAACGTCTGTTTGTATTGACGAGGCCGGGGATTGAACCCCGGACCTTCTGATCTCAGACAGACGCTCTACCACTAGAGGAGGTCCTCAGTCTGTGGAACCCCAGCATGCTAAGAATAGGAAATGATCATAATAACTGGTTGAGCATTACTTGGTGTTCAAGATTTTGTCTCGTAACAAGGGCAGTAAGATACCAACAGCAGAATTGTTATTTCTAAATCAAAAGCTGGAAGTGTTTGGGAATTAATAGACATGACAGAAATGAAGAGTGAGTGAGTGAGGGAGGGAAGTTGTGTTTAACGCCGATTTTAACAGTATTCCAGTTATCACAGCTTGGTAGGACAGCCTGAAGTGATGCAGGTCTCAGATGTTTACAACTCTGGTTAAACCCACGAGCACTGGTATGGCGCTGAGACACAACAAGACAATACAAACAGAATCAGGGCAAACCAGGATTTGAACCCACAATCATAGGTCTCCAACATAACCAAGGGAGACAACCTCGCACAGAGAATTGCGGCACCTAGACGACTGGGCCATCCCTGCCCCAAGACATGAAAGAAAACTTCTCAATGTCACTAAATGTAACGCATGAAACATATCACTTCAGATATATTATTGAATGTAACCATGGTAACCACATCACTCACATTTGTAAGTTTTCGGGATAGGATTTTTCTCCTCCAGGAGATCAGTTCCAACATCATGTCTTTGATCTTGTCGAAGTCCTTCCTGCTCTTGTTCTGCAACACCATCACAGGGGGGAGATGAGGGGACCGATACTTTACAAGTGTTCGGCTGGTAAGTCGCCTTACAGAAGTATTTGAAATACCACTTGCTATAACCTATGCTTCGTGTTTATTTCATTAGAGATATGATATTATTTCAGTTATGAAATATTCCTGTCTCTATCATGCAAACATAAGTGAGGTGAAGTGATACATCGGTTCACCATGAGTTTTCATGCGCCAATACGATACACGATACATTTTTTCTGCATTGATACAAGATGATACACTTGCTAAAATACATTAGTGCTGCGACAAACATGTGTCTACAGCTAGCTGTTCCTTTAGAACCTGCTCTGAAATATTTATAGTCAAGACATTTCCATGTGATTTGACATAAATATGCATATCGCGATACATATTGTATCGTGACCTTTGTATCATGAACTTGCTGTATCGTTGCACATCTAGCATTTCTGTTATATTTCGTCACGTCAGCATCCATGGGGCATGAGTAAGGATGCCTACAGGGCTGATACTGATTGAGACCATTAATGATGCATTCAAAATGTCATACAGTTGTTTCCGAGAAATTGGCAGTACTGTGCACCATGTCTAAAAGTGAGTGAGTGAGTGAGTATGGTTTTACGCCGCTTTAAGCAATATTCCAGCAATATCGTAGCGGGGGACACCAGAAATGGGCTTCACACATTGTACCCATGTTGGGAATCGAACCCGGGTTTTCGGCGTGACGAGCGGATGCTTTAACCACTAGGCTACCCGACCCCCCCCCCCCCCCCCCCCCACATGTCTAAAAGGCCAAACAAGGGCCTTAACACTGTAAAACATTCATTTTCGATGATAATTTTCAAATTAGATCAACATAATTATGCAGCTCTAATGACGTATGCAAAATGGCATCCGTGTATCCATACTGGTTTCCTAGAAAATCTGTAACATTTGGGATACAGTGCACCAAGTCCAAAAACGCAAGGCAAGGGCCATAACTCTGTAAAATATTAGTTAATGATGAATTGTTTCGAACGTGATCAACATATATAGCTCTAATGATGTACGCAAAATATTATATGTGTATCCATACTGGTTTCTGAGAAAACTTGTCCAAATCATCGTCCTGTGCACTACGTACGAATGATCAAACAAGGACCATAACTCTGTAAAATCTGTTAAATATTAATTCCCAATGATGTGTGAATGCCATTGACATTTGACATTGAATACTGTTCTCATGCATCTTTAATCATTGAAAAATGTTCTGTATTATCATGAACCTGAATTAAACTTTAAGTTTTGACAATCTGGTTTCTAGTGAAATAATTTTTTGTTGTTTAACACTTCACTCAGCAATATTCCAGCTATGTGACAGCAGTCTGTATATCATCAAGTCTGACCAGACAATCCAGTGGTTGACACCATGAGCATCAATCCATGCATTTGGGATACGATGACATGCATCAACCAAGTCAATGAGAGTGACCACCCAAACCAATTAGTGTCCTCTTACGACAAGGTCTTCAGCAACCCATGCTTGCCGTAAAAGCATGTCGTACAAGGTGACTAACAGGATCGGGTGGTCAGGCTCGCTGACTTGGTTGATGCATTTCATCAATCCCAATTGGGTGGATCAATGCTCATGATGTCAATCACTGGATTGTCTAGGCCAGGCTTGATTATTTACAGACCACCGTCATATAGCTGAAATATTGCTGAGTGCGGGGATAATCAACAAACAAACAAACAAACAAATCTTACGACAAGCATTAGTTCCCGAAAACCTATTCTATCTAGTGACATTAAGTGAGTGAGTTGGGTTTAACGCTGTTATTAACATTATTCCAGTTATATCACGGCGTGTCAGCTTAATGTGGGAGGAAAGCCCAAAGTGATGCAGGTCTCAGACGTTTATCACTTCGGTGAAACCCACGAGCATGGGTATGGTGCTGACAAACCTAGAAACATAATAGGGGCGAACCGGGATTCGAACCCACAATCACAGGTTTCTGGCGTGCCCAAGGGACGCAACTCTGCACAGCGAATCGCGGCGCCTTAGACAACTGGGCCACCCGCGCCCCCAGGGACATTAAGCCTCATGGGAGGTCAGTGTGACATACCCAAGGTACCATGCATATTGAACTTAACTTTTGTCAAAATCGAATCACATGTACTTGGGAAACTGTACACAATCCTTTTTTGAAGTCTATTCCACACCAAGTGACAATGCCCTTCAAGCCTTGCGAATCATTCAGAAACACAATCCTGCAGACTTATCATCATGATCACAGTTGAGGTGAAACAAATATGAACTTAAATAAAACATTCCTGAAATTTGAGCCACGTTTTTTTATGTGACCTCTAGTGACATTGACCTTGCAGACATTTTCAGGTCTTGAGTAGTGGATGTGCAGGCACTAATCATTTGAAACCTCTGATTGATGTGCAGACACTTTACATTTGAAACCTCTGGCTAACAGTAACACTGTCTCTTAAAACTGAAATTCCCTGGGATCAAACACCCAATAACAGGAAGCAGATCAGAAAGCATGTAATGTTTATCTCCTACTGACCACGTAGAGCTGTTTCCATATGCCATGCCATTCCCTCAGCACCGTGGTCAGCTCATGTACAATCTGGGGCTCCACCGGTGTGATCATCTCGTTAGACCTGCATGTAACACACATCACATCATTCAACACAACATGTACAATCTGGGGCTACACATGATTATCTCGTTCGACCTGCATATAACACACATCACATCATAACATGTACAATCTGGGCTCCACCGGCGTGATCATCTCGTTCGACCTGCATATTACACACTCCACATCATTCATCAACACAACATGTACAATCTGGGACTCCATCGGTGTGATCATCTCATTCGACCTGCATATTACACACATCACATCATGTCAATAGTACCCACCCAGCCATGTCAACAGTACCAACCCAGTCATGTCAATAGTACCTACCCAACCATGTCAATAGTACCTACCCAACCATGTCAATAGTACCCACCCAGCCATGTCAATAGTACCCACCCAGCCATGTCAATAGTACCTACCCAGCCATGTCATAGTACCTACCCAGCCATGTCAATAGTACCTGACCATGCTGACCAGCCATGTCAATAGTACCCACCCAGCCATGTCAATAGTACCCACCCAGCCATGTCAATAGTACCCACCCAGCCATGCCAATAGTACCTACCCAGCCATGTCATAGTACCTACCCAGCCATGTCAATAGTACCTACCCAGCCATGTCAATAGTACCTACCCAGCCATGTCAATAGTACCTACCCAGCCATGTCATAGTACCTACCCAGCCATGTCAATAGTACCTACCCAGCCATGTCATAGTACCTACCCAGCCATGTCAATAGTACCTACCCAGCCATGTCAATAGTACCCACCCAACCATGTCAATAGTACCTACCCAACCATGTCAATAGTACCTACCCAGCCATGTCAATAGTAGCCTCCTTGACATGGACGAAGGACTTGGGGAACACACCCACCTCCGACCGGTCCCTGATGAGGAAGCCATGGTACCAATCTGTAACAGATGATCATATGTGGGTGATAATAATTTACCGTATTCGACATAATAAGCGTCCCGCCCTAATAAGCGCCAACAGCGATATTTGCTAATATATTGGCAAGTGAACAATCCCCATTAGCACCCCTTCCGATTGATCAATGTACACAAGACTTATGTATTTGTGTATAATACGCACTCGTGTGTTATATGCACCGTTAATTATGGGCAAGTAAATTCTGGAAAATAAATGTGTCGTATATAAACAGTTCAGGCTGTCAGCATAATCCACGAAATTTATTTTTCAACTCTGTTTTTTTCCACCAAAATAATATTCTTATAAGAGCCCCCTATTTCTAATTTTGAGAGCGCCCTGGGCGCTTATAACATCGAATACGGTAATAGTTCACATGATCAAAGTCTTCTAATTTGAATTATCTGAGAAATAACTTCACAAATATATATTCAGAATCTCACCCTTTGTGTCTTTTGATATGAAATATATCCACAATCGCTGAAAATTATTTTAAAAATCCTCAGTCTTTAACTTTTATCAAATCATGTTGGTAATTTTTTTGTCAATGAATCTCAAGTGAGATTTTCTGTATCGTAACATATATTTTCTGCCTGTTTAACCTACCATCTGATTCCTGCACGATATGGACTGTGTCCCCAATGTCCAATTTCAAGCGATGTGGCGTTTCATCTCTAAAGTTGCAAATTGCTGAAACAAGGAAACAATAATATATTCTATTTCCAATTGACTCATGAACAGGTGTCAGTAAGGAAACTGGCTATGATGACAAAGATGTATTATCCTAAAAAATGTCATCTTCAATCAACAAATGATGTAATGTTATAAACAATTTCTGTTCAGTCACAATGTTATAAGATGTATATTTATTATGTTTTCATATAGTAGAACTCATTGAAGGGGGCATCAATTACTTATCTTACATAATCAGTTGTAACAAATTCTTCCAACTAGGTAAAAGGAAAAAGAAATGGAAAAGGAAACATAATAAAAAGCGGGTTTTGTTTCGGAATACAAAGTTTGAAAAAGGGACATGGTCCTTCCTCTCTTAGATCATGATGACCTTAATCATGTTAATGAATTTTTTATCTGATAATATTGACTTCTAATCAAAATCACATTTGTTCTTAAAGAATCTTGGTTAAAAGTTAGCTGTGTGAAGCCAAAGTATAACATAATTTATAATAAACATGATTATATGTCTAATCTTGGTGACATGTGTCGCTAATTACTTCCTTAAATATCCATCAGTCAACAATAATGTGAACATTGAGATAGCGGAAAATAATGACACCACACTAATGTTTTGTATAAAAATGTCTGTCAGTTGATGTATAAAATATGATGTTATAATCAAATGATGTACCAATTTTGTCACACTGGCAGCCAAAGTAACCCTTATTTACACATCGATCTCTCAAAAGTAATGTATCCTTAGACGTATGTACATGTGCCAATTGAGGGAGTAGACACTCCCAAACTGTTCTAGTAGTCGTGTTAAATAATAATTAAGACACGGAACAGACAAAACATATAAAATGTCAACCATATAGATCATATTTCAGCCATTACATAAGTTGAAGTGTTCACTTCCGAGTAAATGTCAGATTTCATTTTTGTCACTTTTGAGATGGGCAGGTTCGCTTTCAAAATGATGGTGCATGCACAATTCAGAGGCAAATTTAAATCCTCACCAACGCCGAATTTTGACCTGCTATCGCTCATTCGCCAGATCGTCATTTTTAGATAAATGCACGATCGTTCAGACGGTGACTAACACATCTTCATCCTGCTTCTATCCCGTTCATTTACCAACAGCAGCCATTCCCTGTCACGTGACCCAGTTTATTTCCGGGTTTAGCGTGCGCAGAAAATCGATTTCCTCAAAATGCGCACGCATTGATCGTCATGGTGATGTCAACATCATGGCGGCAGCTCGAAATCATTTGTGAGATGCATTCTGCCCAAACTTTCACTCGCACGACAGCTATTTTATGATTGGAACAAACAAGTAAGTATAATTGATCGAGACATATTTCTATTTTATGTCAAAGTACAACAGTACGCTCAATTTTCTTTTTTACATCTTTCAATAAAAATGTCAATATTTGATTGTACAGGCCTAGGCTATATAGTTTTTTGAAGGTTTAGCATTTATGTTATTTATAATTTTCTGTTCGTAATGGTCTTTTTTGGTTGGTTGTGATAGGTCATATATTATGATACACACAGCCACGTAATTTAACACAACTGTGTAGATACCGTTACGTTTTCTTAGTATACCATATAGCCTACATAAGCTGGATCAATTTGACATGTGAGAGCATTTTTGACAGGTGCTCGACCGGCAATGGATACATGTATGTTAACGTTGTCCAGCTGGACATGTAGGGCCTATATGATACTCAACCCTCCCTATCGAAGTTCAGTAAGTCTTGGTTCATAATAAGATCAACCAGCCTGCATCCACCTCCAAGTGATAACTGTAGGTCAGGTTATAGAACATGATTCTCATAATTGTTACTTTATAATCTACATTTGTACCATAATATCCTTGTAAAGGCTAACCATATTCTATAGTATAGGGAAATATGATGCTAAAACTAATCACTGGTTCTGTTGTCATCACTATATTATCAATTATCGTCATCTCACCTGTATACCGTATTCGACCCAATAAGCGCCCATGTCCCAATAAGCGCCCCCGGTTCCGGAAATTTATATAGTAATTATTTCTTTTTTAAATGAAAATTGTCCGGGAACCGAGGTTTTCCGGATATTTGAAGTCGGTATAAGCGGGGCATGACTGCATTCTGTTTATTTTAGATATTTGTGACTTACCAATATTTTGGAAAAAAAGAAATTTGAATATTATGCGCAGAAAAAAATTACACCGTACCCCTTCAGCAAAGTCAGGCAAACGAACGGGTGATGAGAAACTTTGTCAGTACAAATTCGAAATTTGAGATAAAAAATCACCAGACATGTTGATTTACCGTTTAAACTGTATTTTTTTTTTCAGCTAGGCATTGTTTTATATCCAGGGATTAAGATTACCTTGTGTATTTTCTCGTAAACTAAGCCGGACACAGCAAACAGCTGTCCACACGTTTTCTTGGAATCTACCAATGATTCGGTCAAGACACACCCAATGATATAACTTCACAGGATTTTAATGCAAGGATTGGCAAAAGTTGTATCTGAAACTATTTTTGTATCAGGAATAATATATTCCAATATCTTGTTGATTTAGATGCAGCTTTTACTAAACATATTTAAAATAATAATAACCCTAAGCGAAGCAGCTGATCGCTATTGCCGGGTATTATTTTTTACATGGAACCAGTCTGACCAGTCACCGTCAAGGCTCCCGTGCACGTGATCGCGAGAATTACGTGTTGACATAGAATCATCCAACAAAAACAAATGACTTTTAACTAATCAAATTATGGCATTTATGATATATGTATCCATTCTCTGTCAACTAAAGTTCGTTTCAAGGCGTCAATAGCGGTAATCTGACCGTGGTTGCTGTTAATAACGGTGAGTTGTGCGATCTTCCGATCGCTTCACACACGATTTCGCCAACATTAATAAAAACAATATTAAAAGGAATTTTGAATAAAACTAATGAAATAAGTTACAAACATAAGTCCAGATATACAAAGAACACTTTTTATAGCCAGACAGTGTAATTACATGAATAATATGCGAACTTCAGTATGGATTTGTTGACATGGTATATCCGGTGTTACCTGCTCACAGTAATGTCATTCCATGGGGGGGAAAAAACATCAAAACTCATTAATTCGTGTATAATGCGCACCCCCTTCTGCACAGCTGTGTTTTTTGGAAAAAAAGTGCGCATTATACTCAAGAAAATACGGTAAGGTTTACTGATGAATTTACGCCAATTTGACTCTGAATTGGTCCCAATAAGCGCCCACCCCTTCTGTCTTTATGTTTAGCACCCTGGGCGCTTATTGGGTCGAATACGGTATGTTTATTATAATCACTGTACAATTGCATGATGTCAATCACTGGATTGTCTGGTCCAGACTCGATAATTTACAGACAGCCATCATATAGCTGGAATATTGCTGAGTGCAGCATTAAACAACAAAGAAAGAAACAAACAAGACAGTGATGTTTATTTGCACTGATATGCAAACATAAATGAAGATATGGAAGAGAATTTATGACTGTCAACTTCTTTATTATGAGAAACACAATGTTTCAGAGTATATGCTTACTTCTTCATCAGGTGAATGAATGATATGAGGCAGAGAGCATATATATGTACATGTAAGAACAATAAAAGTAATAAGATAACAAAAGGTGGAAACTTAACAAGGGAAGTGGCCAATTGGCGCTGATAGGCGATTAGCAATAGACAATGAAAGCCAACACTTAACAGTAATTAGTGCTGATAGTATGGACAACTGGAAGCCAGGACTAAATTATCACTGATAGGTAAATGGCATGGACAATGGGCAAACCGGAGGCCGGGGGTAATTAGCACTGATAGGTAAATGGCATGGACAATGGGCAAACCGGAGGCCGGGGGTAATTAGCACTGATAGGTAAATGGCATGGACAATGGGCAAACCGGAGGCCGGGGATAATTAGCACTGATAGGTAAAGGAATAGCAATGGGCAAACCGGAGGCCGGGGGTAATTAGCACTGATAGGTAAAGGAATAGCAATGGGCAAACCGGAGGCCGGGGGTAATTAGCACTGATAGGTAAAGGAATAGCAATGGGCAAACCGGAGGCCGGGGGTAATTAGCACTGACAGGTAAAGGAATAGCAATGGGCAAACCGGAGGCCGGGGGTAATTAGCACTGATAGGTAAATGGCATGGACAATGGGCAAACCGGAGGCCGGGGGTAATTAGCACTGACAGGTAAAGGAATAGCAATGGGCAAACCGGAGGCCGGGGGTAATTAGCACTGACAGGTAAAGGAATAGCAATGGGCAAACCGGAGGCCGGGGGTAATTAGCACTGATAGGTAAAGGAATAGCAATGGGCAAACCGGAGGCCGGGGGTAATTAGCACTGATAGGTAAAGGAATAGCAATGGGCAAACCGGAGGCCGGGGGTAATTAGCACTGACAGGTAAAGGAATAGCAATGGGCAAACCGGAGGCCGGGGGTAATTAGCACTGATAGGTAAATGGCATGGACAATGGGCAAACCGGAGGCCGGGGGTAATTAGCACTGACAGGTAAAGGAATAGCAATGGGCAAACCGGAGGCCGGGGGTAATTAGCACTGACAGGTAAAGGAATAGCAATGGGCAAACCGGAGGCCGGGGGTAATTAGCACTGATAGGTAAAGGAATAGCAATGGGCAAACCGGAGGCCGGGGGTAATTAGCACTGATAGGTAAAGGAATAGCAATGGGCAAACCGGAGGCCGGGGGTAATTAGCACTGATAGGTAAAGGAATAGCAATGGGCAAACCGGAGGCCGGGGGTAATTAGCACTGATAGGTAAAGGAATAGCAATGGGCAAACCGGAGGCCGGGGGTAATTAGCACTGATAGGTAAAGGAATAGCAATGGGCAAACCGGAGGCCGGGGGTAATTAGCACTGACAGGTAAAGGAATAGCAATGGGCAAACCGGAGGCCGGGGGTAATTAGCACTGATAGGTAAAGGAATAGCAATGGGCAAACCGGAGGCCGGGGGTAATTAGCACTGATAGGTAAAGGAATAGCAATGGGCAAACCGGAGGCCGGGGGTAATTAGCACTGATAGGTAAAGGAATAGCAATGGGCAAACCGGAGGCCGGGGGTAATTAGCACTGATAGGTAAAGGAATAGCAATGGGCAAACCGGAGGCCGGGGGTAATTAGCACTGATAGGTAAAGGAATAGCAATGGGCAAACCGGAGGCCGGGGGTAATTAGCACTGATAGGTAAAGGAATAGCAATGGGCAAACCGGAGGCCGGGGGTAATTAGCACTGACAGGTAAAGGAATAGCAATGGGCAAACCGGAGGCCGGGGGTAATTAGCACTGATAGGTAAAGGAATAGCAATGGGCAAACCGGAGGCCGGGGGTAATTAGCACTGATAGGTAAAGGAATAGCAATGGGCAAACCGGAGGCCGGGGGTAATTAGCACTGACAGGTAAAGGAATAGCAATGGGCAAACCGGAGGCCGGGGGTAATTAGCACTGATAGGTAAAGGAATAGCAATGGGCAAACCGGAGGCCGGGGGTAATTAGCACTGACAGGTAAAGGAATAGCAATGGGCAAACCGGAGGCCGGGGGTAATTAGCACTGATAGGTAAAGGAATAGCAATGGGCAAACCGGAGGCCGGGGGTAATTAGCACTGACAGGTAAAGGAATAGCAATGGGCAAACCGGAGGCCGGGGGTAATTAGCACTGATAGGTAAAGGAATAGCAATGGGCAAACCGGAGGCCGGGGGTAATTAGCACTGACAGGTAAAGGAATAGCAATGGGCAAATGATGAAGGAGTAAGTGCATACACTAAACGTTGTGTTCCTCATAAAGAAGTTGACATCCATAAATTTTCTTCCTTATGTGTATCACTTCTAAATGCCTTTCAAAGACTTGATAAATGAAGATGATGGCAATTCTAGTATAAGATATAACATGCTATCAAAATACCATGAAAATAGGGTTCCCATGAAAACAGGTGAATGGACAGTATGTCAGATTTGCTTTTAAACATATAAATTTACGAATTAACCTATTTCACTTCATAATCAGTTCTGAAGTCAGGGTTGAAAGTTATATGTCATTTAATGTCCAATTCTGTTGTCATTTTGTTTTTGTTTCATAGTTTTAAAACCCACACAATGTAGTAGTTTTTGCTGTATGCTGGTAATGACTAATATACATGCGTGTGCAGCAAACATGTGCATGGTCATATGATTGTTGCTGTAGTGGTCTTGTTTCAAACTGGTAACTGATCGTCGAAAATATCTTTTTGCCATAGCTTGTTAGGTGATGACAATATATTAGTGATGCGTGTGAAAGTCAAAGAACCACCACAAACACAGACAAACATGGAATACCAAACAGCCAAGCAGCTTCACCATTGTTTTGCGTAACAGTCTCAAAACACGCATAAGACATTAAGATTAACACAAAGTATGAAGGCTGTAGCCATTAAGTAGGGCAAGTAAAATATAATGAGGGCTTGCAACATTTTTCGACAAGCCCTCCTGGCCAGTGAACTTTGGCAACTAATTCCTACACTGCATGGGGAAATTATCAGTCCCAAAAGAATTTGAACTTGCATCTTTGGTAGCTTTGAACATGACATGATTTTTTGAACATGTATACTTTTCTTCTTTTAGATTTCTTTTCATGGTGGAAGATCATTAACACCTTCAAGATGTCTCGTGCACAGGCAGAGAGTGTCATTAAGAACATCATCCGGGAAATAGCACAAGAATGTGCCAGCAAGGGACAGGCAGTCTCAGAAACACTTGTTGCTTTTATGGTAAGAGTTTACAAGAAGATTGATTTTATCTTTTTCTGTGCATTATTAATGTACAATTTTATATCAAATTTATATCAAATAGGAAGAAGGCTTCATAATCTAGTACTTGTATACCAGGTAGTCTCTGCCATGCCATCCTCAGTAATCAAGGGTATTTATTTCCATTCTATTATGCTATATACCCTGGACCCAATCGCCACCAAACCTCCTTTGCAGAAGTGTTGTCACCATCTTCATCTCTCTTATCACTGGACCGCCTCCCTGGTCTCATTGGTAGAGCATCTTGGGGGTTTGATCCCTGTCCTCGTCATAACCAAAAGACGTTAAAAGATGGTACTTGTTGTTACCCTGCCAGTGCTTGGCATTATGGGGATAAAACAAGGACTGGTCGGCTCGGAGTCAGTATACTGTGTCTGAGTGGGGTATTCATGTTAAACTGCAGGATGGTATCTATGGTAAACTGTGGGATAGCACTATAAAATCGGCATTAGTCCGGACTAGTACAAGCAGCCACATACACATGCATGCATACATAATCTTATTAAATCATTTATTTAATCATTAAATCCTATTTCACCTCAACTGTTATCACTGTCTCAGTACAGAATTACTTTCCCTCACTTGAGATGAACAGCCAATCTGAAGACTTTTTTTAATCCAAGTTCTGCATAGATCTACATTCAAAATCATGTCCTCATCTGAACGAGTCCTTTAACTATAGCCGGACTATTGATGAGTGCAGCATTAAACCAAAAAAAACCCCCAAACAACAAAGTTTTTTAATCTCATTAAAATCAGACCTTAGTTCTCGCTACAGCTAAACAAAGATCTGATGACATCCCATTAGGGGTCATGTCAGAACGACCTATCATCCAACCAATCAGAGCGTCGCTTACCAGATTATGAAAGTGACAGTCGGAATGTGATGTCTCATCATGCATCGTCGAAAACCTTAACACGGGGTATTCCAAACAATAGTTTCGGGTTTAACGACTGAATCCATACAATCTAGACCATCTATTAGCCATACCAGAATGTTCTTTTGTTCAGGTTTCAAATTTGTAATCGAGAATTTGTCAAAATATGTTTCAAAGCGTAGTTGCCAATTTGAAATTAGTGCCGTAACGCACGAGAAAGCTGCCTACTGATTGGTCATTCCATTGGTCGGTCAAAATTCGCACAAGGTCGGTCTGACGTGACCCGTAATGGGATGTCCTCAGATCTTTGTTTAGCGGTAGCGAGAACTAAGATCTGATTTTAATCAGTTTGCCAAGTTTTATGATTGCCTCCTCAGTGATTGTTTTAGAGTTACTGACAAATTTGGAACAAATCTGGTATCATACATATCAATTGTTGAATTTATAATATTTCAGGTGAAAGCAGTCGTATTGGATCCTGCAAATGAGTTCAACGTTGATCGGACGCTGACTAAAGAAGATGTTCAGAAACTCATCAAGGTAAATTAATAAACAATGAAGCAGCACCACCACCACTTATGCAAAATCTTATATAAACCTCAATTTTAAAATTAACACACATTCCTTTGGTTTGGGATCACATTTCAGTTAAGCCCCATCTGGATGATAATATTTGCAAGATTGTTTACTTGCTGAAACTGACTTCTTAATCTGATCAGTGAGGTGTCTGTGTTTGGAGACATTAAATGGGAATCCGTTTGCTGGAATAACATAGTTTTCATCCTCAGTCTAGACAACCAAGGGTACACTTGCAGTATACCGGATACTTGTCGGCCTTGTTTGTTTGATGCTTCTTCATGAGGCAGCATTTGACAGCAGGCACAATTGTAAAGTTGTAAAAACAGTGTTCAAAATTAGGCATCAAGGGGCCCTTGTCAGAACCCTAATGTTGAATATTTGAAATGGATTGGGTTGGGAACACACACACACCCCAACCCCACCATACACGTGCTCGTTGGTTTCACCAAACTGGTAAACGTCTGAGACCTGCATCACTTCAGGCTTTCCTCCCACATTAAGCTGATAAGTTGTGATATAACTGGAATACTGTTCAAAGCTGCGTAACCCGACTCACTCACTCACTCACTCACTCACTCACTCACTCACTCACTGGTGAGTCGGTCAAAGTTCGCGAAAGGTCGTCTAGGCATGTGATTAATCCTGTTTTGTTTTTTTAAAGCAGTATTTGTTTATTGTTAAGCAAGTTTATCTCTGCAGCCGTTGAAATATGCACCTACTCGCCCACTCGTCTCGCATCAAAACACAGGGCTGTGTACTCGCGGGCAGATGACCACGGAGTACGCTGATCACTGTGTCGGATTAATGAGACTGATTAATGAGTGATTTCAGCAATTCGTTGCAAATTAGGTGTGTCGGAGTCGGAGTGCGAGACTGTCAGATTAACGGGTCTAAATAGCACTGATTAAATCGGTTCCCATCATTTGTGTCGGCTATAGCCAATTGTCTGATAAACGAGTGTCGTATTAATGCGACTTGACTGTATGTGTTCACTGATGGACTCACAGCTGATCAGGTGTCTTGAATGTTTCAGTTATGTGTTGACTGTTTGATGGACTCCAGGTCCCCGTCCCTGGACACAGTGAAGATGCAGGTGTACTTTGACATGAACTACACAACGAGATGTAAGTGAATCCCATTTTATAATCCTATGTCTGTCAGTCCATCACTGCCTCTATGGTGTAGTGGATGGAGCATCTGCCTGGAGAGCAATAGGCCGGTGGTTCAATCCCCAGCCACGTCATACCAACAGGTGTTAAAAGATGGTACTTGTTATCTCACCTTGCGCTGAGCATTAAGGGGCTAAAACAAGGACTGGTTGGCTTGGAGTCAGTACACTGTGGCTAAGTGGGATATTCATGTACTGCGGCATGGTATCTCAGTGGGCTGGCACTATAAAACTGGCATCATTCTGGACTAGTTCAAACAGCCACACACATGTTGCTTTATAAGTACAATAATCTTGAGTACAATGTTAAACCCTCTGGTTTCACCACACCACATCTCTGTCTGGACCACAAGACTCCAGAATGAGGCTTTTCACAAGAGTTGGTTGGTTGGTTGGTTGGTTGGTTGGTTGGTTTCATTGTTTTACGCCGCACTCAGCAATATTCCAGCTATATGACGGCGGTCTGTAAATAATCGAGTCTGGACCAGACAATCCAGTGACTGATGTCATGAGCATCGGTCCACGCAATTGGGATCGATGACATGTATCAACCAAGTCAGCGAGCCTGACCACCCGATCCTGTTAGATGCCTTTTACGACAAGCACAGTTGCCTTTTGTGGCAAGCATAGGTTGCTTTCATTCATGCTTGATATTACTTCTATTTTTGTTTTGAGAACTGATGTATTATACCTTTACCACCTTAAAATGTCATTGTGCTTTGTGTACAAGAAAAATTTGCAACATTTGTTCCAGTCTACCATATTCAATAACCGCCCAGTGCACTCTCAAAATTGGAAATAGGGGGCTCATATTAGAATATTATTTTGGTGAAAGATTAAAAATTTCATTGTTTAGACTGACAGCCTGAAATGATAGAAAAGAAAAGTCTGTGCGTATTAATTGCCCGTAATTAAGGGTGCATATAACACACTAGTGCGTATCATACACGAATAAATAAGTCTTGTGTACATTGATCAATCAGAAGGGGTGGTAATTGGGCACAAAAGCACAAGTGGGCGCATATTAGACAGGGCGCTTATTATGTCGAATACGGTAGTTCTTATAGAAGAAGTTCTCTGTTGAGATTCTGGGTTACAACTGGTCCCATGCAAGCTATAATAGACGGGGTGGTCATACTCAGTCACTGACTTGGTGAAATGTGTGTCTTCATACCCTGCCAGTGTGGGTCTTTTCTTATATCAATCACTGGATTGTCTGGTCCAGACTCGATTACTTACAGGCCAGTGTCATATAGCTGAAGTATTGCCAAGTGTGTTACGATTATATTGTATAACACCAACAAAAGTTCAGTTTGTGTATTGTCTCTTCCACTGTCTGAGGCCAGGGGCTCGGGTTGCTGGATTCTCTGCAGAGTTGCGTTCCTTAGGCGTGCCAGGAAGCTATGATTATGGGTTCGAATCCCGATTAGCCTGACTATGTTTCTAAGTTCATCAGCATCATAATCATGCTCATGGGTTTCCCAAAGTGGGAAATGTCTGAGACCTTCATCACTTTAAGCTTTCCCCCCACATGACACAAGAGCGGTCGGATAGCCGAGTGGTTAATGCGACCTGTGTTAGACCTGTGTTCGATTCCCAACATTGGTACCATGTGTGAAGCACATTTCTAGTGTCCCCTGCCGTGATATTGCTGGAATATTGCTAAAAGCAGCCTAAAACTGTACTCACTCCCACATGAAACACTGTGATATCACAAACTAATTGTAGTGCGTTTAAAACATAGTTTGTTATAAGCATTTCAAATGAATTTCCTGTCATCGTCGCATTTGAAGACAGAATTTATCCACTTCAAAGGCTATAGCCAATTCACTATTTTCCATTGTAATTTGAGGGTGTTAATTGGGGTCAAGATGTCAGTACTTAATCCAGTTTATCACTTGCCTTCAATTTCTTGCCGTTTTGGAGAGACGCGCATGGCCCTGTTTTCATTTGTGACACATGAGCAGCTCAGAGATTAACAGCTCGTTATGAACAAAAGCATTGTGGGACCACAAAATGAGTTCGCTATATCTGTGATTTCGTTCTAAGTGTGTTCGTTCGATCCATTAGTTTTATATGATAAAGTATACAGCCAATGGCTGGGACCCACGAAAAAGTGCATTATATCCTTCAGTTCGTTATAAACATTGTATACTGTATTGTTCACAATGGCATTGAACCCAACTCACTCACTTACTCCAGGGGCGGTCGGGTAGCCTAGTGGTTAAAGCGTTCGCTTGTCACGCCGAAGACCCGGGTTCGATTCCCGACATGGGTACAATGTGTGAAGCCCATTTCTGGTGTCCCCCCGCCGTGATATTGCTGGAATATTGCTAAAAGCGTCGTAAAACCATACTCACTCACTCACTCACACTTACTCCACCAGCGGACTTCCTGGAGGAACATCGTCGTGTCCTGGAGTCTCGCCTGCAGCCAGTCATCCGGGAAATCACGGACAGTCGGGCCCGGACTCGCGAGGAACTGGAGAGTCTGTACCGGAAGATTGTCTCCGCGGTTCTCCTCCGATCTGGTCTGGGGAGTCCAACCGACATCGCAGTCGTCAGAGAGGCCACAGGTAGGTGTCTGTTTTATTATTATGGGTCAACAGATCGAGTGTAGTTTCTTTCCACATTGGCACCTGTATATCTGAGTGATTCTCAATGCTGTTTGATCAGTTAAAGCGACACTATAAAGAACGATTTGAGATGATGTCATCCATTGTTTGTGATGTCAGAAATTGTTAACATTACATCATTTGAACAATAGGTTGAATAACAATAATAATAACAAAGTGAGTAACTCAGAATTATTGATTATCTGTCTCTTGTTCATGTTATCCATCACTGGTTTGTCTGGTCCAGAATTGATTGTTTAAAGGTCGCTGTGATTTGCTGAAATAATAGGAGCTATCTGCAGTGTTAAGCCACAGTCATTTATTATTTAATGTGATAATGAAAATACTAGATTGATAACATATTGATGATGAATATGGTTGTGGTATTATTACATCTATCGATATTTGATACTTACTATCTATCAATGTATTGCTATCAAATATAATCGATTATTACAGTCTGTGCCAAAATCTTTTGAGTCTACTCGCCCACACACATGAGATTTTAGTATTATCACAGGAGCTTACTTGACCAAACAGAATTTTGCTAGACTGGTTTCGAACTATCGGCTAAAGTTGCAGACCGTCATTAATTGAAACACTGTACACATACGTCACCTCTGTGGTCAAGTGGATAGAGCGTCTGCCTGGAGAACAGAAGGTCTTAGGGGTTCAATCCCCGGCTGCGTCATACCAAAAGACATTAAAAGATGGTACTTGTTGTTAACCTGCCTTGCGCTTGGCATTAAGGGGCTAAAACAAGGACAGGTCGGCTCAGAGTCAGCATACTGTGTCTGAGTGGGGTATCCATGTTACACTGCAGCATGGTATCTCAGTGAGCTAGCACTATGAAATTGGCAGTAATCCGGACAAGTATAAGCAGCCACACACACACACACACACACATATACATGTAAGTAGCTGTATAAGTGCACATATAAATTCGACTGGCTGAGGCTCTGTAAGTGTGACTTGTTATTACAGCTGCCCTCCAGAGTGTTTTCCCTCAGACTGAGCTGGGCACATTCATGTCACTGACAAAGAGAGACAAGGAAAGACAACTCCTGGAGCTGACGATGATCGTGACTGGAATCCGACTGTTTAACAAGGAGTGCGGGAAGGGTGGTGAAGGCATTGATGACTGTGAGTAACCTTGACATTGACCAAAAATTAATAATGTGGTGCTTGATGTGAGCATTTTCCAAACAAGGTACATTTTTTGGGAAAATATATCCATATGGTATATGTTCAAATTACAATTATACTGTTATTCTGTTTCACATTTTATTATTCATTACAGTCAGAGATTGTATTATGTTCTTTTTAATATTTCTTTCTAGGTTATGTGTACATATTATGTGTGTATTTTGCCCCTAGCCCATATCATCTTCCCGAGGCAAGAGAGTTAACTGACTATAAAAGTCCAGTTTCCACCCTTGCCGAACTAGGCTGGTATTATGGAGGTACATTTTGGCTGGACTAACAAGTCTACTCATAGTGCAATCAAAATCATGCACCGAAATCGAAATCTGTCGTGCAGATTTCGATCGATTGCAGGATTTGCAAAGCACATGCACCGCCAACTCGTTGTCAGCAGATATTTTCCAAATCTTTTCATGTTTATAATCAAGGTGTTCACGTGATTTGATGCATTTCGTGATGTAAGAGCCGTTTTATCACAATATAGATCTTGATTATCGATCGCATCATCTTGACTGGGCGCCACCATTTTGTTTAAAGCAAACGCAATGATACGAGAGGTAGAATCTGAATGGTCCATAGGAGAGGCTTAGAAGGGACATAACTGGTAATAGCCACTGCTGGTGCTACGATGGAGCCCAGTAACTCCAGCCTAGGTCGGCAGGTGTGGAAACTGGATCGTTAAAACTGTTAAAGTCAGTTAACTCTCTTGCGTCGGGAAGATGATTACGAGGCCAGTCTTCATGCAATAGCGTGACTCAGTAAATATTTCGGTCACAGTGATCTAAATACTGTCCTGTTTTCAGTGCCGGCTATCCTGAATGAAGCTGTCCCTGCCACGACTCAGAGTGTGGACACCGAGATTCAGGGGACACTCAAATGTGCCTATGAGTACACAGGTAGGAACATGCTCCAAGTGAGTGAGTGAGTGAGTGAGTGAGTGAGTATGGTTTTATGCCGCTTTTAGCAATATTCCTGCAATAACTCGGCGGGGGACACCACAAATGGGCTTCACACACTGTATCCATGTAGGGAATCGAACCCAGGCCTTCGGCATGACAAGAGAATGCTTTAACCACTAGGCTAACCCACCGCCCCAAACATTCTCAGAACGTTATATGTCAAGCATCTTTCGGGGTTCTGGTTAGAATGGGTGCCCAGCAAGCTATGTATGTCATACAAAGCAACTTAATGGCTTAGACACAAAACTGCTTGTTGTCAATTCTCCAAAAATTATATGTTGCTATAAGTTTTTGTTTTGTTTATTGTTCTTTTTTCTTTAATATTATCATTTTCCTGATTGAAAGAAATAAGGGAACAGATGTAGCATGGCACCCTGATGTTCATAAGTGTTTGAACAACACGTTTTGACGTTCCTGAGACTGTATTCTTGAAATATGTAAACACTGACAGACTTTTTCCACACTCCTGGAAATATACCGTATCCAGAAGTGTTGTCTCTGATCATTCAGAAAGTTTAATCTTGAAGTCAGTGTATTTGTATTCCACTCAATCTGTAAGCATGACATTCATACAAGCTAATACAATGTTTGGCCCTCACTTTATTAAGGACCGCCTCCGTGGTCTAGTGGTAGAACGTCCGCCCGGGGAGCGGAAGGTCCGGGGTTCCATCCCTGGCCACGCCATACCAAAAGACGTTTAAAGATGGTACTTGTTGTTACCCTGTCTGGCGCTCAGCATTAAGGGGCTAAAACAAGGACGGCTCGGAGTCAGTATACTGTGTCTGAGTGGGGTATTCATGTTAATCTGCAGCATGGTATCCCAGTGAGCTAGCACTATAAATCGGCATCAGTCCGGACTAGTACAAGCAGCCACACAAACACACACACGTACATGCACGTCGCTATATAAGTGCAATAATCTTGGACGCGACGTTAAACCCCATTTCACCTCACCTCACTTTATTAAGGTTCATACTCCAATGAACTGGCACCAAGTGAAAGTCAGTTCTTGAATGATACTTTGTCAGATAGTGGCATTGACTGGTTTGTCCTTCAGGCCTGATTGAACACATCTACCACAATGAGGGGTTTGATGGTCCGTCTCTGCAGCTGCTGAAGGAGGCCCTCATCAACACTCGCCAGCATGAAGCCTTCCTCAGAGTCATCCTGGTGGGTAGCCTGCGTGCTGTATCTCACCCAATCTCATTAAAATCAGATTTTAGTTCTCGCTATCGCTGTACAAAGATCTGAGGACATCTCATTACAGGTCACGTTAAAACGACCTTTCATCCGACCAATCAAAGCGTCGCTTACCAAATCAATAAAGTGACAGTCGGAATGTGTTTTCTAATCATGCAACCTCTAAAACGTTAAAACGTGGTATTCAGAACGACAGTTACGGCCCGTACGATTGATTCCGTCAAAATTATCGTGGGATAAACATTTGAATGGAATTGTTATTCGTTTCAGTGGTCGGTTAAAGTTCACGAAAGGTCGTTCTGATGTGACCCATAATGGGATGTCCTCAGATCTTTGTTTATCGGCAGCGAGAACTTAGATCTGATTTTAATGAGATTTTATCTCACCCTTGTGTCTTTTGATGTCAAATATATCAGCATTAGTTTATAAAAGTTTAAACTTTGATGCTTGCCAAGGAGTTATGAACCTTTGTTGACAAGCGTAGATATATGATTGATAGCAAAACACACGACGGTGAGATTCTTTTTTTTTATCCAAAATCATTCTTTTTCAGTTTGTAAACAGTAATCACCTGTGTCTTGATTGTTGATTGAAGTACAAATAACCAGCTTTAGTGGCAGAGAGATTAGTGATGTCATGGTAACCGATGATGTCACAATAGTCTGCAAAGCATTGTTATGCAATTTCATTGTTAAGAACTCTCCTATGGAAACCAGTTTGGATGTTGAATTGGTGTCCAGTATGAATTAAATTGTGAATGTACAAAGTAGAGAAGAATAATTAATTTGATTATTTACATATTATTCTTATATTATTATGGATATGATAAAGATGTATTTTTTTGTAACATGATTTGATTATATAGCAACTGACAATATTAAGGTATCACATTGTATCATTTCTTGATGAAATTCTTTTCTCGCCAAGATGTATCTCTATGTTAGAAAAGTTGCAGATATCCAATACATGTGTGTATGTATAATGATAATTATGTAAGTATAACATTCCCAGTCATAATGTTCTCGGGTATGTACCTGATATTGACTAATCACTGCATCATTTCCTCCAGAATGACGTCATCAGCTGTGCCCACCAGGTGGAACAGCTGGAGAATCAGCTGGCACAGCGCATGGAACAGCTGCAGGCAACGGTGCAGTCCAAGACAGCTGTGCCCACAGCACAAGTTTATGTAAGTAGAACTGACCCCGGAATCATGAAAGTGAACTTTGCTCATATTTTCCTAAGCACTATATTTGTCTTAAGTTTTGAAGATTTGGCTTAGCTAAGTTTAAGTCTGAGGGATGCATGCATGCATGATTTAGCATACAACAGTAAGTGTGGGAACTCTCCAGTCAAGGGAGATGTGAAAGTCGGGTAGTTTGTAAACACAGCTGTTGCATGTCGTCTGCTCTTGGTATCAACCTGTCAAAATGGATGAGAAGATATGTAAGGCAAATTGGACACTAGAAGAAGAGGTGTTTGTTGAGGAAGTCACCATAATATGGACTTAATTTAATTAATCCCAGGGGCAGATCTTGTGCAGGTTACAAGATTAGATAGGCACTTAGTTACCTACATTGATTGATAAAGGGTAGGGCAAAGTCTCAAACTCTTTCAGTCTTCAGAAGCAGTTGCAGCAACTAATTTGATAAAAATATTAATCAACAAACATGTTTGTGGAGAGAGTGGTGGGAAAATGTGAAGGCTCAGACTAAATTAATACTGCAGTGTTATTTGGTCTACACACAAAACGTCCCTTGGGCACGCCAGAAACCTATGATTGTGTGTTCGAATCCCGGTTCGCCCCGATTATGTTTCTAGGTTTGTCAGCACCATACCCGTGCTCGTGGGTTTCACCGAAGTTGTAAACATCCGAGACCTGCATCACTTCAGGCTTTCCTCCCACATTAAGCTGACACGCCGTGATATAACTGGAATACTGTTAAAAGCGGCGTTAAACCAAACTCACTCACTCACTCACTCTACACACAAAAGAAAAGATAATTAGTTTCAAATCGGTCTGTGCCCAGAACTTGAGAGCCTACAGCCCAAACCTGTTTCTGCATCATTTTCAACACGTGAAGATCCATGTTAGAATAGGTCTCCAGCAACCCATGCTTGTCGTAAAAGGCGACAAATGGGTTTGGCTGGTCAGACTCGCTGACTTGGTTGATACATGTCATTGTATCCGAATTGCGTAGATCGATGCTCATGATGTCAATCACTAGTTTGTCTGGTCCAGACTTGATTAGTTACAGACCGCCGTCCTATAGCTGGAATATTGCTGAGTGTGGCGTTAAACAACAAACAGACAAACTTAGCATCATTTTAAGTAGATTTAAGATCACATGAAGACTTTGATATCTGAACGTACCAAAAGAACTTTTACATTATGCCATTATTAGCTATGGTCCCATACTGCCATTGTTTCCACTTGAATGTCCACCCTTGTTTTCAGCCCCAGTTCATCCATCTGGCCCAGCTGTGGAGCGGCTTCCAGGACGAGATGGTCCTCCTCAGTGTGCTCAGCAACATCCTCGCCAGTCTGGAGCCCTTCACCAGGGTGAGGGACGGTCACTGATCATGCTGATGCGGGATGTTTTGTTTCTTTAATGCTTCCCTCAGCAATTTTCAAGCTTTTTTATGGCTGTCTGTAAATAATCAAGGGATTTTTGTAGCAATGTCATTAATATCACATGTTCTTCAATTCATACACACATCAAACTGACATGTTAATGAAATACTGTTCAGTACAGCATAAGACTTAACTTATGTGTAGGTATGTCAATAATGTGTATATAATTGCGTCTGTGGATCAAGGTCACAAGGAACTGTTCAGTACAGCATAAGACTTAACTTATGTGTAGGTATGTCAATAATGTGTATACAATTGCGTCTGTGGACCAGGGCCACAGGGAACTGTTCAGTACAGCATAAGACTTAACTTATGTGTAGGTATGTCAATAATGTGTATACAATTGCGTCTGTCCGATCAGGGTCACAAGGAACTGTTCAGTGATGAGGTTCTACACCCCTACCTGGAGAGTCTCTCCATCCCCAGTGACGAGGAGAGGATCAAGCAGGTGAGCGGACTGTCAGACTGAAGCTTCATGTATTTTAGAGGATGTGTGGAAGTTATTTGCATTATGTAGAAAATAACCTATGACCTGAAAGGAATTACGGATTATCTGTCCCAAGAGAATTAATTTTGTAACAAACCCACATTGGACAGGTAATCCATAACTTTGATTTGCGTCTCAAAGTAACAACAATCTTCACCTCTCTTTGTACCTTCACCTCTATTTGTACTTTCAACCTTCACCTCTCCTGATACATTCAACCTGCACCTCTCCTGATACATTCAACCTGCACCTCTCCTGATACATTCAACCTTCACCTGTCCTGATACATTCAACCTGCACCTCTCTTTGTACATTCAACCTTCACCTCTCCTGATACATTCAACCTGCACCTCTCCTGATACTTTCAACCTTCACCTCTCCTGATACATTCAACCTGCACCTCTCCTGATAATTCAACCTGCACCTCTCCTGATACATTCAACCTTCACCTCTCTTGATACATTCAACCTGCACCTCTCCTGATACTTTCAACCTTCACCTCTCCTGATACATTCAACCTGCACCTCTCCTGATACATTCAACCTGCACCTCTCCTGATAATTCAACCTGCACCTCTCCTGATACATTCAATCTTCACCTCTCCTGATTATTCAACCTGCACCTCTCCTGATACTTTCAACCTTCACCTCTCCTGATACATTCAACCTGCACCTCTCCTGATACATTCAACCTGCACCTCTCCTGATAATTCAACCTGCACCTCTCCTGATACATTCAATCTTCACCTCTCCTGATTATTCAACCTGCACCTCTCCTGATACATTCAACCTTCACCTCTCCTGATAATTCAACCTGCACCTCTCCTGATAATTCAACCTGCACCTCTCCTGATACATTCAACCTGCACCTCTCCTGATACATTCAACCTTCACCTCTCCTGATACATTCAACCTGCACCTCTCCTGATACATTCAACCTTCACCTCTCTTTGTACTTTCAAACTTCACCTCTCTTTGTACTTTCAAACTTCCCCTCTCTTTGTACTTTCAAACTTCCCCTTTCCTGATACCTTGAATTTAAAGGTTTTGAAGTTGGTTTTCATATTACATGCACCATCCCTCACACTGTAAGCATTGTACAGTTTGTTGTTGATTGACTTTCTGCAGACCACAACAGATGAGCAGAGAATCAACCCTAAGGACTATCAAGTGGAATCATATGACTGGCTCTTCCCAGAAACCACCAAGAACTTCAACAAACTGCCATTACAATATCGGGTAGGCTTATACACGGAAATAGTTCAAGTCAACAATAATGCATTGATGATAATATTGTTGCTGGGTAACAGGTCTGTCATCCACAGAGTTGTCTCCCCTGGTAGTAGAAATCAACTGTAACAAATGCCATTTCCTTAACAAATCAGGCTTTCAATATTAATGTCCCTTTCATTCAAGGAAGTAAGTGGTATGTTGTTAGCTGAATTGTTACGTGGTTCTGTTATGTGTGGCAGGTGTCAAAAGCTTGGGGATTACAAGTTAGAAATGATCTGCAGCAATATTGGTTTGTCGTGAGATTAGGTTGCGGGTGGTCAGGTTTGGTATTTTGTTGTTTGCCTGTCATCGTACCATGGCAGTGTTGAATGTCACTCATAATATCAATCACTGGTTTGTCTGGTCCAGATGTGATTATTTACAGGCCGAGTTCATATAGTTGGAAAACTAAGTGCAGCAATATCAACCACTGGTTTGTCTGGTCCAGACTTGATTATTTACAGGTCAGGTTCATTCAGTTAGAAAACTGAGTGCAGCAGTAAAACAACAAGGAAATGTCGCATGAAAAGTGGTAACCTAATTTCAGTAATAGCTCTCCCTCTATCAGGATATCCTAGTCAATGGCAGTCTAGCCTCACCTCTCTGTGACATCGCGGTTTCTGTTACTGTATCCAGGGCTACTGTGCATTATCCCTGGCCAAGTACGACCGTCTCCTCATCCCCTCCAACCCCGAGATCGGTGTGCTGAGATTCAGAGATCATCACTACGCTTTCTCCAGCAGAGAGGCAGCCTATGAGTTCGCTCAGAATCCAGCTGCGTAAGTATTGTTTCATTTTGGATATTTCGTATTGCGTGCATCTGGTTCTGTATATTAGATTATTAGATTTTGAAAATTTTTTTTAATGACTGAATAGTTCCTAGTGCCCCTGAAACAGATCACCAACATGGTACACTTACAGAATACTGGACACCTATCTGCCATGTTTATTTGATGCTAGTAATGTTTTTGTTTGTTTGTTGTTTAACGCCACACTCAGCAATATTCCAGCTATATGACGGCAGTCTGTAAATAATGGAGTCTGGGTCAAACAATCCAGTGATTGACATCATGAGCATCGATCCACGCAATTTGGATAATTGACATGCATCAACCAAGTCACCTAACCTGACCACTGATCCCATTAATTACCTCTTACGACAAGTAAAGTCGTCTTTCACAGCAAGCATGGGTTGCTGAAGACCTATTCTACCCCCGATCTTCACGGGTCGCTTGTTATGTAGCAGCGCACGACAAAGTGACTGTTTCGAAAATAGGGCGTAAATCTCAAAGTAAGATGACAAAATGTCTCAGCTTGCCTTTGTACAATTAAACCTCCAATATGTGTAAAAGCATGATCGAAATCAGAACAATGAAGTAAACGATACCCTGTTGTCAGATTGGTCTTACTCTACATATCTACACACAAAGTTATACATATAGTACTTGTTATAATAGTTTATCTTAACTGAGACATCAAACTTTAAGTGTCGGGCAAGTTGGGCATTGAATTTTCTAGACCATGATGTCAAAATTTAATTTCAAAACAAATCATAATCATCGAAAATTGGACATTAACAGAAATATTTCAATAAAATAGAAGTTCCATAATGGCATGCAGCAACCTCAGCAGTGACATCCATCAGGGCCACACTTCAACATGCATGTAGAATATTTCATCAACTTTGGAAACTAAAAATGACATTTATTTATTACAACAGCATCCTTAGCAAACTTAGAAACCGTTACTATGGAAGGAGCTAGTGCACATTTTTTACCAGTATGGTAGAAGGCATCCGGTGGTCTAGCCTCGTGACACATTGAAACAGGAAGACACATAAGTGGGTTTGATGCAACAGTGAACATTATTTCAGGGTTTTTTTCCTGACCTAACCCAGATCACTCCTGTACACAGTCATACAGTTGGCTTGCTAGTTTCTCAATTCATAACTAACATCCCACACTGTGAAACCTGCTGAGGTCCCTGTGTTGACATTGTAGGTACATCCAGCTGGTTGCTGAAGGAGCCAAGAGAAGCCCAGAGCTGATACAACTCCTGGAACTCCATACACAGTTCTCCACTATCTCACCATACTCACAGGTAGGGCATGAGCAGTGAGAAGTTTAGTACTTTCTGTTGGATTATGATTATTCCTCATGTTGTACTAGTGTGTTGATTCCATATCCACCTGATCTACTTGTGTGTTGTTTCCTCATCTGCTGGTTGTACTAGTGTGTTGTTTCCCCATCTACCTGTTGTACTAGTCTGTTGTTTCCCCATCCTCCTGTTGTACTAGTCTGTTGTTTCCCCATCCTCCTGTTGTACTAGTCTGTTGTTTCCCCATCCTCCTGTTGTACTAGTGTGTTGTTTCCCCATCCTCCTGTTGTACTAGGCTGTTGTTTCCCCATCCTCCTGTTGTACTAGTGTGTTGTTTCCCCATCTACCTGTTGTACTAGTCTGTTGTTTCCCCATCCTCCTGTTGTACTAGTCTGTTGTTTCCCCATCCTCCTGTTGTACTAGTCTGTTGTTTCCCCATCCTCCTGTTGTACTAGTCTGTTGTTTCCCCATCCTCCTGTTGTACTAGTGTGTTGTTTCCCCATCCTCCTGTTGTACTAGGCTGTTGTTTCCCCATCCTCCTGTTGTACTAGTGTGTTGTTTCCCCATCCTCCTGTTGTACTAGGCTGTTGTTTCCCCATCCTCCTGTTGTACTAGTGTGTTGTTTCCCCATCCTCCTGTTGTACTAGTGTGTTGTTTCCCCATCCTCCTGTTGTACTAGTGTGTTGTTTCCCCATCTACCTGTTGTACTAGTCTGTTGTTTCCCCATCCTCCTGTTGTACTAGTGTGTTGTTTCCCCATCCTCCTGTTGTACTAGGCTGTTGTTTCCCCATCCTCCTGTTGTACTAGTCTGTTGTTTCCTCATCCTCCTGTTGTACTAGGCTGTTGTTTCCCCATCCTCCTGTTGTACTAGTCTGTTGTTTCCCCATCCTCCTGATGTACTGGGCTGTTGTTTCCCCATCCTCCTGTTGTACTAGGCTGTTGTTTCCCCATCCTCCTGTTGTACTAGTCTGTTGTTTCCCCATCCTCTTGTTGTTGTCTGTTTCCCCATCCTCCTGTTGTACTAGTGTGTTGTTTCCCCATCCTTCTGTTGTACTAGTGTGTTGTTTCCTCATCCTCCTGTTGTACTAGTCTGTTGTTTCCCCATCCTCCTGTTGTACTAGTCTGTTGTTTCCTCATCCTCCTGTTGTACTAGTGTGTTGTTTCCCCATCCTCCTGTTGTACTAGTCTGTTGTTTCCTCATCCTCCTGTTGTACTAGTCTGTTGCTTCCTCATCCTCCTGTTGTACTAGTCTGTTGTTTCCTCATCTGCTGGTTGTACTAGTGTGTTGTTTCCCCATCCTCCTGTTGTACTAGTCTGTTGCTTCCTCATCCTCCTGTTGTACTAGTCTGTTGCTTCCTCATCTGCTGGTTGTACTAGTGTGTTGTTTCCCCATCCTCCTGTTGTACTAGTCTGTTGTTTCCTCATCCTCCTGTTGTACTAGTCTGTTGTTTCCTCATCCTCCTGTTGTACTAGTCTGTTGTTTCCCCATCCTCCTGTTGTACTAGTCTGTTGTTTCCCCATCCTCCTGTTGTACTAGTCTGTTGTTTCCCATACCTCCATTTGTTCTCTGTTTCCCTCCCCACCTGTTCACATACTGATGCTTGGTGCCCAGGGCCGAGACACGGGGAAGATGATTGAGAAGCCTGTCACAAAAAACGACAGCGCGACTCAGACAGACACTCACTTCATGGAGTCCAACATCGTCAAGTCGTACGAGTGGAATGAGTGGGAGCTGAGGAGGAAGGCTATCAAACTGGTGAGAATGAGAGTCATCAACAGTCCTCATACTGTTGTTAGTACATATAACATGCTGAAATACTACCCGGTAGTCACATGTGCAAATGATGTGTAGGAGGAAATGATCTTTTTTTCATGTACCAGGAGATTAAACACATTAAGATGGGGCTTTATTCTGTACAAATACCACAAATATAACAGTGTTAACTTGTACGAAAAGAGTCCAGGAGCTAGTGCCACATTGCTATCTTAGTCCTTTGCTGTCTTTGTGAAATAATGGGCAGTCGGGTAGCCTAGTGGTTAAAGCGTTCGCTCGTCACACCGAAGACCCAGGTTCGATTCCCGACATGGGTACAATGAGTGAAGCCCATTTCTGGTGTCCCCCGCCGTGATATTGCTGGAATATAGCTTAAAGCGAGGTAAAACCATACTAACTCACTCACTTTATGAAATATTTGCAGTGGCCAGATACAACATACAAACATTTGATCCATTATTACTGGTATTTAAACAGTTAAAGTGGTTAAGAGTAAGTTTAATTTTGATTGATAATTGTATTTTTATCTTTAATTTCTCCTTGTCCATCAAAAAGGGATGGTCGTGCAAATAAGAACAAATTTAAACTAATCTTAATTTTATTTTCCTGACTTACTTTTGGTCTGTCAAATCTGTAGCTAATGGTAAGTGACCATGACCTTTTGTCTCTACTTCTTGTGATGTAGATGGAATACTATTAAAAGAGCGGTGAAGATCCGGGGTCTTCAGCAACCCATGCCTGCCGTAAAAGGCGACTATGCTTGTCTTAAGAGGCGACTAACGGGATCAGGTGGTCAGGCCCGCTGACTTGGTTGAGTCATGTCATCGTGTCTCAATTGCGTGGATCGATGCTCATGATGTCAGTCATTGGATTTTCTGGTGCAGACTCGATTAATTACAGACCGCCGTCATATAGCTGGAATATTGCTGAGAGCGGCGTTAAATAACAAACAAACAAACAAACAAACAATAAAAGCAGCATAACACAAGCTCATAGTCTGACAATGAACTCCAAGCTGACCTTGTGTTACAGTCCAACCTGCGGACCAAGGTCACCCACAGTGTGCAGACGAACCTGAGCAACCTGAGGAGGGACAACGTCACGCAAGTCTACCTGCCAAAGTAAGTCCAAAAACATCACGCCAATGGCCCAGTTTCAACTCCCAACATGGGTGAAGCCTAATTCTTGTGGCCTGCTGTTAAAAGGCTGGAATATTGCTCACAAGCTTTGCTAGCCCTGGTGACGATAAAATGCCTGTGTAATGTTAAAACAATGGGGAAAGTTTGAGAGTTTTACTGGCCCGCAGGGATTTGTACTAGCCCTGGGCTAGCGGGCTAGTATTACGTTTTAACCCTGTATTGCTACAAGCGGCATAAACCCACTCACTCACTTCTAATCTAGACCAAAATGAATTTTAACGGATGTTAGTCATCATTTATCCAAGTGCTTGTTTGTCTCAACAGACATTGTTCCTTTCATATTTCAACTATTTGGTCTATTGGTGTGCAAATTCGACAATTAATTCTGAACACATCTCAATGTTTTCATTGGTAGGCCTGAATGACCAGGGCACACACCATTGGTCATATCCAACTAGTCTGCAGCTCATTTTGGACTAGCTGTAACATAAAATAACTAGTCCGTCTAGATTGTTACTAGTCTCAGACTAACAGACAAGTGGCCATGTCTATCCCTGATGACATTGTTGAACATTTACAGGCTGTGACTTGTCATGTTTGTCTTCTTTCAGAGACCAGAACACCCAGACAAAGGGAGATAACTATAGCAATGTCCCGAAACCACAAGTGTTCTTGGAAGGTCTTCGCGGGGGTGGCATGACCAAGCCTACCAGCATGACCAAGGTCGACCTCACCATCGATGTGGACCAAACATGAAACATATTCATCTCTCAATAATATTGTGTAAATAATAATGTAATTTTGTGTGATATATCCTGATTTTTGTCAAGGAAGTAAATCAGTAAATGATAATAATTATCAAATACAAAACTTTTCATTCGTCACTGTAAATGCAAACTCTAAAGGTTCAGTTCAAATCACCAAGAAACAAATTTCAGACCTTTGAAAAAACTAAGCTGAGCCACATGACACTCAGAGAATTTTGAAGATGTGTACAGAGACATATGCCATGAATAAAATATTTATTTTGATGATGTTGATATTATTTTGATTTCTCCACAAGTGGAATGAATAATAATAATGGGTTTGTTTAAGCAAGTTTTGAAAAGACAATTGAAGGACTAAACCGTTTGGGTTCATTTGACATCTCCAGGAATTGTTTCAAAATCTTGGACCTGCAACTGGTTGGTTGGTTGGTTTGTTGTTTAATGCCGCACTCAGCAATATTTCAGCTATATGACGGCGGTCTGTAAATAATCGAGTCTGCACCAGAAAATCCAGACACCATGAGCATCGATCCACGCAATTGGGATCGATGACATGTATCAACCAAGTCAGTGAGCCTGACCACCCGATCCCGTAAGTCGCCTTTTACGACAAGCATAGTCACCTTTTACGGCAAGCATGGGTTGCTGAAGACCTATACTACCCCGGATCTTCACGTGTCGGAACTGCAACTGAGAGTAATGAGGCACTTTTTTTGGTTCTTGGTTTTCCGACAGTAACTGTTTGTAAACATTCAGAAGCTTCTTCATGCAAAGCAGAGAGATGTCACCCTGCAGGACATGTCAAACAGTGCTTTGAAGAACATCCTTTGCACGACGGGCAGCCAGTGAAGCTGTCTTAGTGATGGTGTCATGTGCTTTAGACATCATCTTGGTGATAACATGTGTCTGTTCTCTCTGAATATGACCGCAGAAACTTGAGGGGAACAAACATAACATCACAATAAATATCCGGAGACTCCTGGCATACAACAGACCTTATTACACCCCACATAAAACAACAACAAAAAATGAAAGTAAAATATCGGCGAATGTACAGTTTTGTACCCTTCTGGACACGATCCACGTAAGATATTTTCATACCTTTTAGAGGTTCATGTAACTGCAATAGCATGATCACATCGTCTCCGCATGTAACAGACAGGTATATGAAGTGATTGCTTGACATTCACCATTCAATGTTCTTTTGTTCAGTTTTAATTGAGAATTTGTCAAAAGCTTTGAAGTATAGTTGCCAGTTTGAAACTAGTGCCATGAAGCATGAAAAATCTGCCTTCTGATTGGTTAATGGCGAGTTCTTGTCAGATTTCCATTGGTTGGTCAAAGTTCGCGAAAAGTCGGTCTGACATGACCCGTAATGGGATGTCCTCAGATCTTTGTTGAGCGGTAGCAGGTAAGATCAGGATCTGATTCATTAACATTAGAGCCGGGAGTGAAACCTCGCCTAGATCCTGTTGGTCCAGAAACACTTATCAGGACGATTTTGTTCGGAAGATCTACAGTTATACAAAAGATTTGTGGACGAGGATACTTGTTGATATGAACGAATATTGTGTGACAGTACATGTATGATCCAGATTATGACTGTACAGTAAACTACGTTTATAATGAAAATGCTAATAACGAACTGACCGATATAACGAACTTATGTTTTAGTCCCGGGCATTTGTTGAAAAATGCTGTATATATGCTTATAATGAACTACGGTTATTATGAACTAAAACAAGTATTTGTCACAGAGTGATGAAATATCCCCCGCCATATACACCATAGTACCAAATATGAAGACAATCCAGCGATTAGTTCTTGAGATATTGTGGCAACACCGTTTTCCAACTCCAAAAACAGATTTGCCTGCTGTGACCTTGAAAATGGGGTCAAGGTCACCAAATCTGACAGGTGTATGCGGTGTCTGTATATACACCATAGTTCCAAATATGAAGACAATCCAGTGTTTAGTTCTTGAGATATCGCGGCAACACCGTTTTCAAACTCCAAAAGCAGATTTGCCTGCTGTGACCTTGAAAATGGGGTCAAGGTCACCAAAACCGACTGGTGTCTGTGGTGTCTGTATATACACCATAGTTCCAAATATGAAGACAATCCAGTGTTTAGTTCTTGAGATATCGCGGCAACACCGTTTTCCAACTCCAAAAGCAGATTTGCCTGCTGTGACCTTGAAAATGGGGTCAAGGTCACCAAAACCGACTGGTGTCTGCGGTGTCTGTATATACACCATAGTTCCAAATATGAAGACAATCCAGTGTTTAGTTCTTGAGATATCGCGGCAACACCGTTTTCCAACTCTAAAAGCAGATTTGTCTGCTGTGACCTTGAAAATGGGATCAAGGTCACCAAAACCGACTGGTGTCTGCGGAGTCTGTATATACACCATAGTTCCAAATATGAAGACAATCCAGTGTTTAGTTCTTGAGATATCGCGGCAACAAACAGGTGGGACGTACGGACGGACGTACGGACGGTCGTGAATACTATATCCCCCGCTTCGCGCTTTCGCGCGGCGGGGGATAATTAGTGGTCCCTTGTAGTTTGTAATAACCGTAGTTTACTGTATTTGTGTAAGCAAATTTAAAAAAACAACAGTGGCCATTCATTGATCCCCTTTTATCCCCCACAAGCAACATGTTAAGTATACATGACAGTCATTGTAAGTCACAATCATCAACACACAGAATATCATATACTCTGCTCAAATGAAAATAAATAAAGAACTGAACAAAGTTCATGACAAACAGTATTCTAAAACTGTGAAAAAAACCTCACCTGAGCAGTGGAATTTCCTTTCATAACAAAGTAATATAACAGCAGCTGCAGCAGCCAGATAACAGCCTGGTTGTAGTCCAAATTTCTTTTTTAAACCCACAGGAATTTAGAAATCCATAAAGAATAAAAAATTTAAAACCATGTCATGTCATATGCTTCTTGTTGCAAAAGACATTCCAACGTTAACAAAACAGTACCAAAGACCTGAACTCTCAACATTTCGCCTGGTGAAATTAACACAGGTCCAGGAAATGCAGTATAACATCGTTATACAATAACAAGGATGAGAATCAATAACCCTGCATGTCAGACTTCCACACAAAATACAGAATCCTATGGAGTAACGCCACCTGGTTCATTGTAATGAATCAATGGCTCTGGATTTCTGGTAGAATCTCTCACAGAATAGAATTATTTTTGTTGAACCTTGCATATCGCCACATTGAATAATATTTCGGTTATATCACAGTGTCAGCAAATGTGTGGATGTCTACAGTGATGTCCTTCCACTGTGATGAAACCCACAAGACGATGATTTTAAAACACACCTTTAAATAATGAGTCTCAAAGGTTTAATTAACTAAAAGTAATATTTCTATTACATTTTAACATTTTCATCTGAAATCGAAACTATCCAAATTTAAATTACAAATATCATTAAAAAAAAGGCAATCCATCACAGAATAATTCCTGTTTTTCACATATTGAATCTTAACCCAGGCCATGTTCCACAAAGCAATCTTAGCGCTAAGATATTCTTAACTCCCATTCTTTAACATAGGCTTAGGGTCATAGCTGTACGATCATCACCTTGTGGAATGGGGCCCAGGGTAGTTCACTGTAGACATGGTAGACAAAGCAAACCACTTAAATTTAATGCTTGAATCTTCACTATTTATAGGGTTTGACTTCCAATGTTCACCATGTTCAGGGGTTAAACAAAATGTTTGGATGTGCATTTAATGCAACACATATACAAAATCAGTATTTGCACTGAAAAATGACTAAGCATTTACTTATTGGGGAAAAATGCCTATCAAATAAATACTAATGCAGAAAAAGTATCTAGCATGATGCAAATAGTCATCTCTACCAAAATACAAATCTAAAACCCTTGAAAATATATGCATGTTGCCATGGTAACAAGTGCCGCTTACAATTGATGGAATAATCCTGCAATAATACGCACATTATCCTGATTATACACACATGCTGTTTAGTCAGGAAGCTCTTATCATGATTATGTCATGAAATGTCATTGGTATATCATTATCACATAAATGCATGCCTTGGTTTTGTAAAGTCAATGCTAGACAATGGCACTGCCATAACATTAACAGATAAGTAGTTATCACCAATGCATTCAGAATAGTTTATACAATCCTCAGGCATAGCCACAAGCACAAAGCCAGTTTAACACATGCAGGCTTAGAGTGTCGATACTGCAGGGCAAGGAGATAACATACACGCTTGGGGCATAGAGCCACGTTCACAAAGCAGGGACTCATCAAGGATACAGAACTAAGTACCCTTGTCCATGTTGTCAGGCAATGTACTGTTATTTTGTTCAAAAATGGGATTTACAAAAACGTTTCCAGAGGTATTTTAACATTGTATTTTTACACTGCATTCGTTGCAATAATGTAAAACTATGCTTAAATATCTCTCCCTCATTATTGGTCCTAATATCTGATATACAAGTCACCTCCACGAACTATATGAACAGGAATTGGGAAATTTTGAATTCTACTTTGTGAATTATACTGACATTTCTTGCAGACAGGCCGAATATCAGCCTCTGAGGTCTAGATAAATCCCTGAAACAAATTTAGTTAGCCGAGGGCATGCAAAGATTATCCACAATCCATAGAAATACTTGCCCATCTGGCTTAAATTAAGGGGGCCTTGGCTGGCAATTTGGCACTTAACATGGATTTCCTACTCATGCAGTCCTTGATGCCCTTATGCCAAATAAGTACCATTCTCAAGCATTTTTTGGTATGATTGAGTGAGTGAGTGAGTGAGCTGGGTTTAACGCCACTTTGAACACTATCCCAGTGATATCATGGCGTGTCAACTTCATGTGGGAGGAAAGCCTGAAGTACTGCAGGTCTTAGACGTTTACCACATTGATGAAACCCACGAGCACAATTATGGTGCTGACAAACCTAGAAACATAATTGGGGTGAACTGGGGTTTGGACCAATGATCATAAGTTTCTGGTAACTCAAGGGATGCAACTCTACACAGAGAATTGCCATGCCTCAGACAATTGGGTCTTCCATGTCGCCTACATTCACATGAACACATGTTACCTAGATACATGTATTCAATGACATCCCCTTTGTCATGATTATGCTACAGGACAATAGCACAATGACATTGAACAGGTGGTCATTGTCAAGGCTCAAGTTTGAAATATAGAACAATATTTGTGTCAAATAACTATTTGTGAATAATCCAGTGGCCTCATAAAAAAGATAAAACTATTATTTTCAACTGTGAAAATGCCACAGGACCATATCTATATGATCTACCGTATTTTGACTTAATAAGCGCCCACGGCGATATTTGCTGATATATTGGCTTGTGAACAATCCCAATTAGCACCTTTTCCGATTGATCAATGTACACAATACTTATTTATTCGCGTATAACACGCACTCATGTGTTATATGCACCCTTAATTATGGGCAATTAAATTCTGAAAAAATATATCTGTCATATATAAACATTTCAGGCTGTCAGCATAGACCACAAAATTTATCCTTCAACTGTGTTTTTTTCCGACAAAATAATATTCTAATAAGAGCCCCTTTTTCTAATTTTGAGAGCGCCCTGGGCACTTATTACGTCGAATACAGTATATCTGTTATACATTGTCTATTACATCTAATAAAAGACACAACTTTTTCTGATTTCTATGGTGTTTTTTTCACATTTCACCAATGTGATGAAAATCTACATCCAATCCCAGGGACAACATTGTTATAGACATAATGTAGAAAAACTGATAAACATGATGCACGCTGAGTGAAATGATGAGTATGACAGTGACAAACCTAGAAGCATAATCAGATTAAACTGAGATTCAAACCCAAGATCATAGGCTGCCCTGGAAAATGTAAGGTGAGTGAGGATAGTTTTATGCCGCTTGTAGCAATATTCCATCTATATCATGGCGGGGGACACCAGAAATAGGCCTCACACATTGTACCTAAGTGGGAATCGAACACGGGTCTCTGGCATGACGAACGAATGCACCGCTAGGCTTCCCCGCCGCCACTGAAACGTGTCCGGGATCCAATGCTATAATAATAAAACTGGACTGGGCCTTCGTGTGACCCGCTGTCATGTCTCGGACGTCTGATGCAGCGTTCCCGCTGGCTTTTGAAACTGCCAGTCCTGGTGGACTGCCAACACTTCTAAAAATGACCAGTCCCATCCTAATTTTTGTCAGTCCCAACTTTCAACAATTAAAAAAACGTGTAAAAATGATCCGTGTTTAATTCATTCAACATGACATGATTTCTTAAGTCACTTAATTAGATCTACACATCATTCACAGTCACTATTATCTCTTTTTTTAATATTTCAAGTCACTACAAATATATATTTAACCTCGAACCAAAGCAAAATGTTATTTCCTTTCACTAAAAATAGACAAGGGGAAACCCTGAAGGTAACAGACGAGTTGACTTCATCGAAAAATATACTTATATGAATAACGCTGATGTTTTGTTCAACAAAGATTTTTAAGGTACTTTATTTGCCGGTCCACAGGGACTGGCAGTCACATGAATTACCGGTCCAAGCCAAATTTACCGGAACAAAATTACCGGTAAACGGGAACACTGCTGATGATGAAAGTGAGGGGAATAGGACGCAGGATGAAATAGGATTACAGTTTTAGGCCGAGATTAATATTTCTGATGATGCCTCATACTTTCATGGATACATTTCCCACAGTACCAGATCACCCTATACATGTCTACATCACAGAGCCTGGCATTTAAACTATCAACAAGCAGATGGCAGATCAACAAGTGTGGTAAGAGAAAAGATTGGTAATCAAAATTTAAACCTTAGTTATCAAGTTATTATCATGATTATCAGAAGCAGATTTTACTCAAACTGCATCAAATATGATAACCATGATGATAACCAACACATGATTATGATGATGCTGATGATGATGCAAGTATTGCAATGATGAGATTATTAGACCAGAACTGTGTTTCTCAACAGCAACATTACCCTCGATCATCCAGTGTATCATCATATCTCCATTCCACTAGGCTTAAAAAAATAAAAGAATTGGTTCTCAGGCCATGGCTTTTGAAAATAAAGTCTGGGAAGGCGGTGTGTTTTTTGTTTGTTTTTTGTTTTGTTATTTGGGGTTTGTGTGTGTGTGTTCAAACCAGTATGTAATTAAATAAACAGATGTGTACAATCAACCTAGGAAAGGGCCTCCCTACATAAATGTTTTCCTGGAGGAGTAAAATACTGGAATACAGTATTTGGCTACTGATGGACGTGGTTTTTTTAAACATGGAAATAAAAATGAAACAGTTGACAAACTTTATGATGATATGGGCGGTGCCTGAGAATCAAGACTATTATTTTTTTAGCCTCATCAGCATTAGAAATTGACACTAGTCCCATTGTCCTTGCCACACTGCCCCATAGTAAAGGCAATCTCATTAAAATCATATCTTAGTTCTGGCTATTGCTAAACAAAGATCTGAGGACATCCCATAACGGGTCACGTCAGAACGACCTTTCATCTGACCAATCAAAGCGTCGCTTACCAGATCATGAAAGTGACAGACAGAGTTTTCTAATCATGCAACCTCATAAAGGTTAACATGACAGTTACGGCCCGTACGACTGATTCTGTCAAAATTATCATCTTTTGCTTCCGTGGGATAAACATTTGAACGGAGGAGGTGTTGCACAGTTGATGGGAAGCACTGCCATACAATCGCAACCATATGTTAGACATTCCGGAATGTTGTTAAAATCGAGAACTGTGTCAACATATTATTCAAGCGTAGTCAGAAATGGAAGTCGCCAGGTTGAAACGAACAGTAAAGCTTGAGAAAGCTGCTTTCTAATTGGTTGATGTTGACTTCTTGTTAGTTGTTTCAGTAGTTGGTCAAAGTTTGTGAAAGGTCGTTCTGACGTGACCCGTAATGGGATGTCCTCAGATCTTTGATATGAGAACTTAGATATGATTTTAATGAGATTGTAGTTAAGATATCATAGGAACCAATAGAAATTTGCTAGTAGACTATAAGTAAAACAGTGAGTTTCTATTGCTGCATTACAATATGCTGGCTAATCCACAGATATTAGATAAACATGACATATTACATGTATTAGAAATAACAAAATGACAATTCATAAGTCAATACATGCACATATTTATCCTGTAAACAATGGCAAATCATAGAACAAGGTAGACATGGTAGAATTGAAACACTTTCAGGAAAATGATGATGATGAGGATGAGGATGAAACTCCCATGACTTCCCTAACAAGTGGAATACCAACTTCATGCAAAACATCCCCTTTTAATGTTTAGGCCTAATTAAACATAATGTTGTTTGGATGACAATAAATTTAAAAACATTGATCAAGAACTACTGGTAAACATGCTTTCATGCCTGATTTGTTCGGTCACAAGCCGCAAGTACCATTGACATATAGTTGGAATCGGTATCTTACATTAGGCTCCATCGGGTCATTAGACACTGTTAGAACCACATGGATATATTTAGGCCTTAACATGCTTATAGTGAGTGAGTATGCTTTGTATGCCTCTTTTAGCAATATTCCAGCAACATCATGACAGGGGATACCAGAAATGGGCTTCACACATGGGCATCGAACCCAGTTTTCTTGCATGACAAGCAAAAGCCATAACCACTGATAACCATGATAACACCTGATGTATGTTCCCCATGTTCCTTCTGCAGACAGACATTGAACCTCAAACAAGTAAACTACTGTCAGTTATGATAGTACATAAACAAAGATATTGATGGTAAATGTAGTAAACATGACCAGTACATCATCAGTACATATTCAGTACATCATCATGATCATTGTTGTTTTGTATGTTGATTATGTTGACAGTGCTTTTTCCAAGTTTCTAATGGAACAAAGTCGGCAAAATATGTAACTCTAAAAAGTAATCAAAATTCCCCCAAAGCCATGTTCATAATGAAATGTGAAAACATGGCTTACTTATCAATTAATGTTCGTCCTAGAAAGTAGAGCTCAATATCTTCCAACGACTTTCCCTTGGTCTCTGGAAGATATTTCCAGACAAACATTACCGACATCAAACAAAACATAGCGAACAGATAAAAGGTTCCATCTTGTCCAAGAATCGTTTGCATCGTCATGAATTCTTTAGTGACCACAAAAGCCACCAGCCAGTTACCAAGGATTGCGATTGAACTTGCAGCTCCTCTTGCACGGGAGGGAAATATTTCAGACATAACAAGCATAGGAATCGGTCCCCATCCCAAAGAAAAGCCAACAATATAGATCATGAGTGAGCAGACAGGTAGCCATGTTTTCATGGTACTGTTCAAGGAATTGCTGGCTTGCAACTTGTAGTACAGTCCAAACATGAAGAGAGTTGCTGACATGATTAATCCAGCGATGATCAAAAGCTTCCTTCGTCCAGCTCGATCCATCAGGAGGCAGGCAGCAAAGGTAGCAACAACTTGGATAGCACCAACAGCCACAGTAGCACCATGGGCAAGGTCTGGAATTGCTGTTTCGAATATTGACACGGTGTAGAACATAACTGCATTGATTCCGCTAAGCTGTTGGAATACGAAAACAGTAAGTGCAATGAAGAGAGGTCTGGACAGTTCCGGTTTCTGCAGAAATTCCGACCAAGCAAAGTCCTCTTGTGGATCAAGGCCTTCTTCGATGTCTCTGCATTCCTCCTGAACGTCCATATGCGAGTCACGTAGGGCCTTCAAGGCCTGGATAGCTTCAGCCTTCTGGTTTCTCCCAAGCAACCATCGGGGCGTTTCTGGGATGAAGAATGACATGACTAGAGCTGTGACCGCTTGTATGGCACCTATGAGTGCCAGGCCTCGCCAGTCAAAGTGAAGTCCACAGGCATATGCCAGCAATATTCCGACTGTTATGAAAAGTTGAGTACATGATCCGAGAACACCTCTCATGGATTTGGTGGAAATTTCAGCAATGTAAACTGGTACACAAACTGTCACGAGTCCCGAGGAGAATCCGGTTAGAAATCGTCCAGCATAAAGGTACGTTAACGTTGATGACGTCAGCATCGCAACCCAACCCAATAAGAACGGAACAGTTGCTATAATTAAAGATTTGCGTCTTCCAAACTTCTCAATGCAATATCCGCCCGATGGGCCCCCGAGTATTGCTCCAACTGTCATCAGCGATCCAAACCATCCTGCATTTTGCTTGTTCAAAACACCACTTTTTATCATGCTCGGAATTGCCGGAGAACTGTAACCGATAACATATCCAAAACACAACGCTCCCAGACATGCTATGAGAGTTGTCCAAATCAAACGACGAGGAGATCCTTCGTATTTTGACTGCACCAAACGAGCTCCAGCTTCTAGCGAAGCCATTTTGTTTCTGTATGAGAGCTCCTTCCCGCGATTGATAGGACTCGCTCACTCGTGTGCTGCCACGCAACAATCACAAATGAAGTTAGAAGTTGATAGTGAGCGAAAGGCGATTTCAAACGTTCGACGTGTCAACACAGACCCAGCTGTAGATTTTCGACCGACCTACTTTTATAGTAATGCTCGAGATTAACAGATTAAATCAGATTTATCACGTGATCTGAGAACTTGTGAAACACGTGGAGACAAGGAATTTGCAATACTACACTTACAAGCTTATTTGATATGCATCGTCGGATCGTTCATACTATATATATAGGATTCGATTTATGTCCCCCACTGATAGAGGAATTTTTTTTATAGTTTATATAGATATCTACAGAACCACGAAGTGTTGGATACTATCACTTATTTACTTGTTTGTTTGTTTGTTGTTTAACGCCGCACTCAGCAATATTTCAACTATATGACGGCAGTCTGTAAATAATCAAGTCTGGACCAGACAATCCAGTGATTTTCATCATTAGCATATGTTTTTTTTTATGTTTCTGAATATTTAAGAATTATCAGTAAACTGAAGCTATGCTCATTAAAAAATATTTTAGCGTGCTCTTAAGAATAATCTTAACAATATCCAGTATGTCGGCATTTGATGAGGTGCACCTGCATCGGTTGGGCCCTTTCAGACCTTATATTCAGATACTGAACTAAGCCAACATTAACGTCTCGATAATACGGAAGCCCATTAAGGCTACAACATTTTCTTAAATCTTGAAAATTCAAGTTATCTTGAATTTTCAAGATTGTAAAAATGGCATAGGTCCAATGTGCCTCGGTACGATAGAGCAGGTATATTATTCGTGACAGATTTAATCAATAAAATTAATATAGAAGTAGTTGCTGGAAAAACAACAATTTTTACGAAATAAAGCAGCTGGACTTTCCTGGGATTTTGTTTTGGGGAATTGCGTCACACTGATTTTTTATATTTTCATGGCACAACAAGGAGTGAAAATATCATCTTTGTCGGATAAACATGTCATTTGACAATGAAAAACTAACGTTCTATTTATCATGCGTTTTCTTAATGATCTTCACGGTTTTCTCATAAAAAAACATAGTGTCATTGGAACAGACTCCAAGTGGTTCCGGCATTACGCTTTAGTTCACTCGAGGGAGATCTGGTTAATTGGTTGGTTTGTTGTTTTACGCCGCTCTCAGCAATATTACAGCTATATGATGTAAATAATGTCTGTAAATAATCGAGTCTAGACCAGACAATCCAGTGAATGATATCATGAGCATCGATCTTCAACCAAGTCAGCGAGCCTGACCAAACGATCCCTTTAGTCGCCTCTTACGACAAGCATAGTCGCCTTTCACGGCAAGCAAGGGTTCTACCTCGGATCTTCAGGGGTGTACACTCGAGGAAGATGTCGATTTATATTTTCAGATGCTCATGATACCAATCACTGGATTGTCTGGTCCAGACTCAATTACTTACGCCGTCATACAGCTGGAATATCGCTCAGTGCGGCGTTTAACAAACAAATGTTTTCAGACAAATACAATCTCTAGCCACTTAGCCTTTATTCATTATAAAAGCATGTATGCCAACGCCACATCTGCATACTGCCGCTTCCGATATTGTGACGTCATATTCGTATGACGTCACCATTTCATGCAATTGAATCAATATGTATTTGTCTCCCTGTTCTGAATAGAATCAATTATTATAAAGACTTATAAAGGGATGATGGGGGATTATACATAATTACGATGTCCAAGCTAAATATGTGCATACATAAATACACGCAACATATGTTATGACGTCATAATGGTAGCGCGTTACCTTTGACCTTAGAACAGACAGAACCGCCCGAGCAGCCAAGACAGTGTGAGTGTACTTTTCATCAAGGGGATTCTTACTCAAGTCTCACTGGTATGTTATATAGACATAATTTAATACACACGATGTGAGGTGCATGCTGGTTGTTAAAACAAATTCTGAAAAGATAATATTGCTCTAATTGATATTAACACAGATCATATGAAATTCGTCGCTATATAAGTGCAATAATCTTGGACGCGACGTTAAACCCCATTTCACCTCACCTCATATGAAATTCCTGTTGTTTATCAATGACAAATTCCCACAAATTTACAAAAGTTACAGTAACATTACTCTAATTTCCCCAGTGGGGTCAGAATTGTAGCCCAGAAACCTATGCGTCTTAATGGAACTGGGTGTATCCCTGCGGCGTGGGACGTTGTTCGTAATATCAATCACTAGTTTGTCTGACACAGACGATTATTTGCAGATCGACGTCATACAGCTTGAGTATTGCTGGGTGTGACCTTTGACAAAGCAAACAAACAATGAAAAATAATAATTTCACAATAACGGTCCTACGTGTCCTGTCAATCACAGCCGACTATGCGTGTCGTAAGAGGCGACTAACGGGACGGGCTCGCTGACTTGGTTGATGTATGTCATCGTATCACAATAAATAGTGTTGATCGATGCTCATGATATCAATCACTGGATTGGCTGGTCCAGACGCCGTTATTTTTAGCCCACCGTCAAATAGTTGGAATATTGCTGGAAGCTGGAAGTGCGGCGTTATACAGACAAAAAGACAAACAAACAAACAAACAACCAAACAAACAAGACATCATCTATAGTGATGCAGGTCTAAGACGTTCAACACTTTGGTCAAACCCACGAGCACAGGTATCGTGCTGACAAACCTAGAAAAATATTCAGGGCGTATCTTGGATTCGAACTCTCGAATATAGGTTCCTGGCACACCTAAGGGATGCAATTCTGCATTGCGGCGCTTTAGAGGACAGGGCTATCCGTGTCCCCAAGTGGTGAGCTAAGCTTGTTCCGTATATCTCCCTCAGTGATCGGCATGCGCTGTTATTGTCTCCCCACATGTTGCAAATATCATATGAACTTTCAATCAGACACAATATGGCTTCGCTACGAACTGGAGCTCGCTTGTTGCAGGCAAAACGTGAAGGGACCCCTCGTCGTTTGGTCTGGACGACTGTCATAGCATGTCTAGGAGCGTTGTGTTTTGGATATGTTCTCGGATACAGCTCACCAGCAATTCCGAGCATGATAAAAAGTGGTGTTTTGAACAAGCAAAATGCAGGATGGTTTGGATCGCTGATGACGGTTGGAGAAATATTCGGGGGCTCTTCAGGCGGATGGTGTATTGAGAAGTTTGGTAGACGCAAATCTCTAATGATAGCGTCTGTTCCGTTCTTATTGGGTTGGGTTGTGATGCTGTCGTCATCAACGTTAACGTACCTTTATGCTGGACGATTTCTTACCGGATTCTCCTCAGGACTTGTGACAGTTTGTGTTCCAGTTTACATTGCTGAAATTTCCACCAAATCCATGAGAGGTGTTCTCGGATCATGTACTCAACTTTTCATAACAATCGGAGTATTGCTGGCATATGCCTGTGGACTTCACTTTGACTGGCGAGGCCTGGCACTCATAGGTGCCATACAAGCGGTCTTAGCTCTAGTCATGTCATTCCTCATCCCAGAAACACCCCGATGGTTGCTTGGGAGAAACCAGAAGGCTGAAGCCATCCAGGCCTTGAAGGCCCTACGTGACTCGCATATGGACGTTCAGGAGGAATGCAGAGACATCGAAGAAGGCCTTGATCCACAAGAGGACTTTGCTTGGTCGGGATTTCTTCAGAAACCGGAACTGTCCAGACCTCTCTTCATTGCACTTATGCTTTTCACATTCCAACAGCTTAGCGGGATTTCCGCAGTCACCTTCTACACTGTGTTAATGTTTGAATCAGGAATTCCAGACCTTGCCCATGGTGCTACTGTAGCTGTTGGTGCTATCCAAGTTGTTGCTACGTTTGCTGCCTGCCTCCTGATGGATCGAGCTGGACGAAGGAAGCTTTTGATCATCGCTGGAATAATCATGTCAGCATCTCTCTTCATATTTGGGTTGTACTACAAGTTGCAAGCCAGCAATTCCTTGAGCAGTACCATGAACACATGGCTACCCGTCTGCTCACTCATGATCTATATTGTTGGCTTTTCTTTGGGATGGGGACCGATTCCTATGCTTGTTATGTCTGAAATATTTCCCTCCCGTGCAAGAGGAGCTGCAAGTTCAATCGCAATCCTTGGTAACTGGCTGGTGGCTTTTGTGGTCACTAAAGAATTCATGACGATGCAAACGATTCTTGGACAAGATGGAACCTTTTATCTGTTCGCTATGTTTTGTTTGATGTCGGTAATGTTTGTCTGGAAATATCTTCCAGAGACCAAGGGAAAGTCGTTGGAAGAAATCGAACATTACTTTCATGAAAAAACATTAATGAAAAAGTCTATTTTGTAATGTAATACAGAATGTTTGCTATCACTATTCAGTACGATATTTGAAGTCATTATATATGTTTTATTTATTTCAGTTTGAACATGATATACTACAAATACATAATTTATCAGAATGTGTATTAAACACATGCTACATATGTTTCTCTCTACCTCTTTGTTTAGCATTGTGTAAAAAATGTTTTGTCAGCAAAAGATAAAATCTAAATATACGAAATGGACTGACATCTTAATATATATATATATATATATATATATATATATATATATATATATATATATATATATATATATTCTTTTGAGCTGTCATTATCAGTATAGCTTCATATATTTGAAAACATAACATAACTATTAATGTATATTGTTTTTGTAATAAGGCAAGCATTAATCAAGTCATATTTCATCGGTATTTCCCGCACCGAGGGAAATAGCGATTAAGTGGACGAAGTTGGTATTTCTGATGTCAAGAAGCTACACATTTCATATACATCTATTTATGTACATCTTCTGGGGAAGCCAGTATGATTTCTTATTTGTTTGGGCAAATCTCTGTAATTTAGTAATGTATTAAGGGCATTGGCATTAGGATGTTGTACAGAAAATTTCGGTTAACTAAAGCATGTGATGATAATCTGATGGTCAAAATTAACTATACCTCTCAGTTGATTTAATATTTTGATTTTTAAATGAATATTTCTTAAGTTACCGATATTATATCCAAAAACATCCTTTACTGGCGTATAGTCAGCACTTAAAGAATACTTCCACATGGTTTTATTTTTTAAAATTAAAATTTAATTTAAAGCTTTTAAAAGTTAAGAATAATCGCATTATACACATTTATGTGTGGGTATCGAATTTACCACATTTCAAACATGGTAGGGGTTATGTTTTCATTTCCTACAACCCCCTCCAGCCTTCACTGAAACTGTAATTTATTTTACACAAAATTATCCACATTACCTTATGCAAACTTTGCAGGATTGGTCTGTGGTTAAACAGATATAATCAACAGTGACAACAGTTCCTTCAGTTTTCAATTAAATAAAAAACCAAACTCGGTATACTTTCTTTTGCCCCTAAGTTTACCTACGATGTAGCTCTAGACGGTGGACACATTTTATAAGGGACAGCATTTTTTATTTCAAACTGTGAGTGTGAATAAGTGAGTTGGAATAACGCCGCTTTGAACAGTATTTCAATTATATCCCTGCGTGACAGCTAAATGTGGGAGACATTTGATATATTTTTAATTTTTGCCCGAATTAATAAAACGAAATCAGATGTTAGGGGAAATATTGAAATGAAAAGAATATTTCATACTGGACGTTATTTCTCCCTCGGTTGTTAGTATGGCACGGATATATAATGACAGATCCCTGGTCCAGGCCTGTCAAAGGATACCCGTGTATCGCCGACTTTGTAATCCTAGTTTTAATTTTGTTATAGTTTAAAAGATGTTCAGATATTTTCCTGTTGATATTTTAACCATGTTTACATCCTCAATCCGTTAGATCCCTAACATATTTAGATTTTAGGATGTTGATATTTGTGGGGTATATATACATACACACACACACGTATATATATATATATATATATATATATATATATATATATATACCCCCAATTAAAACTTGTTAACTGCATGTCATTTTAACGAGCCACGTATGGTGCATAAACTTTAAGAAATCATGTTTAAAATTGTTTTAAATCATCTTTTAAATGAAATCTTAATTTCAAATGCATTATGATGTGGTATTTTGCATAAATTTTCATTATTGAACTTCGATTTGTTAATCGTGTTTTTAATATTATAATATATGGAATTCGGTAAATACTGTTGAGCGTATGGATAACCTAATGCATGTTTATACCCAGGCTTAATTCCCCTCCTGGGCACAATGAATGAAGCCCATGCTCACACTCCGGCGCAGTGGTGAATTAGCATAACACCACTGCCACAGGCTTATTTGCATATCACGTGACGGGACTTTTCTCTTGTTTGAAAACAAACGCGCTTTTTCAGAAATCAGTATAGAACGGACTAATGCAAGTATTTGAGGGCGCTTAACATATTGTTTTGCATGATTAAATAGATATGCCACTACAACTGCGACAGTGAGTTGCATGACAATATATATTTATACATCAAAGTGACCGTATCGCTAGCTCTCCGTTGGGCTTCGGTGACAGCACGTGGAGCCGTACAAACAATGTAAACAAAGGATAACTACGCAAAAACAAGTAGATAAGGGATACTTTCTTAATGAATCATAACCATTCTTTGACATTTGTTTATGAAAATGTGCAGACTTGTCAAACATGAAACGGATGAAAAGCATATGCTATATCTTGAATGGACTGTGAAAGATGTGACGAATCGTCACATGGCGCTGGCTTGTGGCAGAGGTACTCACACTCCGTCGCAGTGGTGACTCAGCATGGAACTCTGGGTAGGAGAGTGAGAGGTACTATGCTGGCTGGCTGCCGGCCGCATGGAACTCTGGGTAGGAGAGTGGCCAATGCTTTGGGTCCACCGCGTTTAACATTCGTCACCACTTGCCCTTTTCCGTGACCTGCAACTGGACTCTCCTGCCATTTTGTTTTGAGGAATTGTGTCACATATAATTTATTATTTTCTTGTCAAATAACAAGCGTATCTCATCTCGGTACCTGACACAGTTCATTTTTTGAAAAGTGGCGCTGCAACGAGTAAAAATGTCAACTTTGTCGGATCAAGAGATTGGATAAACATGTCATTTGACAAGGAAAAACTAATGTTCTATTTAAATGACCTTCACAGTCTTATCTGAAAAAAACCAACAACATTGTGTCATTGGAACAGACGCAAAGTGGTTCCGCCATTAAGTTTATTTCCGCCAAGTAAGATGTCGATTTATATTTTCAGAAGCTCATAATACCAAGCACAGGATTGTCTGGCCCAGATTCGATTACTTACAGATCTCAATCATACAGCTGGAATATTGCTCAGTGAGGCGTGAAACAACAAACAATCAAAGAAACAAATATTTTCAGATAAATAAAATGCCAATTTCAATACATTGTACATGTTCGGTGGTTGTAACGAATATCGACTATTCGATTTGCTTCCACTCACATGATTCGATCTGCCGATTGAGAGTCGATCTCATGATATTTCAGGACAATTTGTTTCCATGGTATCAAAATTTCTTAATTAATTATATAAGATAGCTACGCGATAAATCACAAAGAACAATGAAGAACAAAGCGCGGTTTATTTCACGATAAAACATTGTTCTATTATGACGTCATTTCTGGAGATTCGAACATGCGCTCGCAACTTGATGACGTCATAAATCGGACGACGTTACTTTTTTAAATTGAAGTACCTAGCGCTTAGCTGGGCCCCGCAGATGACCGCGGTGGCCGAACGATCGCATCCCAAAAACGGGAAAGGTATGACAATTGGTATTAGGAAAAGGTACAGGTATTAAATTGACGTGAGGATTGTGAGAATGTGCGGGAAATACCCCCTGTGCATCAAATGGGCTTGTCCGACATTGCCGCGGTCGGATTCTATAGATGGAGTCATCATTATTAAAATACGGGTAACTATTTTTAAAGCTTGTACAATTTAATGACATCCTTTAAAAGGCTGTTCAAAATGTTGATATCTCATAAGAAATAAACGACTCGTGGTTGTTTATCGCTACGCCCCTCATGGTTTATTCTCTCTGCAGTGTTTTATTGTACGATAAACAACTCCCACTCGTCGTTTATTTCTCAAATAAAACTATGTATGCCAACGCCATACTCCATACTGCCTCGTCCGATGCTGTGACGTCATATTCGTAAGACGTCACCATTTCACGTTATTGAATCAATATGAATTTGGGTTGTCTCCTTGCTCTGAATAGAAACCATTATCATAAAATAAAGTGGATTATGGGGGATAAGAAATAATTACGATGTCCAAGCTGAATATGTGCCAACCTGGTGCGGTGAGGTGAGGTGAGGTGAGGTGAGGTGAGGTGAGGTGAGGTGAGGAGAGGAGTGTGTGTGTGTGTGTGTGTGTGTGTGTGTGTGGCTGCTTGTACTAGTCCGGACTGCCGATTTATAGTGCTAGCCCACAGAGATACCATGCGGCAGTTTAACATGAATACCCCACTCAGACACAGTATACTGACTCCGAGCCGACCAGTCCTTGTTTTAGTCCCTTATGCCGAGCACCAGACAGGGTAACAACAAGTACCTTCTTTTAACGCCTTTGGTATGACGCAGCCGGGGATCGAACCCCAAGACCTCCCGCACTCCGACCGGACGCTCTACCACAAGACCACGGAGCGGTCTGTGCATTCAACACACAATAGATGTTATGACGTCATAATGGTAGCGCGTTACCTTTGACCTCAGTACAGACAGAACCGTCTGAGCAGCCAAGGCAGTGTGAGTGTACTTTTTATCAAGGGGATTCCTACTCAAGTTTTACTGGGTATGTTATATAGACATAAATTAACACACATGGTATGAGGTGCATGCTGTTCGTTAAAACAAATTCTGAAAAGATAATATTGCTCTGACTGATATTTTGTTTGTTTGTTTGTTGTTTAACACCGCACTCAGCAATATTCCAGCTATATGACGGCGGTCTGTAAATAATCGATTCTGGACCAGACAATCCAGTGATTGGTATCATGAACATCGATCCACGCAATAAGGATCGATGACATGCATCAACCAAGTCAGCGAGCCTGACCACCCGATTCTTTCGACAAGCAAAGTCGCCTTTTACGGCAAGTATGGGTTGCTGAAGACCTATTCTACCCCGGATCTTCACGGGTCGACGGATATATACACACACATCATATGATCTACATGTTGTTTATCAATGACAATGACAAACTGGATGTATCCGTGCGGCATGGGACGTTGTTCCTTTTATCAATCACTGGATTGTCTGACACGGGCTCGATTATTTGCAGACCGACGTCATATAGCTGGAATATTGCTTCGGCGTTAAACAACAAACAAACCAAAACAAACAAAATATCATCTATAGCGATGCAGGTCTAAGACGTTTAACTCTTTGGTCAAACCCACGTGCACGGTTATTGTGCTGACAAACCTAGAAACATAATCAGGGCGCATCTGGGATTCGAACTCTCGAATATAGGTTCCTGGCACACCTAAGGGAGGCAATTCTGCATGGCGGCGCTTTAGAGGACAGGGCTATCCGTGTCCCCAAGTGGTGAGCCATGCAGTGTGGACATGTGCAGCGATGCTCCTGCGAACCCTAATGTTGAAACGGGCGACCTTTGTCAATGATGCAGAAAGGGGGACACTTCAGACGAAATGTTATGTGCATAACTAAGCTTGATCCGTATCTCCCTCAGTGATTGTTCGTCACGTGCTGTAATTATTTCACCACATGTTGCACATATCAAAGGAGCTTTTAATCAGACACAGAATGGTTTCACTACAAGCTGGAGCTCGCTTGTTGCAGGCAAAACGTGAAGGGACACCTCGTCGTTTGGTCTGGACGACTGTCATAGCATGTCTAGGAGCGTTGTGTTTTGGATATGTTCTCGGATACAGCTCACCAGCAATTCCGAGCATGATAAAAAGTGGTGTTTTGATCAAGCAAAATGCAGGATGGTTTGGATCGCTGATGACAGTTGGAGCAATACTCGGGGGCCCCTCAGGCGGATGGTGTATTGAGAAGTTTGGTAGACGCAAATCTCTAATGATAGCGTCTGTTCCGTTCTTATTGGGTTGGGTTGCGATGCTGTCGTCATCAACGTTAACGTACCTTTATGCTGGACGATTTCTTACCGGATTCTCCTCAGGACTCGTGACAGTTTGTGTACCAGTTTACATTGCTGAAATTTCCACCAAATCCATGAGAGGTGTTCTCGGATCATGTACTCAACTTTTCATAACAGTCGGAGTATTGCTGGCATATGCATGTGGACTTCACTTTGACTGGCGAGGCCTGGCACTCATAGGTGCCATACAAGCGGTCTTAGCTCTAGTCATGTCATTCCTCATCCCAGAAACACCCCGATGGTTGCTAGGGAGAAACCAGAAGGCTGAAGCCATCCAGGCCTTGAAGGCCCTACGTGACGCGCATATGGACGTTCATGAGGAATGCAGAGACATCGAAGAAGGCCTTGATCCACAAGAGGACTTTGCTTGGTCGGGATTTCTGCAGAAACCGGAACTGTCCAGACCTCTCTTCATTGCACTTATGCTTTTCACATTCAGGCAGCTTAGCGGGATTTCCGCAGTCACTTTCTACACTGTGTTAATGTTTGAATCATCAATTCCTGACCTTGCCCATGGTGCTACTGTGGCTGTTGGTGCTATCCAAGTTGTTGCTACCTTTGCAGCCTGCCTCCTGATGGATCGAGCCGGCCGGAGGAAGCTTTTGATCATCGCTGGATTAATCATGTCAGCATCTCTCTTCATATTTGGGCTGTACTACAAGTTGCAAGCTAGCAATTCCTTGAATAGTACCATGAAAACATGGCTACCCGTCTGCTCACTCATGATCTATATTGTTGGCTTTTCTTTGGGATGGGGACCGATTCCTGTGCTTGTTATGTCTGAAATATTTCCCTCCCGTGCAAGAGGAGCTGCAAGTTCTATTGCAATCCTTGGTAACTGGCTGGTGGCTTTTGTGGTCACTAAAGAATTCATGACGATGCAAAAAATTCTTGGACAAGATGGAACCTTTTATCTGTTCGCTATGTTTTGTTTGATGTCGGTAATGTTTGTCTGGAAATATCTTCCAGAGACCAAGGGAAAGTCGTTGGAAGAAATCGAACTTTATTTTCATGAAAAAACATTGATGATAAAGTAAATTGTCTATTTTGTTTATGTAATATTCTTCTCCTTAAAATATTAACTTAATGTGAACGTGATTCCTGTGCGTATCGATCTAGAATGTTTGCTATCAATTTTCAGTATTATATTTGAAATCAGTTTACACAGTAAAGAACGTTAATAACGAACATGCTTATAACGAACTGACTGATATAATGAACAGTTTTTTAGCCCCGTCCATTTGCAATACATATGCCCTATATGTGCTTATAACGAACTACGGTTATTACGAACTAAATTTAGTGGTCCTTTAAATTCGTTATAAGCGTAGTTTATTGTATTGTTAATTCATTTAATTTTGAACTGGATATACTACAAAAAAATAATTTACCAGGATGTGTATTAAACCCATACAAAACATGTTTCTCTCTACCTCGTTGTTTAGTATTGTGTTTAAAGTGTTTTGTCTACAAAGATAAGATCTAAATATACGAAATGGACTGACATCTTACTATATATATATATATATATTCCTAAAATCTAAATATGTCTGGGATCTAACGGATTGAGGATGTAAACATGGTTTAAATATCAACAAGACAATATCTAAACGGGTATCCTTGGAGAGGCCTGGACCAGGGATCTGTCATTATATATCCGTTTCTTACTAACAACCGAGGGAGAAATAACGTCCAGTATGAAATATACAACCTTCTAATACGCTTGCCCTTAATATACAATCTTCCAAAAAAGAAACGCACATATGATTTTTAGTAAATCTATTGTACCTGATAAAGTCGATATATTTAATTAAATATGATAGATACAAAGATGAAATTTTGGAGCTCGATTGTCTCAGGCTTTGAAAACTGTTCATTGTCATGTCACATTAGGTCACAAGGTTGTATCACGAGTATCTCTTTGGCCAGTTGTGGGAGTGTCTGCGGCGTGTTCTGACGTTGACGTCCACGTCGATCGAGTTCATCCCAGAGGTGTTCGATTGGTTTGAGATCTGGAGATCTCGGAGGCCAGGGCAAGTCGTTGATGTTGACATTATGAAGGTAGTCCCTGAAGTTTCCCTGAACCACCACCAAGTCAGATTTCGTGGAGTCGGATATGACACTACCGCCACCGAAATTGATTGTCGAATTCACGTACACAATGTGGGGCCAAACGCTCATTTCCAGGACATTAAACACGTTGTCTTCCATCTCGCCGGTGAAGACGAAATCGTGATTCACCGCTAAACCACACTCGTTTCCAGTTTCTCAAATTCCAAGGCTGTAAGGTATGACACAAACGCAAACGAAAATGGTTCCTGAGTCTGGTTCGATATCCTCCTCAAACCAGGGATGCGCCCTGCAGTCTCTGTAGCTGTGGCATTGCGATGACGTAGGTGGAACAGTCGAATGTAGCGATCCTGTGCAGGTGTGGTAACTCTTCGTCGGCCGGTTCTCGGACGGTCTGCAGTGGAATTGAACTTAGTGTATCGGTCACAAAGGTGGACGTTGAAGTGGCGTGCAACAGAATATTGCGATTCCCCTCTTTGGATACGCCCTATGGCGATGTTCCGATCGGCAGCGCTGAGTCTCGGCATTTTCGACCTTAATAAATGTTGACAATTGAATGACAAATTATTGGTTTATGCTTGCCTTTTAAAAACCACTACCACGAGTTATAAAATGCCAATGACTTGCACGTGCATTTTGCTTTACTGTTTTCCTCCATTCCATTTTCGAACAAGTGTGAAAACAATGCCGTTTAAGACATTGTAAATCGACAATGGCTGCGTTTTGACGCACCGTTTGTCGAATATCGGGTCACGAACATTTTCCAATAACATATATCCCATTCATATACCGGATTTTGTGTGTGGTCAGGTTCAATGAACTACATGTTTTTGTGCGTTTCTTTTTTGAAGAGTGTATATGAAATGTGTAGCTACTTGACATAGGAAATACCAACTTCGTCCACTTAATCGCTATTTCCCTCGGTGCGGGAATACCGATGAAATATGATTCGTTTAATATTTGTCATATTACAAAAACAGGATACTTAAAGATCGCTTTGTAGAATAGGGCCCAGAATACCAGTTGTGCGAAATCACATGACGACTTCAGTACTAAAACGCTCCTATAAATAAACCCGCAATTAAAACTTGATAACTGCATGTTATTTTAACGAGGAATCGTATGGTGCATAAACTATTAGAAATCGTGTTTAAAATTGTTTAAAATCATCTATTAAATGAAATCTTAATTTCAAATTTCAAATGCATGTATTTTGCATACATTTTCATTATTGAACTTCGATTTCTCAATCTTGTTTTTAATATTATAATATATGGAATTCGGTAATACTGTTGGGCGTATGGATAGCCTAATGCATGTTTATACCCAGGCTTAATTCCCCTCCTGGGCACTATGTGTGAAGCCCATGCTTTGGATTTACTGCGTTTTTGTGGGTGGGACATTGATAAAGCAGCGTAAACTATTCTCTCCCATTATGAACATCTGATTTATGAAAGCCATAAGGACTTAATGACATTAACTAATACGTTGAGGCCGAGGTCAGTAAGTCAGGGGGTTTACCTCCACCCTGATGTAAGTAATCCCACAACATTGCTGTAATCCAACAACATAAAGATGCCATTCCCTGTGTTGTTGGTCCGACAGATGGTGAAGGCTTGAGGTCACGCAGCCATGTTCAGCAGACAGCCTGGACGGCAGTAACGTCATGGGGATAATCACAAGTAAGTACTTCATCTCAACGTTGACGACGTGAATGATCTTAAGGGGCCATGCCATTGTTTCAGTCAACACAGCTTTCATGCGACCCAAAGTGCTGTCGAATGAAAGCGATGGCGCAGCGCTGCTCTGATCCGAGTTATATCAAGGCGTGTGAGTTAAGTGTGGAAGGGAGACCCAACTTAGCACAGGTTGTTTACGGTTACCACTTTGATTTTTTAATCAAGGCGTGTGAGTTTAGTGTAGAAGGGAGACCCAACTAATCACAGGTTGTATACGGCTACCACTTTGATTTTTTAATCAAGGCGTGTGAGTTTAGTGTAGAAGGGAGACCCAACTAATCACAGGTTGTATACGGCTACCACTTTGATTTTTTAATCAAGGCGTGTGAGTTTAGTGTAGAAGGGAGACCCAACTAATCACAGGTTGTATACGGCTACCACTTTGATTTTTTAATCATGGCGTGTGAGTTAAGTGTGGAAGGGAGACCCAACTTAGCACAGGTTGTTTACGGTTACCACTTTGATTTTTTAATCAAGGCGTGTGAGTTTAGTGTAGAAGGGAGACCCAACTAATCACAGGTTGTATACGGCTACCACTTTGAATTTTTAATCAAGGCGTGTGAGTTTAGTGTGTAAGGGAGACCCAATTTAGCACAGGTTGTATACGATTACCACTGGGTGAGTGAGTGAGTGTGTCGGTGAATGTTTTGGAATTGGGTGAGTGAGTGGGTTGTAATTGGGTGAGTGAGTGAGTTTGTTAGGTTTAACGCCGTAAGTGCGATTGGGCATCTCTCTGCGTGAGAATCTGTAGTGGCATCCATAGGACGTCACGCCCGGTGAAGCCTGAACGAACTTTCACTGTCCACTCTAATTGAAGCATGTATTGGGTTCTTGAACCAATCATATTTCAGCCTACTGAAACCAAATTGCTTCATTTCTTTGACCAGATGGATGTCAATGTCGACGGAAATGTCGATCATAACAAAACAAACACAAATATTTCCCTTGTGTGTGAAGATACCATAGCGCTCAGAAACACCACGGTGTAAAAAATAGACAACGATATAAGAGCGATGCCTTTATTATTTACTTTCTAAACTGACCTTTTATGCTCATTTTCGAGATGCAGAAATCAGATAACTGTATGCTTCACTCACTTTTACCAAGAATTTAGAAGCTTCGGCGCTGATTGGCTGATCAGAAAGTTCACCGGACGCGACCTCTTATGGAGGGTTTGTCATGTTTTCACGTTAGGAGGTGTCGTATCGCAGTAACATATATGACCATGATGCTAATGTGAAGCAATACACTTCATTTATGGCGTGGATAGTTGCCCACAACGTCAATCACAGAATTGACTTATCGAGACTCGATTTACAGGCCGCCGTCATATGGAACGACAGACAGTACTTAATCTCTTAAATTTCCATAATAGTTGCAAAGAAATTACATCATTTCTTCATAACACTATTTTTACACTGAAATAGGTGTTGCCATTGTATTATGATTGGTAGTAGGATTTGTTGGTTGGGATATATATATCGCGAATGTCTTTCAAATAATGGTATAGTTTGTTGTTTAACGCCGCACTCAGCAATATTCCAGCTATATGATGGCGGTCTGTAAGTAATCAAGTCTGGACCATACAATCCAGTGATTAATATCATGAGCCACGCAATTTGGATACGATGACATGCATCAAACCAAGTCAGCGACCCTGACCACCTTATCCCGTTAGTCGCCTCTTACGACAAGCATAGTTTCCTTTTACGGCAAGCATGGGTTGCTGAAGACCTATTCTACCCCGGATCTTCACGGGTCTTCAGAAATATAATGGAGCTGGTCACCAACATTGTTTTGGTTCCACAAATTGCTCATCCTTTGTGTGGTGACTGCAGCAGTGTTAACCATTTACACTTATACAAATAGAATCCTTCTATAATCATGCTAAAATCAGAGTCCATTCCGACTTTGTGATGTGTTAATGAATTACTATCAAACAGTGATTACATGAGTCAATTGCTGGACTGTCTATCACAAAACCTTTTGAAGGTTTTATTAAGGCGCTTAATGTTGTTGCCCCGATCAAAAGACTTTTGAGCAAAGACCTATTTTAAACTGAAAGATATTACCCGGGGGTATCCCTAACTGTTCTTTCTCCCATCTATACAGGTAAAAACAGATTCCTCGAACTTCGGAAAAGGCCTCTGAGCTTCAGTGATGAACATGACGACCACATAACGGTCAGCGAAGACAAGCGGACAGCGCATTGGGGCTTGGACACCAGTCAGTCGGACGCCAGCGGGAGGTGCTATTCCAACCGAACTCTTCACGCCAACGAACTTGTTCGAATGTCAGTCCGAGGATCCGGGTTCTTTGACCTCGGTTTGACCGACGTCCACCCAGCTCAGCTTCACAGTAACAGAGATTTCATCTTCAAATGCATCGTCAGTAAGGTGTTGTATTTCGACCCAGTCATATTGGAGTTTTACATCACACCGGAAGGGAATGTTTGCCTGACCGATGGAAGGGACCCGGAAGTTAATATCGCACTTGGCACCCCAGCGAATACTCACTGGTTGGCGATGAAACTTGGGTGTGGAGAAATAACAGTTTCATTTTTATCAGACGGTGGGTTTTTTAGAATAGTTAAAAAGGTATCCAAATTAGAAAAAAAATGTCGTCAGTATCTCGTACGGACGCTCAAACTTTTTGTGAGATGACATTCACAATGATTTCATAGTCAAAATGAGGTTTCAAAATGGGATGAATTTTTTCACCATATGTTTCTGCTCTCTTAAACTTCATCCTCTCAGAAAACCATCTTGTACATCTCAAATCAGACTTTTGAAACATTTTCGTCTTGCGTCTGCATTTTGTTTTGTTAAAACTCCACAACGAAAATAAAAAGGACGAACAACCATAATTATTTCTAAAATATATTAAACTTTCCAAAAAGGGCCCCTGTTATCACCTTTTCCCTAAGGAGCGATGGGGTAGCCTAGTGGTTAAAGCGTTAGCTCGTCACGCCGAAGACCCGGGTTTGAATTCCCACATGAATACAATGTGTGAAGCCCATTTCTGGCGTCCCCCGCTGTGGAATATTGGTAAAGGCGGCGCAAAACCATACACAATCTGGACCTGAAGGTATTCAGCTTGATCAAAGTTGATATTTGAATGCAAAATATATTGATGAATCTTTAAAGGAAATGCGAAAACTGATTGTTCTTCTGTTTCAGGTGAAGCAGCCTCCAGCTCTGAGTCCAGTTCAGAATCGGAGTCCAGTTCAGACACATTAAATCTTGCTATGGAACCGTAATGTAATGGTAATTTCATTATTTTCATTAAATGCACCAGAGCGCACGTGTGCACATTCGAGAACCATGTTTTTGTAAGGAGTCAGTGCGTTATGTATATCACCTAGGTGTGAAGTGTTTTCTTGTAGTAAACAATTATCAGAGTCTCAATTGATATTTTCGATTTTTGTCCCGTGACATGTTTTGACATACGGATAAAGATATGCATCTTTTAATATGTTCATAAAACTCCATTCTGCCACTCAACAGTTTTACCACGTTTGCTCATATTCCAGACCGTCGTCATATAGCTGCAATATTGCTGAGTGCGGCGTTAAACAACAAACAAACAACCATATTCCCCTTTGAAACAAATGGTCTTGAGTGTTCACCAGAAGCAGTTCTTACCTTCACAGGGGGCACGGGTGGCCCAGTCGTCTAACGCGCCGCAATTTGCTGTGCAGAGTTGCGTCCCTTGGGCACACCAGAAACCTATGATTGTGGGTTCGAATCCCGGTTCGCCCCAATGATGTTTCTAGGTTTGTCAGCACCATACCCGTGCTCGTGGGTATCACCGAAGTGGTAAACGTCTGAGACCTGCATCACTTCGGGCTTTCCTCCCACATTAAGCTGACACTCCGCGATATAACTGGAATACTGTTAAAAGCGGCGTTAAACCCAACTCACTCACTCACTCTTACCTTCAAATCTCTTGGATATGTCCTACTCTGAAATATGAACACTGGGATCGTATCTCATTGTCGAAATAACAGGCTCCGTGGGGTAGAGGATTAAGCGACTTGCCGGAGAGCGGAAGGTCGGTGGTTCGAGCCCTGGCTGCGTCATACCAAAAGACGTTTAACGGTGGCACGTGTTGTTACCTACCTGGCGCTCGGCATTATGGGTATAAGACAAGGACTGGTCGGCTCGGAGTCAGTATATTTTGCCTGAGTGGGAAATCCACGTTAAGCTGTTGAATGGTATCTCCTTGGGTCAGCGCTATAATATAAGCGACAAAACCCTTCTATATTGATAAGAAATGCCCACTAAAAGCAAAGTCGATTTACGATTCCGACTATGTGGTGAGCATGTGTTAAAATAGTGATGATACCAGGTGTTCGGGAAAAGGTGCGCGTATCCTGCACCATCGATGGGACACGTCATAAACACATGCAATGGCAAGTCAATTGTTCGCCTGAAACAAAAACATGGGGAAAATGGTACAAGTCGAAATAGGAAACTGCATGGAAGATATTTTTCTCACGGATGCGTCAAATTAGGAAATGTCCTCCATTTCTCTACCCTGAAAGTTTTTGAAAGCGTTCCTACAATCAAGGATGATGGAGGAACGGAGTGTTTACAAACCTGTCAAGTATTGATGTAATCGAGGAACATGTTACAAACCCGTGAAGTATTGTTGTGATGGAGGAGCATAGTGTTTATAAACTGGTGAAGTATTGATGGCGGTTATTAATCAAAGAGAAAAAGACAAACTTATCTACAAAGCCTATACCAATGAGATTGTTAATAAACAAATAAAAATGCTAAACCATAAACTCTTTTGAATGTGACCAGATCGAAATATATGATGCCAGTGTACACTGAATTCTGCTTTATCTGGAAAGATTAATGGATACATAAATAAGCAGTATAATTAATAAACAGAACCAGAAAGCACAACACAAACAATACCGTATTCAACGTAAAACGCGCCCAGAGCGCTCTCAAAATTAGAAATAGGGGGCTCTTATTAGAATATAATTTTGTTGAAAGAGTTGAAATTTCGTGGTTTATGCTTACAGCCTAAAATGATACAAAAGAATAGTCTGTGCGTATTATACACGACAGATATATTTTTCAAGAATTTTATTTCCGTAATTATGGGTGCATATAACACGCGAGTGCGTATTATACACGAATAAATAAGTCGTGTGTACATTGTGTACGGTCGGAAGGGTGCTAAATGGGAATGCTCACTGGCCAAAATATATAGCATATAGCCGTGGGCGCTTATTTCGTCAAATACGGTAACCCACACCCTGCATCAGCCTGCGATCTCAACCTGAATACATGTACAGGAGGAGCAGCTGTTCAACTGATTAAATGCGTTTCCACGCGCTGGTCAATTTAGAATCATGATTGAAATATTAATTAACATAGAACCTTTTTTAATTATCCCATAAAAAGAATTTAAGAACAACTGTTTACTCAGCTGTAGATCCTAATTTAGGAAAACAACAACCCCTTTTAATGAAATGCCCTTAATGAAATATATGTATTACAGTCATTAACTGTGATTATTAACGATATTTTGTCGAGGAGGATAAACAATAACACCAACCATACAATGGACAATTCAATATCACCATACTGAGTTTATGACACTATCTGTAATTACAACAAGGCAGCTGTTTCCAGATTGTGGAGAAAGTCAACCAACAAACAGAAAGGTAAAAGTAGTGAGGTGCTACCAGACACATGTACACTTGTAATACTCCTTACTAGTGAGTGACCCGTGAAGATCCGGGGTAGAATAGGTCTTCAGCAACCCATGTTTGCCGTAAAAGGTGACTATGCTTGTCGTAAAAGGCGACTAACGGGATCGGGTGGTCAGGCTCACTGACTTGGTTGATGCATATCATCGATCCCAATTGCGCGGATCGATGCTCATGATGTCAATCACTGGATTGTCTGGTCCAGACTCGATTATTTACAGACCACCGTCATATAGCTGGAATATTGCTGAGTGCGGCGTTAAACAACAAACAAACAAACAAATACTAGTGAGTGAGTGAATGTTGTTTACCACCACCGTCAGCAATTTTACAGCTACATCACGGAACCCTGTAAAAATACGTGTCTGAATAAGTAAAAACCAGTGACTGAAAGCATGAGCACCTATCCACGCTATCTGGACAAGGTGACACGCAATCAGCTCAGTATATTGATCTGATCACCCGATCCATTGTACTCTTACGACATACATAGGTCATTGGGGACCAATTCATTCCCTGAATCGCATAAGGGTTGTCCAGAGTCTGAGAGAAGAAACGTTTCTGTGACCAAGTAGGTGCAGTATTTTGTAGCTACCATTGAAAACGTTTATCTAACATGTAGGAATAAAGAAAATGTTTCAGCATAACACTGGCACTTTCTTTTATTGGAAGTCCGTATACTGTGGGTCCCAAGACGTATTTTGTCTTCTTCCCCAGAAGAAAGTTTATCTTGATTCAGTGACAGAAAACATGCTTAGTCTCTTACAAAAAAGGTCTTTCTGTCAAATGGTTAAAATATTAACAGTAACAACCAATGCCAATAAAACTGTGTCCACAAAAGACCTGGTTGGCTTCAGGCTGCGATCGGCAGATTAATTTATCTCATCCAGAGTGTTTTTTGTAATATGGGAAATATCTATGAGTCTTACTGCATTGGTATGTTTACGAGAAAATACCAATTAAAGATGTGAGACTCATATGTTCTATCATTCGTCACCACTCGCCCCTTTCCGTAACCTGCATAAAGACTCGTCCCCCTATCGATGAATGTTATGTGCGAAAATTCGACAAACCAATCAGAATGCGCGCATGATTTTAAGTTCTTCGTCAAATAATCCCTCAGAAATAATTTTTGATTTTACATATGCCTTGCATCTAAAAACATACCCAAGACACAGTTACATGTGTTCAATCATACTGTATAATTCCACATGTCCCAATGTGCTTTAAATTGCATCTGAAATATATATAATATATGGGGAAATATTTAACCATTAGGCAACGAGTTGACAATTGTTTTAGGTATGCCGGTTTGCGCTAAGACGAGTCGCTATTCGGCTTGTCCCGGAATAACACGAGTTGGTCACGAATGATGTTCTATATTATAACATAACAAACACTCGTACTTCGCTGGTTTGTGTACATGCATCACACCATGAAAACACAGGACCACTATGTGGTGTAGTTGGCAGCGACGACTCTCTCTAATTAATCCCCCTAAGATAATATACTCCTCAAAAGAAGTTAAAGAACACCAGATATTCATCTTCCCGAGGCAAGGGCGTTAATTGACTATAAAAGTCCAGTTTCCACCCTTGCCGAACTGGAATTCCGGAGTTACATTTTGGCTGGACTAACGAGTATATGCATAGTCTAATCAAAACTGCGTATCGGACTAGACATACGGTTCTTAAACAACATGAACTTTTTCAACGTGCAGTGAGTGAGTGAGTGAGTTTGGTTTTACGCCGCTTTTAAAATAGCAATATTCCAGCAATATCACGGCGGGGGACACCAGAAATGGGCTTCACACATTGTACCCATGTCGGGATTCGAACAACGGGTCTTCGGCGTGACGAGCGAACGCTTTAACCACTAGGCTACCCGACCGCCCCTTTCAACGTGCAGACTTAGGTCGACTGAAGAATTTGCAAAGCATGTGTACCGCCAAATTGGGGTCGACAGATGTTTTGCAAATCATTTCATGCTTTTAATCGAGGTGCTCAAGTGATTTAACACGCGAGGTAAGGCCCATTTTATTACAACATCAGATCGTATTGACTGGGCGCCGCCATTTTGTTTGAAGCAATTGCAAGTGATACGTGAGGTGGAATCTGATTGGTCAATAAGAGGGGCGTAGAAGGGACATAACTCGTAATAGCCACTGGTGTCGCTACGATCGAGACTGGAAATTTCAACCTAGCTCGGCCAGGGTGGAGACTGGACTTTTATAGTCAGTTAACGTTCTTGCCTCGGGAAGATGTCCGATATTTTCACATGCTTCCAATTTAACGTATTTTGAGTAGCATTTGATATAAACAGTCTACACCACAGAATAATCAGTCTCGTTTATCTTCCGAAACAGATTCCTTTTGACGTAAAAGGTAAATAAATGAATGGATCACTGAAATCATTGTTGAGTGAGTCAGTGAGTGAGTACGGTTTTACGCCGCTTTTAGCAATATTCCAGCAATATCACGGCGGGGGAAACCAGAAATGGGCTTCACACGTTGTACCCATGTCGGGAATCGAACCCGGGTCTTCGGCGTGACGAGCGAACGCTTTAACCACCAGGCTACCCGACCGCCCCGAAATCATTGATGAAACAAGGTGTTCACGAAAAGGGTAAGCGTGTCCTGCCGCACCGGTGTCCCGGTATAAACTCTCCCCCGTACA